AAAATTAAGAATAGCTTAATATTTATAGATATTCGTATAAGCCCTTTAATTCTTTTATATATATTTATTAATTTATCTTTTTATAATAATTAAAGTAGAAGAGATTAAGTCTAATAATTTATTATAATAAATATTAAATATTAATAATAATAGCGATATTAAAGAGTCTTAATATAGATTAATTAAATAGTAATTAAACTTTTAATTAAAATAAAAAGCGAAGAATAAGCTTAATTAAAATAAAAATATTAAGAGATCGCGATAGCGAATAAATATATTTATATTTAAGAAGAAACTAATTAAGAAAATAAAGAAAATCAATATCTTAGCTATTAATTACGCTATAATTATTAAAAAGTATAAAATTAAATATATTAATATATTATTATTATAATAAAAGTAAGCTCTTAAATAAATTAGATAAGATATAATAGATAAGTAATAAGTAATTTCTAATTCTAATTATTATTCTAGTAAACTTATATTTTAATAATATTATATAAGAAAAGTACGCGAGCGTAATTATAAAGAAGTCTAGAGTTTCACTTATCGCGCGAATTATTATATATATAAATAAAGATAAAAGCTCGAATTAAAAGAAAATAAATAATATCGAAGCTAAATAAGATATAAGTATTAAGAATAATTTTATTATACGCGCTAATAATTAAGTAGATTTTATTTTTTAAGCTATTTAAGAGCGTAATATAGAATTTAATAATAAGCGCTATTATAGCTTAGATATAATAATATTAACGCGCTAATTAATAAGTATCGAGCTATTATAAAAATCTTAAAATATTAAATATAATTACGCTTAAAAGATAAAATTATAAATCTTTATTTATATATAATTAATCTAACGTATAATAATAAAAAGCTTACTATAAAAGCTACGCTTATTTAAATTAATATTTTAATTTTAGCTATTATTATCGCTATTATATAAGTAATATAAAGCTATCTCTTATTTAAATATATCTAATTTTTAATTCTAATTATTATTATAGATATCGTTAATTTATTCTAGAATTATTAAATATACTTTTATATACTTTCTATATTTAATCTTTTTTTTATATATCGCGAGAAGATAGCTTAAAGAAATATAGCTTATTATATTAAGCTATAATACTTTTAAGAGAATATTAAGAAATATATTAACTTTTCTAAATTAACGATTTAATAAAAAGACTATAATTATAATATATATAATTTTATATTAGATAGCGATATCGAAAATATATAATAGATATATAAAATTATCGTTAACGACTTTAATTATAAAGTATTAACGAATTTCGCGCGATTAATATTAGAGAAAGATAAGCTTTTCTTATTATTAGTAGATATAGCTCGCTTTCTTTTATATATATAAAGTAATAAAATATAATTATATTTAATTTTATATCTTATTAATTTAGCGTAATTATTAACTAGAATAATAATTAGAATAGCTACTTCTAAATATAGAAATCTTAATTAAGATATTCTATATATATATTATTTTATAATATAATATCATAGATATATTATATCGTAATATATATCGCTAAGATCTTATATTATATTAGATATAAGATTCTATAAATCTTAATAACTTATATTATTTTAAGAGTATAATATAATAGATTAATATCTTATAAATTTATCATAGCTTTCCGACTAAGATTCTTTAACTTATAAAAGAATTTTATTATAAAAACTTATTTTTATTAGCTATTATAGCGAGGACGTTAAGCTTATAAAAAACTCAAACTTTCTATAATATCAGCGACGTAAAGAAAACTTTACTATTATTAAAATTAAAAAATTATTCGAAGTCTTAAAGCTATATAGTAATAACTTTAATTCTCTAATTTTTTAATTATCTTAATAAAGATATAGATAAAGATTTCTACTATATTCTTTTCTTTAAATATAATCTTTACTATATAATTTAAATTCTTTCTTAAAGACTTATTATTACTCTAAATAATAACGAGTTTACTATATAATAAATAATTAAATATATAATAATCTAAATTAAATATAATAATTCTAAATCTAAAGAATATATAAGAGTTATACTATTTTAGTTATAATATTTCTAAAATAATATTAAATCGTTTTAATAAGATAATTAAGTATTAAAGTTCTTTTATATAATCTTCTAAAATAAGTTTTATTAAGACTATATATATAATATTAAAAATAAAGATAGATTTATTATTAATTAATTATAATCTATAGAATTATATTAATACTATCTTAAATAGCTTATTTATTTTAATAAAAGATATATTTATAAAGCTTAATATTAAAGCTTTAATATTCGAGAGATAATTAATCTTAATCTATTCTATTAATATAATAATTTTTCTATAAAAATCTAATTAGCGTTTATTTTATAAAGAGGCTTTAATAATAATAATATACGCGGATAGAGAGACGAAAGCGAGTATTCTTTCTATTTCTAACTCTTTAATTCTTATATATAAGACTTTTAGATCTCTAACGACGATTTAATTAAAAACGTTTAATTTTCTAATTCTTATAATAATTCGACGAAAATATTCTCCTTAACGTCGACGGCTTTTAAAATTATATTAACTTATTCTTTTATTAATAAGTCTATATTCTTATATAAGATACTATTATCGCTAAAACGATATCTAGTCTTTAAACACTTAAAATATCTACATTCTTTTTCGAATTTTATTTATTAATAATTTAAGATACTTATATTCTCGTATATAAAAAATTTTCGATAGTAATATTATTATTTCTTTTAGTAAGAAAAAGTATTACGCTAATTATTCGAGGGGGTAAAATTTCTATAACTATTATTAATTTTATTAGTTTCTTTTTTACTTTTTAAATTTAATGCATTATTAATAGCTCTATAGATTTATATCTAATACTTATAAAAAAATAACTAATTCTCGAAAAGTATTAAAAGACTATTCTAAAATTCGATATCTTAGATATATAGAGATTAATCGTTTTAGATTAAATATCTTATAAATATTAGTAAATTCTAAGAGAGCGATAGCTATAGAGAATCGTACGTAGAAATCCTCGAATAATTCCTTCTTATCTATTACTCTTATATTAAATTTAAAATTAAATATCTTAATATTTAATTTAGTAATCTTATTATATATTTCGAATATATTATCTAATTTATTAATTATTTCTTAGACGATTTAATATAAATCTAAGATATCTTCGTTTACTCTTATTTTAATAACGTCGTATATAGTAAACTTATAATAATTTCATATATAATCGATTTTCTTAAGTTTAATAGAGAAGATTATAGTATTTTATCTAAACTTCGCTTTAAGATATTAACGTTAGCTATTCTACTTATTTCGATTATTAATATTATAAAAATTTAAAATATCGAGATATCGTTTATTTAATTCTATATTCTTTACGCGATTCGTAATAGAGATATAATATAAATTTCGATAAATGCTATTAATAAGAATACTCGACTAACGAGATATAACCTCTATATCTTTTTTATCGAAGTTTTTTAAATTAGCTAATATAAGAGATTATTACTTCTTTAGCTATTACTCTTTACGTCTTAAGTCTTACTTAAGTTTCTTATTTTCTTTAATAAGTTCTATAATATTAATGCGATATCTATCACGTAAACCTCGAAGTCTATTATTAATTTCTTACTTATAGAATAATTAGCTATTATTATTATTTAGCTGAGTAGTAATTATTAATATCTTTATCTTAATATAAGCGATATTCTAATTAAGTTATTTATTTTATTATTAAAGTACCTTAATATTTCGGCTAGTAATTCGAAAGCTCTCTATTAGAGTTTTTAATCTATTATATTAAATATTAAAAGTATTAATAATACTTTTTATAAAATTCTATAAGTTAGTAATAAATATAAAGATTATAGTAGACTCTTTCTCGATAATATCTATAAGTTATACTTCGATATAATCTAAACTAGATTTAATAGTATATCTTCTAAAGATAAAACGCTTTCTCTTATATCGTACGAACAATATAGTAAGTATTTAAGACCTTCTCATCGAAGTTCTTAAGTTCTTCTAGACGGTGATATATCTATAACTCACACTTTGGTACACCAGGTCAAAGGCACCAAGGCATGCTTTGAGCTTTGGTGGTTGCTAGTCGGTCTTTCGAAGCGGCAATCCTGGCTTTGGACCTGGCAACGCTCTACTCAAGCTCTGCTCTCTCAGCTGCTGGTAAGGCGTTCTTCGTTACATCTGTACGTCTGCCTCGGAAGAGGTGTCGTTGCTGCTGAATGCTGCTCGGTTCAGCAGTGCTGCACCCAACACCTGATGTGTTGAGAAGATCCTTTGCATGAGATCTAGAAATGATATGCTGATGGGGGGTTGTTGCCCCCGCATTTTTATTGTGTTGTGTTGAGACGATGCATCGCTGCCACGGGCGAAGCAAGTCTGTATCGGAAGAGGAACGAATGATGAGTAGCAGGACTTGGGCTATATTTTAGGACTTCACTCGGTTTGAGAGTTGCAGGAGATGGCTAGGATACTGCTCGGGGGGGGAAGATTGTAAGTGACATATGGAACATAAAAGGAGCAAGAACAAAAAGTGAAAAGAATCAGAAACACCAATTTTTGACCAACCCAGGGTTTAGAACAACAAAAAGAAAAACCCTTATAGGGGATTTCTTCGGGAGTGGGAGATATTTTAGCAACGTCAAGGGCAAATCCAGAAGTGTCTTTGTGTCCTTGAAGGCTTCTTTTTCCACTTCAATTCAAATAAGACCAAGGCAAGCTGGGACCCATCGTCGGTGTTGTCGACAGACCTAATATTAACCTATGTTGATACTAGGAGAGACCATTAAGCATGCAGCTATGCAATCGTGGCCGACACGTGACATTCGTTCAGAGGCAAAATCCTGTCAGCCATCGACTCAGTCGGGAAGTTAGTGCCGAAATGAGGTATCTATGCTAACGAAAGTAATGGAGGACACTAGACTCTTACTTGCTAGCATGCTCAAGCTACCATTTTCGCAAAAGCTGGACCACGGAAGTCATACTGAGCTGCAGTGTCTCGCCCTGCAGACTTCAGACGACGACTGCAAAACCAATCATGCGGATGAGTGTCCGCGTGATGCTTCGTCCCCGGAGGTCTCGACCGCTCAAGAGAAGACCTGCTCCATTCTACGAAGCGGCGGTACGCCCATGATTTATGTGCCGTTTATTCCAGAGCATGGAAATCCTCCCAAAGGAAGAATTATAGACTATATCGCCAATGGCCTTGAATATGTGGCGATTTCTCATGTTTGGGCACACGTTCTAGGAGACCCCAAAGCAAACGTTCTTTCCATCATGTCAAATATTGCGACTGAAGCGCTTGAGCGCTGACCTGGTGTGGTCTTCGACAAGACGTGCGGCACAAACCGCGTTCTGGGTTGATACACTGTGTATTCCTGTCGATCCGGTCCGCAAAGAGCTCAGGAAACTTGCAATTACGCAGCTGGCAAATACTTTCCGTCAAGCCAGACAAGCAGTCGTGCTCGATGCGGATACACCGCGCTCTTCTAGGCGTTGTAGCAGAACAGAATTGGCAACAAGAATCCTGTGATCTGGCTGGATGAAAGGGCTTTGGACCCTCCAAGAGGCTGTGATGACCGAAAAGACCCCAAATTGCAGCAAATTGGATACCCACTTCCACGAAGGCTCGATTGAGTTCAATGCGGTCGCCAGGCGGAGCTGTCTTAGTCTTATCATACCGAGTCTGCCATAAAGCTCGTATACAGCGCCTTCCCACAATTCCAGGCAAGGGATAGGACGTATGCTTTCTTGAGCCGGGCACTTGAGTATCGGGCTACGAGCAAGTTAGAGGGTGAAACGATATTTCTGGCAACATTCATATATGTTCAGAATCCGAAGAGCGTTTGTGAGCGGCATAACAGCGGAGCAAAGGATGTAGGCGATGTATACGCTGATCGAACAATTCCCGGCTTCCGTCCTCTGTCACCGATCAAAATGACTGGCTGATGGCTCTCGCTGGGCGCCGGCTTCTCTGTTGGGCAACAACAGAAACAACGTCTTCAGTGATCCCCGGGCAAAGTGCGATGCCGAGGATCTCCACGTTCGATATGCTGGTTACATCGTCACTAGACATAAATCACGGCCCCAAACTCTAGACGAACTCACCCAATGTAACTATTACAGTGGCAATTTACAGGATACGGAGCTCAAAAGGGCGGATGAGGTCTCATGACGACTGTGAACACTCTGATAAGATGTCATCGGTAAACAAAGGCATTGAATTGGACAAGGTCATAAGGGAGCTCACTCTTCCTGCAACAGTCTTGAATCCAACAGAAAGTACAGAATCAGCACTTGTGTCTGTGACCGAAGAACGAGGAGGCGTCATATACGCAATGTTTCTAACGGAAGTCTACGTCAAAAAACCTCGCTTGGCAGGACTGGTAAGTGAGGTACGTCAGGGTTGGAAAAAGCACTTCATTGAGACACGTGAAGTTCTCATCGATTCAGCGATGGTGTATCAGGTGATTGGTTACCTTTTCGTCATCATTGCACGGCCCAGAGCCTCGATAATGCAAGCCTGTCGCATAAGCCAGTCAGTCGAAAACCTATCATCCATTACCACTCAAAACACCGCAAGTCGCGACTAGTTCGCCTACGACATGCGGCAAATTGCAAGGGTAGTCACTTTGCGTGGGACCTTTTGTTTCCAGATAGTTGCTCTACATGAGCTCTGTCTGACTTTGTCAGCTGTCTTCATCATTAAATGTGCTGCGTTGCTCAAGCCCGATTTGCAGTCTGAAGCCTACAGATGCACACCCTCTGTGCACTATCCACGCTCTTTCTCCAATCCCTTCTCACCGTTCCGACAACGGTACTTTCGCCGTCCGAATTCAGGAATGAAACCTCTATTGCATCACTAGGCGCCACTAACACCTCTTCAATTGTTCGTATAGGCTTGACTTCTCTTCCTTCATCAATCTCTTTGACCTTTGATCTCTTCGGTTCTCAAATCCCATCTTCTGCAGTCAACGCCGCCTTCAGCGGCGCCATCACTAGGATTCACCCTTTCCTCCAAAGTAAACCCGACGGACCCATCGCGAACGATGAATTTCAGTACCGTGCTGTTGGCGGCAGTGTACAGATTGGCGTTGAGGCCATTCTGCATCACGGAGTATCATGGCAGCAGTTGAATTCTGTGCTGCGTCAGGCATCCAGTTTCATGAATGGTGATCCGGGAGCCGGCCGGCAGCATATGCAAGAGTTATCATTCGAGATCATCGAAGACGGGACCAAGACGGGGGAAGGGCTCGTCTCATACCGCCCTTCCCGCGGCCTTCAATTCCGAGATCCTACACTGGTCAATCTGACGAACGCAAAGGACACAAAGCTCCTGTTGGCTCCCACGGACCCCTTATTAATTGCGCTAAGAGCAAACACCATGCCTTTCCGAATACCCGACACTCCCTTCGCCCTAACCTTCGACGTGCTCGGCGACGCAATCCCGATCTTATCGGTCTGGGCAGCCTTCGACGGCGCCCGCTCGCAGATCATTAGCCCTCTGGGTCAGCATCCCTCCTCGCCCATCCCTAACGACCAGTTCGAGCACGAGGAAGAAAGTGTTCGTATCACTGTTCTTCCCGACACGGGGATCATCATGACCTGGAAGCAGTTGTCGTGGATCTTGGGCGGAATGTACGCTTTCATGACCGGGACGCCGGAACATTACCAGCTTTTGACATGCGATATCGAATTCGTAGGCCATGGAAAGGTGGGGTCTGCGTCGGTGTGGTATTCCCGCGAGCTAGCTTGAAAGTGACGCAGAGAGCTCTGCTCAGTACGACAGTCTCGTTGCCTCAAGTCTCAAATAGCGGGAACCATTCCATTTCCCTATGCCGAACACACCAACCATCATCACCTTCAAACACCGTGGAATGTCCATTCCATGGCGCGAGCTCGACGTCGCAATCTGAGTTGGCTGGATCAGCTCGGCCCGTCATGCAGGGAACATGGTACAGATCCGGTCCCTGGTGACCACTTCTTTCGAGCCCTAGAAAGTGTCCGCATGACAATCTCTACCAATCTGCCTCACATCATGTCATGGAGTCAGCTCTATAACACTGTGTGGGGTCTGATGCTATTAGTGACTGGCGCTGACAGAGGAGACGAGCATGATCGGATCCTGACTTCCGACGTGGACGCCATGCTCGTAGGCAAGCTGGCGCGCGGGACACTGCGGTATACTGTACCTAGAATGGTGGATCTTAAAGAGGTAGACCGAGCTTCGTAGCGTAACTGTATAGACGATGCGAGCTGCCAGATCGGTTCACTCATACTTGAACCACTGCAGAGATCTGTCCTTGGGGGAGAAGGCCACACGACGTGCCAATTTGACGACTGTAACGCAGGGCCCACCGCGGTCATTGAAGTATGAAATTGGTTGTGAGCCCCTTTTTCTTGGTCAAGAGTGGCGGTCGTGCCTATCCTGTGCGGGTTCAAACCCAGAATAGCCATGTGACATGGGCCAGTAGCTAGAATAAGCCCCCATTGAAATCGTTTGCGTTTCCATGTCACCCATTTCCAGCTCTAGGAACCTGAGAACAAACCATAACCAGGGGCTAGAATCCAGTGTATGAGTACGGAATTGCGGCTCCCACGTGTAATTTGCCCAGAACATCTCGACAGTTGTTGATCTATCGCTTGAGCGCGTGACCGGCGCTTGCAAGTCATCCAAGCGAGAGAAGAAACCTCTTGAGGCGCAACATACGCAGAGAAGTGACCCGCGTGTCGATCGTTGAAAAGACAAACACAGACAAGATCCCGCCTTTGCCAGCCCACAATCGAACGCCATGAAACCACCACCCGCCCTCTCCTTTTCCGTGCTAATCCTCTTCACCATCACCACTCACGCCGCCCGCACCCGCCGAACCGGCAACGGCAACGGCAACGACCCATCCCCCGGCATCATCACAGTCCAAGATACCAAAACGATACACTGCACCCCCCTGCCCGGGCGCATCTCCCTCCACGCCTGCGCCGGCGCCATCCTCCGCCTCCCCATCGACCACACCGTCGGCACGTTCCACGGCGGCGGCGCCGACGACGGCTTCCGGCTCCCGGTCTCCCGGACGTACGGCGGGTGCGACGTCCTCGTGGGACTGCGCGGGGGCGGACCGGATCGGGATCGGGGGAGCTGGCTGGATGCCGGGCGGGCGGCGGCGGAGATGAACGGACGGTGTGCGGGGAGCAGGGGGGCGGTGCGGAGGTACGGCAGCGCTTGGGTGAATGTGGGGGAGTCTGGTCGGATACGGATTCGGTTGCGTCCCGCTGGTGGTTTGCGGGATGTGGATGGGAATGGAACGGTTGTGGATGTGGTGTTGTAGCTTTGTTTCAATGATGGGTCCTGACCGAAATGGCAATGTTTGTCTCCATCGAGTGTGCAAGGTACTTCTTGGCTCGTTTCGTCTCGCCACGAACATCAAAGCATAAGTGTACGTACAAAGGAATGATTGCCATAAAAAAAAGTCAAAGACATGAGCGGCAAGGTCGGCCAATGCTTCGGTTCGTACTTTGTCACAAAGCAGGAGGCTAAGAAACATAAGAACTCCGCGCTCTGGGTCTTAATCCAGCATCATCAACTGAGGTCGATGTTCGACGGCTGACTAATGCTGAAATTCTTACGGCTGAGAAGTGATATGATAGCAAGACTTGCTAGGTAAGAGCCACAGAATCGTAGCATTGTTTCCCTAACAATCATGCCCCTTATCACAACAAGGAGGTAGAGGCAAGGAGCCACAAGCTTCCAGATAGTATCAAACAGATCCGTAGACCTGGAAAAGATTTACTGGCAATGCTTCTCAAGACGCTTTGTCCTCGGCGTTTTGAGCTGGGCAAGGATCTGTCTCCGTGCAAGTATCAGCGTTCCTGGCCGAGACAATCTCGGCGATCACAGTAAAGTGTCGAGGCTCCCATAGAGCAATTTCGTCGTTGGCTACCATTGGGTGACGTGACGTTAGCCCAATACGATTGAAAGTAGCCTACTGGCGCAGTTTAATAGCAGCATTAGATCTGAAGCCCGAGGCGATGATATGTGCATATCTGTGTCGTGGGAGCAGAAGGACCAGAGAGTCTCATTCCAAATAGACCATCTTTAGTTCAAGGTCCCATTATCCTCTGCACTTTCTCCAGCAGAACCTTGCTCTCGCGCCCAAGCTTCCTCTGCCCATCTCTGCCTCCAGATCTTGCTTTAGCCATGGCCTTGCGGAACCTCTCCCTCTCCTCGATCTTCGCCTGCCGCTGCCGACGGATTTCCTCAAATTCCTTCTGACGCCTTTCGTTCTCTTCTCTGCGTTGCTGGGCCAGGAGGGCTTCTTTTCGGAAAGGCACCGACTTTGGGCGTGGTGGTTTCCTCCCTCGCAGCACCTGCTGTTGTGTATCTATCTGTTCCCGTGGCGCAGGCTCAGGCTCATCCAACATAGCCTGTCTCTCAGGGTGCAGCTCTAGCGATGCAGAGGGTTCTTCTGGAGGAGGGGTCAAGGTGTAGACGGAAGGTTTTGTGTCAACTGGTTCTCGTTCTTTGAGCTTGCTGTAGGATTTCTTGACCTTGGCTTTCCGAATGAGATCTTGCTTGATCTTTTGGACTGTCGATGGGTTAGTCTATGGATTTGCCATCGTGCAGAGAAATTACCCTTGCGACGATATGTGCCATCGGGTAGTGTGGCTGGTCCTACGGAAAAACCTTTTTTGGCCTTCTTGGCTTGTGTTTCTGGGTGATCATGCTGAGCTTCGTCTGTTGATCTTTTAGGTGCCATGTCTGGTAAGGAGTGAAAAAACAAAGAGGGTTGGTGAGACGCAAGTAAATTGATTTTCGGCGACGTTCTTTTAGCGCCTTGGCACTGGATGCCTTCGACTACGACGTGTCAGCCATCCTAGACTTGAACCTCTACGCATGTCTCTTACAGGATGGGTTTGCGGCGGAGATCAACAAAGTATCGTGCCTGGAGGAACAGGTGAGGCTGATGGCTACGGATGATGTGCAGATGTACTACAGGGTTTTGGATGATCCAGTATGTTGAGTATATGAGTCTATGATCGAGGGCGTCGTGAGGCGTGCGCTGGTTGATGAAGATAAAAAATGGAGGGGGATGCCAAGGGGCAATTGATCGTTGAAGAGAAACAGCATGTTCAAAAAGCGAGGTTGGTGCTTACTTGAAGGGACGTTCAAAGCGTTGTCGAGGCCCAAGCGGATTTCAGCACGGTAGCGTATTTCCGGACATTCAAGTCTCGAGCGGTGAGGAAAACATTTCGGAACGAGATTAGCTGGTGTTGAATTTGACGTCTGTTATCATATTCGAATATCTGTACACGAAAATTTTCGCATCAGTTGCTCTTGTGAGCGAGAAAGTCTCGAGCAAACCATAGACCATGTCTCTGTATCGACCAGACAAAGCACCTCCCAAGATAAAGTCGTACACGAGGATCACGTTGGCCACCCTGCTTCCACCCGCTGGTCATTCCTTGACGAGATCGAGTTCCGAGAGCTTGACACCACATCACATCAGCCGCCATTGATTTCTGTAGCAACTCCTTCTCACGACATGCCAGAGTAGAGAAGGACCAGCTCACATCTGCCAACCCATCCATCGCGTCATTCTCCAAGCCTTCTCTCTCAGTTGCTGCATAAACATCAGCATCTCTCAATTGATCAGATATGCCCAGATCTACCACATTCAGTAGGTAGTCTTACTAGACGTCACATTGAAAGAGAAATTATCAGATGAGGATCCCTGCCGCTTAGTAGGACCCATTGGTACGGCCCCGATGCGACTACTTAAGAACCAGAATAGCATGATGAGGTTGAGAGACGGGGCGTGCATGGTTCGTTTGGTTCGTCGGTGTATTGTTCTCGTGAGAAGATTGGAGGTGGGTTGGGGGAATATGGACATGGGAGTTGACTGGAGGGCTGGTGATGGGGTGACATGGACGTATTTGGACAACGGGTAGGTATTGGTTGAGCAAAAGCACAGTAGAGGAAGTCGAGGTAAGGCATAATTAATATAGCAATACAAGTGCGTGCACGTACTCCGCTCGATACGAGCACAGCATGTGGTAGGATTACAGCAATGATCTTTTGGAGGAGAAAACTTTCTGGTCTTTTGCTGCCTCGTGCCTGCAGATACTATACTTGCAGGTCCGTGCGTCCTTGTGTATGCACTAGCAAATCCGCTGTGGCTTGATGGATCATGTTCCATATACGTGAGCATACCTATTTCCGTCTGTGCGTGGATCGGGAAAAGAAGAGAAGGAGATTATATGCAAGTCCGGCATGTCATCGCGAGAGATGTGGACGCGCTGGACTGTTGCTTAGGCGTGTCGGTCTGAGGACTGTATTTATGTCCCTTGGACGGCAAATATAGCTAAACACAAGTAAATAAAAAAGAAGACTCATGTTCGAAGATAGTGAGGCTGTCAATACCACTTCGTCTAAAGCAACGAAGGAGGACCATCTTCGTTCCCAAAGACCTTCTGATTGCAATGTTCTATGCAAGAAGGTCAGGTCCGAGGGCTGTATCTCAGACAGCGCAAAGTTATACGATGCGCACGTTGCATGGCGTTTCGATTTGCCATGTACACATAGGAAGCAGGGTTGCGAGTTGCTCGAGCTTGTGGTAGAGCCGGGTAGCCTTTGTAATACTGTAGCTACTGAAGCTGCATCCTTGTTCAGGTTGGACTCCCAGAGCTAGCAATGCAAAATGATTGTAAACGGAGGTGAAGGTTGATGCGCAGTCAACTCATGAACCTGCCGTCAAAGCATTGACCAATCTTCATGACTGAAGCGCTTCAAAATGGAGAGCACTTCTTGCAGTGCTGCTGAGCCTACGTGCATAAAAACAACAACTCCTGACACTATTTTGCAACCTGAAACCAAAAAGACGCCTGTACCATGTCGTGCAGGCATAAAGCTCGCGCATGTATGTCAACGGGTAATTCTTCCGAATGTCAACGGAAGGGACATGAAGCTTTAAACCCTGGATCTTGTGGGTCCTTGCTTAGATACATCGTGATCGTGCGGTCATTGACATCGGAAAAAGATGTCATTTGCGCTGCAATTGCCCGGTTCGGCTCAAGAGTGAACTCCGTCGGTGGTGATGAAATGGTCGAAGCTTTGTGAATGATCTAAAGTTGGTATCTCGAGCCCAGATTTGAGCGCCTGGAGATAGAGCTCGAGAATTTCTCCTGGCGAAATCTGGGGAAAGAAAGTCGGCAAACATGGTGCTGCAGTGTGATACCTGCGCATATGAATTTGGGTAGAGTCTGCCTACTGAAATTCGTAAGAAATGGTACCAAGATTGTGTACTTAGACAAAAGTACTGTTGTCTTCTGTGTATCGCAGACCCGCTGCATGATAACAGATCAGACCTAAAACAGGGGAGAAGACCCAGATCATCTAGGCACAGAAGTGTTTATGATGCTGCCAACTATGCGTGAGCTATTTTCAGCCTATGAAACGTATGCACTGCAGGGAGATCGCCGTTGCCTCTGGACTGACAGTCTGACGCGAGTCAGAGCAGTTAATACATATCTTTTGCGTGTTTTGGAGGTTAGACAAGATCAGCCACATCCTAGTCTTCATGACTCTACATATTCCACATTATCGAAGTGGCAGATTCAGCGGTACCGTAGCAATAAGGCTTGGAGCCTCGTCTGATGAGACTGCCACGCTGGTGTTCGTGACGAGCCCGAAGGCACAGCAGCTATGTTTAGCTCAATCCGAAAATTGGCAGCGTTATCTGTGAGTGCGACCGGGAACGATCTCTTGCATGAGACGGCGCAGGTGAACTCTGCTTGTAGCCAACGAATTGGAAGGAAGGGAAGAGGTGTTCGTCAAAGAAAACGAATAAGATGTAGGCGCTTTTACCGCACAGTGGGCTAAGCCTCAAAGAGGGAAAGATGGACGTGGTGCTATCTCGCGGTCCAATGAATAAGATGAGAGGGTGATCCTTCCAAAAGCACCACCCAGGCACACGAGAAACGAGTGGCTTTCCTTGAAATGAAAGTCGCCGAGAAGGGTCATACTTGCGAGCGATTTGGCCACATCTCCGGCTGGGTCTGGCCTCATCATGACCGGATTCGGGGAACTCTGGTAAAGATACGGCGGGGGTGGTACAAATGGTGAGATTTCCAAGACCAAGCATGTGCCAGCGCTGAGGGAAGTACTTTCCCAAACCATACATCCGGGGAGTTGGACGATATAGGCGCATGAGCAGAAGATCTCGATGGGATAATTTTGCGATGCGATCCGTGTCGACAAATTGTGCGAGTGGACTCGTTTGCATGGACTGGACCGCTGAAGGTTTGACAGCTGCACACCATTGAAGCGTCTATCTCTTTTTTCGCGAAATCCCAAGAGTCGTGGACTCCGGAGAAATGTGCGCGTGCAGATGAGACACGGTCATGCAGTCTCTGAAGATCCCAGTTCCCAGTTCCCAGTTCGAATATTTTTTGGCGTTTCTTACAGTAGGAATGTTAGTGGTACAATAATAATGTCAACCTGCATTCGATTTGGCCGTCTTGGTCGGAGGTGTAGCAAGTCAATCATGTTGATGAAGTTGATGGGGATGAGGTGATGACTGGTTGGCTGGCTTACAGCGATTCGACGGGCGACTGGATGAAAAGTACATGATATTAAGAGAAGTATGATTTATTGATTGGTTGTATTCGACAGGACAGCCTTATAGCTAGTATCTAGTTGTATCTAGTATCTCGGTGCTACATGTCGATTTGGGTCATAGCGCTTTCGGCTTTATAACCGAGGTTAGACTAGCATGGGTTAGATGCAAGGCTTTCGCCCTGCTGTCACTCAAATTCTCAATGGTTTGAAGATCATGTCCCCCTACTTCTATATAGTACATACTATTATCATACTACTGCCTGTACTACAGATGCACTGGACCCTACAAAGGCTTCGAGGGTAACCCTAAGGTACCTTTAGGGTATAAGGTATGGAGAGAAGGTTCTAGTGGTAATCGAAATACCGTTAATAACGTAAACAATGCTCTGTTACCCCGCAATTTGGGATATGATTTGCCTGCTTACCCTTTGCACTTGGCCTGTGACGGTTTGATTTTGCTTGGGTTTTTTATTTCAGCCCCCCCCCCTCGTTTTGCTGGTCGATCGCATTGGACTTCTTCACCCTCAACCCATTTTCATTTCTTCATTCCTTCACTTCTTCCTTTCTCCCTATTAGTCCCTTTCTCCCTGTATTCCCTTTCTCCCTTACCCTGTCATTCAACATCACATTCAACCCCCCCGTTGTTTCGTCTCTCAAGACCTTCTTCGATGCGCAAGCCGTCAGAACCGTGCTGTTTAGCCGCAAAACGGCATTTTTGACCCCATATTCTCCGCAGAGACACATTTACCCGTCCGCTTATTCCATCGTCGTTATATCCTTCCTTCCAAAATCCAATACTCCGCAATAACTATCTTATCATTTCCCTTTCCATCAAACCCTCTACCGATTCTTGTTGCGGCCTTGGCTGGTTGTGCAGTCAAAAGTGCTTCCCTGAATTCGACTACAAGTAATTGCGACCCCGATGAGTCCACACTGTTGACCTTCCACTCACCCATCCTCAACAATCATTTGCCCCAAATACCCGACGTTTAGAGTCGCCAAAATGGCCCCCCCTGAAGGAGAATCCGGGGGACCAATCCCGCTCAACAAGGGTGTTTATATGGCCATAGCTGCCTTCACTGCAGTCGCATGGTACAATGTCGCCGAACTCAATGTCCAAGTCTTCCTCACTTTCAAACGACATCGGGGCCTCTACTTCTGGTCACTTCTGATATCGAGTTATGGCTGTGTGCTTCATGCTCTCGGCTTCCTCCTCAAGTTCTTCCAGCTGGTTTCCCGCAATCAGTCCCTCAACGACTATGTTGCAGTTACTATCATCACCGTTGGCTGGTATTGCATGGTGACCGGTCAGGCCGTAGTTCTGTATTCGAGGCTCCATCTCGTCGTGCGGGAGCAAAAGATCCTCCGTGCAATTCTCGCAATGATCATCGTCGATGCTGTTTGCTTTCATATACCTACTACCATACTCACATACGGATCAAATACGATGGATTCTGCCAAATACATCCCCGCATTCAACGTTATGGAGAAGCTCCAAATGACGGCCTTCTGTTCGCAAGAGTTTATTATCTCCGGGGTATACGTTTGGTCAACCATCAGACTTCTCAAGCCAGTCTACCATGGTCGAACACGAAAAGTCATGACGCAACTCATATGGATCAACCTAATCATCATCGGGATGGACGTTTGCCTGCTTGCCATGGAGTACTCGAACATCTACGAGATCGAAGCCACATTGAAGGCGATGGTCTACAGCATCAAGTTGAAGCTCGAATTCGCGGTGCTCAACCAGCTCATGACCCTCGCCAATTCGACTGTCAGTAGTCACCAGCAATTGAACATAGAAGAGGGTAGCGAGAAACCTACCAGACCGCCCACCGGTCGTTCTAGATCCACGGAGTACATCAGCAATAAGTACAAGAAGCCTTCGAAAAAACCGAAAGACAACGCCAAGAGATCCGCTCCTGCCATTATCCACAGTAGCTACTCCACCTCGCGTGTACCACATCACAGCCGCTCGAACTCATTTGGACCAAACAACAAGAGCCGATTTCAATGGATACCCACTCTGGATCGCAACTGCGTCGTTGAGACAAAACACATCGAAAACACTGAAGACTGCCAACTTAATGTATTTACCAATCCCGCCGCCTGCTTCAAGCCTGGCCGACAACAGCCTGACGGCTATCCTCCACACGATGGTCTTGGCGGCATCCCTAACTCATGTCCCGATTCTCCTGAGACATCACCAACCCGAGACATAGATGGGTCAACCCTCCACAGTCGCCGGGCTCCTCCGCCTCCACCCCTTGACCTTGATAACTCCGTCATGCCCAACGGCTTGCTACGAAGTACCAGGCCGAGTGTTAGCGAATGGGGCAAAGGACCCGACAATGAGAGCGAGGCTAGTCCCAACAGTGATGAGATTCGATTAGATCCATACGAAAATGCAGACTATCTTCCGCCTCGAAGTCCCGGGAGTGTTAGGGTGGGGAGGGACAGGGCGGCCCGGAGTATGGGTCAATTGGATTTCATGACGAGTGCTTTGCGGGAATGATGCTCTTTGCGCTTTCACATCCACAGATGGATGAACAAGCATGGGCGGGCGTTCCGGTATTAAAATCAAGGATTGGAAGGAACGGGACCTTGGGTTGGGAATGGATTTGTGCGGCGCATGATGTAACTCGCCCATCGAGGCTTGAGTTGGATTTTCCCATGCTTTCGAAGTGGTTCCTTTCCCACGAAACTCCTTCCTGATGACATACATTGGGTAGATACAACCACAAGCATATGTCTTAGATATATTTGCCACCCATATACTATCACACTATTTACGCTCCAATTTTCGCGCCCCTCTGAGCTTGCTACTTGTCGGCCCCTCAAGACAGACTTTGAATGCCAATTTTAGGAAGGCATGCGACCCGAGAGTATTCATGCTTTTTTGGTCTCTCGCGCATGCAATCTTTGTTTTCGCAAGCTTGACTCACATTTTGATGCGCATTTCGCCAGCGCATCAGGCATTTGAGACACGGCTCGAGGAGAACAGTGCTTTGCTACTAAATTTAGAACCGAACTCAGCCCTGAATCCATTCGGCCTCAACAGTGAAACGGTCGCTTCACTCACCAGCAAGGAATGCCTCGCCTCTCCAGCCATTGTTACTATATGTTTGAAACATCAAGCATGGCGGAGCGAGGGCTGCGGCATCTATTCCTACTGTCCTTTCACAACCGTTCCCCTACAACATTTATTAGGTTTGTGTCTCTCGCTTTTTTCCCAATGTCGTCTTATCTATCAGACTGTAATATTTCTATCTCTTCTTTCTAATTGAAAAGATTTAATTTGACTTTCCCTCTCGAGTCCCCAATCATGATCACCATCCGTCCCTCCCGCCAGAAAATGTACGCCGATGACCCTAAATTCCTCTGGAAATACATCCTGCGCTCCCTCGCCATCATCCTCGCCCTCATCAGCATCGGCCTCATCGGCTGGTCCCTAGCCCACCAAGTCGTCTTCCCAAACAACATCTACGACAATTACGACTACGCCTACTACGACTGGCCCTACAACAGCGACATCTGGTTCCTCCCATGGGAGTTTATCACCCTCGGCCTCTCCATAATCTGGAACGTCGCCAACATCCTCGTGCTCCTCATCCGCAACAGACCGATCCACCCCGGCGCGAACGTCGCATGCGATCTGCTGCTGTGGCTCGGATTGATAGTCACAGGCACATTCGCAACGGTGGGCGCCGGGAATTATTTCTGGTGGTACCCCAACGACTACGACAACGACAACCAAGGAGGCCCCGTCGCCGAAAGCGACGACAACAGCTCCTCCTACTTCATCTTCCCCAACAGCACCGTCAGCAACGCCACCTCCACCGCGTCCGACCTCTGCGAAACCTTCACCAGCTGCGCGGCCCAAAAATCCTACAACGACGCCGTCAACCGCAAAGGCACCGTCATCGCCGTCGGCGCCGCCCTGAGCTTCCTCGTCCTGCTCCTCCACTTCGCCCTCTTCGTCTCCGCGTGTCGCTACACGAACGCGCGGCTCGTCACCGCTAGGGCTACGGTCATCGCCGACGGGATGTACAACGAAAAGGTCAGCGGGGACGCGGGGGGGGAGAGGAACCCGAACGCGGGGTTCGTGCCCATCAGCGAGCCGGTGGAGCAGCAGGCGCCGTTGCATTACGGCATGCCGCCCGCGCCGACGGGGATGACGGTGGGGGATAAGGGGAAGAGGAGGGCGGTGATGTCGGAGGAGCTGGGCAGGGGGGTGAGGTTTTCGTATGAGCAGCCCGAGGTTGTCGTCCAGGGTCCCGGTGATGAGCGTGCGGCGGCGGCGGCTTATGGGAACGATGTTTATGAGGCGTAAGGACGAGATGCTAGGGAATGAACTTTTTTTGAAAATCGCAAGAGGCGTCTTTTTTTTTCAGAAGAGGGCGGTGTTGCTGCATGGCGCTTTTGAGGTTTAGATACCCACGTGGGATATAGCACGGCTTCGCATGTACTATTAATGGAGAAAGAACGGTCCACAGGCGAAGCTCCTCCATGTGATACGATGCTCTTGCAGTAGGGGGCTCGAAGAAAGCCCGTGGGTGCCCAAAGCGAGCTTCCCAAGAGTCCCAGCAAGCGATCTGACACACTCGTCCATAGCACCGGCGGACTCTGATCCCTTATCGCCAGCCAAACACTTCCATTTGCCTCTTATGCCCAACTTGAAGCGTGAGATGCAGCATGGGCAAGCGCGAGGACTGCGAACACGACAAGGGATGACTTCGCCTTCACTCTTGAATCGAAATCTTTTAGAGCATCATCTGCCAGAATGCAATATCTCATCGGATGCTTCGAATGCCCTCCCCACCCCCATCGAGGCGTTTTGCTTGCTCTTACAGCACCTGCTTCCGACTCTACTACACAGGATCTCTTTTCCCCGAATTCTCCTAGAACCCTTCAAAGCGACCCCGCCCTCTCCGACTCTTACAGCAGAGCCACCTCAACGCCCCCATCAAGGACCCACAGCCCGACCTTGAACCACACCTCCTTCGCAAATCACATCGTAACATCCCCATACCTCAAGCCTAACTCTGCACCTCCGACCCCAAGCACACGTCCAGATCAACCCTCACTGCACTACCATGGACTTAGACGCATTGCCCGAAGTGATGGCGCGCGTTCTTTTCCGAGGGTGACGGACCGCTACTCCCCAGCGACGATCCTCAAGCGAGCCCTTCCTTGCAAAGTGTCTAGAGCGAAGTTGCGAGGGGAGGAAGTGCACAGTCACGGGGTGGGGTGGGCTGGAAGCCTGGATAGGAGCTCCGGCAAGCCGGTCCGGCGCCTGACTTATTGGCGATTGCCAGCCAGCGGTGCTTCCGGGGCCTGATGGGTAGGTATATGAACCGGGGACGCCGTGATGACGGACTGCGGTTCGCTAATGAATGTGAAAGGTGGGGCGTGATGGGGAATGGGGCTGTTGCGACGCCGACTGATTCAATCGCTTGTCATGGTGCAAATGAGGCTACGGGAGTGAGGAGATGTGAAGGGCGTGATTCGGGACTTCGTGTCTGGTTTTGGGCGATGGTTCACGCTCGCTCTGCACAGCGAGGTCTGTTGCTCTCGTTGGTATAACACACGCACATATCATGGATGTTTTGGAACTTAGAAACCAACTTTTCTCTGCTCTTTGCTGGGCTACTTGCCGCTCCCTTACGCCGATGTCAGGTGCCACGCTATTACCGACCAGTGGACTGTGATGGCAAATTTGAGCCTTCAAGATCAAATTGAGAAGGCAATGCGGCCATCTCATCTTCGATCGCCTGTTGTGCAGTTTTCGTGGAGTCTGCTGTGTTGGCTTCACTGTCACCATGATTGCTTGGCTTGCTGTCTCTGTTTCCACAACTAGCTTTATCAGTCGTATGACGAATGACCTCAGCACTGTGCTTTTCTGATGTACCGCCGACAACTGCGTCATCGCAAGCCTCTTCCGAGACATGATTCCTTGAGTTGTCTTGCTCCATGCCAGTCGCATCAGGTTCGTCCGTCGAGGTCAGGTTTCGTATCGAATTTTCGAACAGGCAGCTGAACTGAACTGTATTCTCCCGATCCTGTTGGAACATGCCTAACCTTGCTTCTTTTGCCTTCTTATCCAAAGCTGCTCTCTGTTCCTGAATGTTGCAGATTTCTGTGTCCAATTGATTCTCGAGGTCGTTTTTCTTTCGTTCCATGGCCTGCATCGTAGCCCGGAAAGCCACAAGGATATCGTGAAGCTTGCGCTTGCGTGGCGTATCTTGTAGAGCCGTGGCCAGTTTCAACGCATTCCTGAGCATCTTCTCAATTCCTTTGACGCTTGTGCGAAGGCGATGTACAGCTGCATGACGAAGCGGGTGCGTTGCCTGGAAGACCGCGGTTAATGCCTCCCCTGACCCGAGAATCTTCGCATCAAAGCTGGAAGCGTCAGCTCGTTTAGGTATGATTGCGGTCCACCTGCCAAGCTCTACGGCTTCCGAACAAGTCCAATTCCGCTCATTCAACAAGGAAGGGATCCACCTGGCCGCCCAATCGTAGCAGCAGTTCTCCAAAACTCTCTGAACAGCATTCAGCAGCTTATGCTGAGAAATATACGACAAGTACGAGGGAAAGAGAGATGGCGATTTGGGGGAAATGGACCCGGAGGGGTCTTCGTTCGGTCCGACTTCTTTTCATACACATTAGCGGGATCAACATTAATCGCATGGCAGAAGCTATAACCTGCAACATCGACGTGCTCGCCACCTAGGTCGCCTTCAAGCATAGCTAGATCAGATCTTGAGGCTTCATCTAGAGCCATCGCTTCTGATTGGGCTGCCTCTTGCTCCAAAGCGTCATGCTGTCTGTCCCTGAGCGCAGAGGGCTGATGAGTCTTAGCGGATTCAAGCTGAGCATTTGTCTCCAACGCAAATGTTCCGTTTTCAAGCAAGCTGGATATTATCTGGACGACCATATCGCTTCCATACAACTTCACTACAGATTCAAACCTTGCTGGATATTCGAAGATGATAGCCTTGATTGCATTCCTGTCAGTGGCCTGGATTGTATTACCCATGAGTATTGCACTTGCGGCCCGAATGATACTTTGACGACGTTGTTCTTTCCAGAAGGGATTGAAAGACGACATGGCCAAAGACTTTGCTCTCACGCTTTAATGATGTATGCTTGATGTCCAGGATGTCACTGAAGAGGAGTGTGTCTCGAAATGTCATGGGCTCATCGAATGAGGCATATACTCAAGACAATGTCACATCACTCATTGAAGTTTGCTCAGAGTGAAGACGAAGCAAACCTCCATGTCGGTATCCAGAAATGCCCCACCTCACTCATGTTTTAGGTCCAATATCATTAGCCCTTGACCAAGTAAGCCAAGCATAATCCATCCGGTAGGAAATGGTATTTATACGCGCTTCTTGCCAACCTACCGAGCCATCAATACTTTGCATTGTTATTCTGTGATGGGTAACCTTTGGAATCTGGTCGGTACCATCCCATAGAAAATCAAAAGGTGCAACAAATACTCTAGCGAAACTCTGCCCTAGACGCGTGTTCCCAAACACGTTTCATGACATCTGAGTTCGGGGGGTATTTTTTTGGAAGGAGACCATCGATGCCGTGAGAATACATGGCACGGTATATAGGAAAGCTTTGCGGCCTTACCGTCATATATAATAATTTCCGCTGCTTGGCTCGGAACAGAAAGCTGATTTCAAATACTAAGCATTTACTGTGTTGTAAGATAAAACTAAATAGTCTCGCTGAGGTGTAAAGTAAGGTGGCAGACAGCACACCGGATGGAGGCTGACTGATCAAGATCTTGGCGCTCTGTACCATGACGTTTGTGGTAAACACACGAGTAAACAGCGATGACGCGCTTTGCTTCACCTTTCAGAATAGATTGATACTCTCAACAGCCACTGCTGATAAGATTGGAAAGTTTCTACATGTCATTGGCGAACAGTCTTTCGAATCGATCAGACTACCTGGAGCAAGCCTTCAGCGCCGGCCTGAGTGGTACATTCGGTGACAACAGGAGTACTTGTGCATCCAGGGCCCCACAACTATGGTCTTGCTTACTGAGCATGCATGGCCCCGGCACCAAATTGCAGAATTCTGGGTGTGGTGATGTCAGTTGGAAACCTTCCGGTGCTCCAAGAACGACTTGAAAGCGTTCGCAGCAACGCTGTCGCAGGTTCGCAAGTTCGAATTGCAAATCTCGAAGGAATGGACGCCTCCGGGAACACACAATCGGCTTCGGATTACTAGAATGCCGCCGGTTTTTGAGGAATGGGCTCGTCCAAGATCCGATTTCGGGAGCCGACGATCCGGAAAGATTGAATATTAAGCTCGATTGGCAGTGATACTCCCAGACGAGATTTCGATTTGGGGGTCGTTAAGTGGGATGATACTCGTCTTCCGGAAGACGTGCCCATGATTGAGGAACGAAAGGCCGTCGAAGAGTGAATTTAGGAAGGGCGGAGATTGCCCACTCACTGACGAGTGGTCGAAGGAATGAAAACTCTTTTTCGAGCAGTCTTCTGAACTATCCGATCACCACGACTGTACTACCTACTATAGGCATGCGTCCTGCAACAAGCACTTGTGTGTCGGCTTCATTCATCTCTAAGTCTCAATTGAGCTTCCTCAACATGCAATAGCATCTGTGCATGATATGATCGCCCAACGTCATTGCGACTGATCCTGGATTGATATGTACCCATCTTCAGTATGCGGGCATGCATGCCCACTTGTTTCTGAGAAAGCATGGTTGGCCACATTGAGGAGATCGCCACCTTTACTTGTGCCTAGGTACCATCATTCTCAACTGTCTGTCGTCATGGCGAGGTCTCAGAATCAAGTCACTTTCGGCATGCTTTGCTTTTAGATAGTGCAAGTGGGCGGGGATCGATGGCCAGAACCTCAGCTGCCTTTCAGAGGCATGACTCCTCGTGTTTGGAGACTGGATATCTCGTCATGACGCAGGTCGAATGTGCTCTAGTGAAGACTAAGCACTCTCCTTCGAAGAGCGTTCTCCATCAGGTAATGTTTCTGTTTTCGCCATGCGTGGGACACAGTCTAGAATGCTGACTGAAGGACTTCGATTTCCATCCATGGCCTCTGCCTGCTACCAAATTGATGTTGGAAGAGCTATCCCGGCCTTTTAGAACTCGCGTTGAATACGTGCTGCATGGGTGAAGAAAATGATTTGGAATTCGTCACCGGTCTGTCTTCGTCCACGACGCCATCGTCTGTGAACCGTAGCCGGGGTCCCGATCCAGTAGGTTCGCGAAGAAATCGTAAGGGTACCGGTACCTGCAGCATCTCGACCATCGCACGAGATTTCATCGAGCATTGGGCGAGCCTAGAACCCCGCGAATTTTGAACAATATCCACTTTTTTTTCATCTGCTGGCCCCTATTGGGAGTGACTGTAATTCACTCCTCGTTGCAGATTCAGCAAACGATTAGAATATGCCCGTGTCGAGGTTTCACAGGGTCTTGGTATTGCCAGCTGTCGATGGCGCGCTTCAATGCACAATGCAGTTAGTATAGTATATGCGCGCATTCAAACCGGTAGTCTGGCGGTCCCAATTGAGAAGATCGGCGTGTTTTCTGATTCGTTCTGAACCTATCATTCATCGTAGGGTCTCTGGACAGCCTCTATTGGTCGAGTGTCAGTGCGAAGGTTGCGAAGTGTGAAGGACGACTGATAGTGTAGCGGTTGTAGTCGCTGCTAGCGTAAGACGTAAGATGTGGGAAGAACGCCACAACGGTTGCGGGTAACTGAGGCTTTAACATGACATGCAGGAGTTATCTAAAGTTTCAATTATTGATGTCGATAATCGATAATCGATGAACGATGAACGATGATCCTGGAGACAAACGACTGGCCATACGTTGTGCCTCTCTCTATGTAGGTACTTCCACTAATCTTATACACGTATACACTCCGAGTGCGACGTTTTGCCCGACTTATTACTCGTACCACATCACATACGCGATTCATGTTGGAGAATGCGGAGATTTTAGGCGAGGCCTTAATCAGATGCAGGCTTATGGGCTGAATCAGATTCTGATTGGATGCTCGCAAAAGATGATTGTATGGAAGGACCATAGAGATTGTTAGGAAGAAAAGGACCTGCACACAGCCTACAACAGTGCATCAATCAATACGCCGGTGATGGCACCCCATGCACCACTGAGTGCACCAGCCTCCAGCACAGCGCCCTGTCAGGAACCGAGTACTCGTCAAAGGTGCATGAATGTCACTGTGCCGCGTGTTCGACTCGAATCTGCTGCAACGTACTCAACCTATCGGCGCAATACGACAGCCAAAGCCTAGCATCCCACATGCACCGAAATTTGGTCCTGAGTCTTGACAGCCCTCCCGCTTTGGGCCCTCCTCTAGCGAGGCGCCATACTCTAACGGCACCTTCTATTCCATGTCAAAGCTCATTTGATCTACTGTTCCCGCGCATTCTTCAGTCGCTTCTCGTGGCTTGCTGGAAGAGAAACCTAAAATCATCAAGCAACATAGAGCAAAACTACCTCCTTCCGCAATCTCAGGCTTGTGTAAGCGTCACATTCAAGCTTCGTTTACGAAGGAATCCCTGAGTCCGAAACCAAAGGTCTCCAAACAGTCAGCCTTGTGCTCTACATCTGGGCCTTTGGCAAAGTCGTTCAATGGCACCACCAAATGCCCAAGAGATCCAATATCAACTCGCACATATCCACCAGGATCGGTCCAACGATATCGTTGTATCACACGGCATATGCATTGTCATTGCGGCTGTTGCAGTGGTTCTCAGATTTTCTTCCCGACGACTATGCAAAGCTCCAATCCTAGCAGACGACTACATGACCATCGTTGCACTTGTGAGATTCCTTTGAACGCATTACTCCCGCCATCAGCGCTCTCGTTGGCAAGAAGAGATGGTTAACCGGTGCAAATGTTGCCGCCTAGATCCTTGCAGCTGGAGAGGTCGCAGGAGGTCTCATGTGTATGCACTCACCCAATAGATATGGCGAGATGATACTGAGAGATTCTCGTTGATTAGGCGTCCATTACGGAGGTGGAAAACACGCGGTATTGCTCAAGAACCCCGAGACGTTCGCTAAAGTAAGTATTCGATATCACATATGGTTGAACGCCGGCTAACATTTTATGCTAGTGGGTAATCGCCACCGAGGAGCTGTACAACGCTGCCATCACAGCAGTCAAGCTGTCCATCTTGCTACTCTATCGTCGCCTCTTCCCAGATCCTCGATTCAAGATTGCCCTCTGCACCGTTGGCGGCTTCGTAATATGCTGCGGTCTAACCATGAACCTTCTTGTCGTCTTTCAGTGTCGACCAGTCAATGCGTCTTGGAACCTGACTGTGCAGGGCCAATGCATTCACCTGAACACTGCGTTCATTATTTTGGGCTCGTTGAACGCACTTACTGATATCATTGCACTTTGCCTGCCAATGCCGTTTCTGTGGCGTCTCCACGCCGACAAAGCGAGAAAATTTCAGCTCATTGGTATATTTTCGCTTGGGAGCCTGTAAGTTACCAGATCCGTTCGTTGGTAAGGGTGACATTGACCGAAGACGTGAAGGACTTGTGGCATCAGCCTATACCGGATTCCTCAAATGGCGAATATCTCGCTTTCAGACGCACCATGTAAGGCCTCGACTTCGTGATATCGAGCTCGTATTGCGGGACTACACTAACAAGCTACTAGGGTCCGACGTCAAGCCATGCGTATGGGCCGTCGTCGAGGTCTGCCTGGGTATCCTCGGCGCCTGCCTACCTACGTTCCCAGCGCTGTTCCGCTGGAAGAGTGTCCGCGACAACCGAAGGCCGAGCGGAATGTCCCAGTCCAGAAGCGCCGATTCGTCTCGGTATCCTGTCTTAACGCCGGATGAACGTCGCTCAGGATTCAAGAGTGGAGTAGGGAACGCTCATAAGGAGTTCTTGAAGATGATTGATTGGGCGGATGTACCAAAAGCCGTCAAGAAAGGGAATGATACGAAACTGCAGGGATATTTTTGATATAGTTGTGCAATGATTCCTGACAGCAGCGATGAGGCTAAAAGATGTTATGATAGATGAAAGACGCTTTCATAGACTTTTGTGTATTTCTTTGGGCCTTCGATGTAGTCGGAACGAAGATTCAACAATCTTGAATATATGGCGGTCTCAACGCGCATGGCGTGAGATCCCAAATAGTACTAGCCTATCCAATCTATTACGGCAGCTCACACGTACAAAGCCGCCAGCTTTACGCGAAGGAACGCGATTTCAACGCGTTCTATAGACCGAACATCAACCTTCCGTATCTTCTGAATATCTCAAGAGAAAATCCCCTACCTTCATTCATTACCACTTTATCTCTGTCAAGATGGATGGTCTACAGCTTCGCGATGAGGCAGTACGAGATCGCATACGCCTGGCAGAAGAATTTCTAGATCCCAGCGATCAAAGCGCTCGAAGCTACCGCGCGGACATCATACTCATGCTCAATCGAGGTCTTCGAAGACTTACTGTCAGCCTTGATGAGATCAGAACACACAATAGACAATTGGCAGATGGACTTCTCCAAGCACCTTTCGATTTCTCTCAAGCGTTCGACCAGGCGCTCAAAAATACGATTGTGGCTTTACCCAATAGACCTGCGAGGGAGTCGTCTGACGATGTTGTAAGTTTTCTTCGTTCGAAATCCTATCAACAGGCCTGATTGCATTGCTAGATGTACTACTGCGCATACGTTGGCAGCTTCGGTGAATTCTCCTGCAACCCTCGAACCCTCAGCTCCAATCACCTCAACCATATGGTATCGCTAGAAGGAATTGTTACGAAATGCTCCTTAGTCCGCCCGAAGGTGGTGAAAAGTGTGCATTACAATGAAAAGAAGAACATATTCCGGTTCAGGGAATACCGGGATCAGACGATGACCGTGAATGGAGCCGCCAGCACAAGTGTGTATCCTCAAGAGGATGAGGATGGAGAGCCGGTACGATGCTGGAAGACGGAGCCTATTTGGTGGTAAGCGCTGACAATCAATAGCTCATTACAGAATATGGTTATTGCACTTACAGAGATCACCAAACCATCTCGATACAGGAGATGCCAGAGCGTGCACCGGCCGGACAGCTTCCTCGAGGCGTGGACGTGATCATGGACGATGATTTAGTAGACCAAGTCAAGCCGGGAGACCGAATACAGCTCGTTGGTATCTACCGGTCCTTAGGAAACCGCAATGCCGGTCAAGGTAGTGCGACTTTCAGGACACTGATACTGGCAAACAATGTCATCATGCTCTCTTCTAAGTCGGGTGGGGGTATCGCTCAGTCGGCAATCACAGATACGGATATTCGAAATATCAACAGAGTATCGAAGAAAAAGAATGTCTTCGAACTATTATCACAGTCGCTAGCACCGAGTATATATGGCCATGATCACATCAAAAAAGCAATACTGCTCATGCTATTGGGTGGTATGGAGAAGAACTTGGAGAATGGTACACATCTAAGAGGAGATATCAACATCTTGATGGTGGGAGACCCTTCGACTGCGAAATCTCAGCTGCTCCGATTCGTCCTGAACACAGCACCATTGGCAATTGCAACGACTGGCCGAGGATCCTCAGGCGTTGGTCTCACAGCAGCAGTGACCTCAGACAAAGAGACAGGAGAACGACGTCTCGAGGCCGGCGCCATGGTTCTTGGAGACCGAGGCGTCGTTTGTATCGACGAGTTCGACAAAATGAGCGACATCGACAGAGTAGCCATCCACGAAGTCATGGAACAACAAACCGTCACCATCGCAAAAGCGGGCATACACACATCTCTCAATGCCCGCTGCAGTGTCATCGCAGCCGCAAATCCCATCTACGGCCAATACGACCCTCACAAAGATCCGCACCGCAACATCGCCCTTCCTGACTCGCTCCTCTCCCGTTTCGATCTTCTCTTCGTAGTCACAGACGATATCGATGATTTCCGCGACCGTCAGATTTCTGAGCACGTCCTCCGTATGCATCGATATCGCCAGCCTGGCACTGAAGAAGGCGCACCAGTTCGCGAACAGCAATATCAGACCCTCGGCGTAGGCCTCGACGAAGAACAAGACGCCAACCAACCCACCACAGTCTACGAAAAATTCAACATCATGCTCCACGCCGGCGTGACCGTGACCTCAGGTCGTGGCGCCGCTCGAAAAGTTGACGTGCTGAGTATCCCTTTCATCAAGAAGTATATTCAGTACGCCAAGCTACAGCGCAAACCTGTCCTCACAAAAGGGGCTGCAGATCACATCGTAACAACCTACTCCGCACTTCGCAACGACGAGCTGGAAGGGAATCAACGCAAGACTTCTCCTATGACAGCTCGTACCCTCGAAACACTGATCCGCCTTGCAACGGCTCACGCCAAAGCTCGTCTCTCACACAAGGTAGAAGAGAAAGATGCCGAAGCCGCAGAGTCGATTCTCCGGTTCGCCCTCTTCAAGGAAGTTGTCGAGGACGAGCGGAAGAAGCGGAGGAAAGTCAGCCATGCGGATGCAATGTCCAGCGACTCTTCTTCTGATGACGACGATGACGACGGAGACCAAGGAGAAGCACCACGAAGGAATGGCACCACTCCTCGCCGAACTACACGGACCAACGGGACCGCAAGAACAAGGGGTGCTGCTACTAACGGCGACAACGGCGGCGACGTGGACGGCGACGGCGACTCGGACAATGACGACATGTACACTGCCAGCCCCCGAACCAATGGCCGCACCACGCAATCGCAGATGTCGGTTGCGTCCTCAGCGCCAGCATCTCAGCTCCTCACATCGCAAGGAGATGATAGCCAAGCGACCACTAACGGCGACTCACAACAGCCCATCAGTGCAAACCGCCTGCGAGTCTTCCGGACTGCATTAGGGCAATTGGTGAATACCAGTGTATTCCAAAACGAGAGCGCCGACGTAGAGCCGCTTGTCAAGGCAGTCAATGAGAGGTTGGGAAGGACAGGGGATGCGGAGTTCGGGCTGGCAGAAGCTGGGAAGGCGCTGGAGGGGATGCAGGAGAGGAATGAGATTATGTGAGCCTTAGCCCTTTTCGCTTTGTCGAAGCTGGTGTCAAGGGAGTTTGGCTAATAACGATTGGTGAAATAGGTATTCCGAGAGCGACGGTATTGTGTATAAGATCTAAGTTCGGTCTGTTTTGAGGTAAGAGAAGTGGTTGGGATGGGCGCGGCGTTGGTCTGGGAGACAATGTTTGCGGTATCAAATCTGCACCGAGCCACGAGGGAGGGATCATTTGATGCATCGGCGTTGCACAGTACCCTTTGATTTGTGGAAGCTAGTAGAGAAGAACGACTGAGTGTTCAGATGCTTTTGTGCAAACATTGTACCTCTTGCCTTGACCTCGTCGAATCATTCGTGGCGGCATGCTGGTATTGATCTAGAGACCATTGTTTCCAGCGGCTCCCTCTTCCAAGCAGCATCACAGCTCCTGACCTACCGAGTATTCGTCTCCACCTCCCCAACCGTCTTCTCCACCATCTCCCCCCCCCCCAACCCCTCAAGCTCCTCCCTCAGCGGATCACAGACCTCAGGCGTCTCAGGCGCCGAAAGCCCCCTTTGCCAGCTTCCCGTCCAAAGACCTGCATAACCGCCACACCCACCGGTCTCGCCAGCGCGGAGCAAACCCTTCGGATCGCCCATACATTACTCACCCAGCGTACTGTACTATTCAGTTCGCGTCCCGCGCTTACGGTCCGCAGGTTCGATGTCGAACTTTGTGCTGTGGGAAGACGGGATCCTCGCTCGCCTCCTTCGTAGTGCCGTTTTCATTTCGAGGGGAGTGGAACGGAGGGGTTATGGCTTCTTCGGAAAAAGAGACCGATCCAGCAGCGGGGCTTGACGACCAAGTCTGCACCGAGGGGGAGCGCCTTCCCAGATGTCATTGGTAGGTTATTCGATTTCGAAGGAGCCAGACAGAAGCATACGTGGACGAGCCAGACTTTCCTCCAAAGATTGTTCTACATTTGGTCAAAGTGTTGGTGTGATGTGTGACAACTGAATGGGGAAATAGTCCGTCTTGGATAAACTTCGGTCGATAGACGACGGGGCGGCCGGACCTCATGCTCGCTCTCCCCAACCTTCTCTCCACCAGTGCGTACCGCTCCCCAACATCCCAATGGCCCCGCCACGTTCCCTCCTCGCCCAAACCGTCATCCCAATCCTCACCCGACAACCCGTCCTCGCCGCTCCCCCGCGCTTCTTCCGCCGCCACCACACCCACCTCCTCCGCCGCCCCCTCCCATCCCCCCTTCCCCTCACCCCCCGCCACCGACACCGTCACAGCACGGAACCCTCGGCGCCCAGACCCTACACCTTCGAAGAGGTGCGTGCCCTCACGGCCGACCCCTCCCCCTCGCCCTCCCGCACCATCATCATCGACGTCCGCGAGCCGGCCGAAGTGCAGGAATCGGGCCGGATCCCGGGCGCTTACTCCATGCCCCTGACGTCGAACCCGGACGCGTTCCACCTGAGCGACGGGGACTTCTTCGACAGGTTCGGGTTCGGGAAACCGCACGCGTTCCGGACGTCGACGTCGGAGTCGCCGTACGCGGCGGAAGCGGAGGGGAGGGAGGCGGGCGGCGGGTTGGGTGCGGAGGATGGGGTTGAGGGGGCGGATGCTGGTGGGGAAGCGGGGGAAGGTGGAGGGGGGATGGGGGTGGAGGAGGTGGTTTTTTACTGCAAGGCCGGGGTGAGGAGTAGAGCTGCGGCTAGGATGGCGAGGGAGTGGGTGGGAGTCAGGGCCGGGGATATGAAAGGCGGGTGGATCGAGTGGGAGGGGAGGGGAGGGGAGGTTGAACGGTGAAGGGTTAGGAGGTGAGAGTCCGCGGGATATTGAAACTTGCCGTAGAGATCACGTATTGGAGAGAAGAGATAGAGGCAGTGTAACATCTAGCGATGTCTAGAAGAGGGTACAACGGACGCGGAGTGATTATATGACGAGGATGTTGGAACTTCGAAGTAATGAATCAGACGCTATATGAACGCCCAGAACGGCCATAAAAGCCACCCGACACGACTCCGGGTAATGTAATGTCGCGGGACGAAGAAGAAAAAGGGAAATCTAATTACAATGATATGAGGACTCGTGCAAGCTGAGAAACAAAGATGGCAGCATTCATGATCGCTTTGAGAAAACCAACGGGCAGTGATCCTGTTGCCAACTATTAGCACTTCTTTACTTTTTTTTCGGATGACAGACTCACCTGTGGGAATATCGTGGCGAAAACCTCGATATCTTCACTCTTCTCGGTAGGCTTATGCGACCAGTCTAGGCACAGACTGGCCTTTCCAATCATACCGATCAAATTCAATTGTGCATACGTCTGTCCCAGACAGTAATGTGGACCAGTACCAAACACTAACCAGTTCTTACTCTTGCTCTCCGCATCCCCACTGATCCATCTCTCGGGATCGTATGAATCAGGATTTGGGTAGACTTCTGGGTCATGTAGTGCGGGCCAGCAGCTCGGTATTATCATGGAACCTTTAGGCGCGGTATAGCTATCTGTGACAGGGAAGGGCTTCTTGACAACGTAGGGCACCATGATAACTGGCGGCCGATACCGTAGGAGTTCTTTCACAACAGCGCGGGTATAAGGGAGGTTTTCGAGTAAGTCCATGCTGAAGCGAACATCCTTGTCACCGTTGCGGGCTGCAAGATTCTCTGCGCGTACGCGGTCGAGAATCTCGGGTCTGTCGGCCATGATTTGGAAGAGCCAGGTGCAGGCGCTGCTGGTCGCATCTTGCGAGGCAAAAAGAAATGTGAAGACAGTTTGGGAGATCTCAAAGTCGGAAAAGTCGCGGACGAGGGTGGCAGGTTTCTCTTCCGGGTCGACCGCAATCCCCTTGGCAATTTTCTCATTATATTTAGTGGAATCGATCATAGACTTTACCCAGGCGTCCATGATGCAAGTGATGTCACCGCCGACGGCCATGCGTGCTTTGCTCTTTGCGGCGCAGTTGGCGAATTCGTCAAGGACCATGTCCGCCGCCTTCTTCCCATACCACGTCTTGGTGAAAGGAAGGATGATTGGAAAGTTGACAAGTTCAAGGGCCGCGGTTATCATCCAATAATCGTCTGCAATCTTCTTCACTGCATTTTCGGACAGGTAGTGGCCAACGAAGGTCCGGCAGGATACGGCGCACATGAGCTCTCGGAAAAATGGCATGAAGGGAACACCCTTCTCCTTATCTCCTTGTTCCGATATCTCCAGAGTCCTCGCGAAGTATCTGTCATAGACCTCCTCTTGACCTGGCAGATATGCCTCCAATGCCTGGCGGGTGAACAAGCCGTTCAAACCTTTGCGATAGTCGATGTGTGCCTTGCCATCCAGGAACACCCAATTTGTAGGCCGGAGCAGCTTGATTGCTACGTCTACCACGCAAGGCTTGACGAACGTAGGTGAATTGAAGACCTTTCGCGCCATATCCCGAGACGATGCCATGACCACAAACCTAAAACAGCGCGATCAGCATTTGCAATTGGTGGTATCAGAGCTGCTTGTCCGTACTTATGGAAGACGGAAACGCAGCTCAAGTCTCCACTCGCCCACTTTGCCTTATATTCGTCCATCTTTGGATTGACGGATTGCAGGAACGGCCCAATGAAGGGTATTTTCCACGACGGTCCAACAATTGATCCCTTGTTCCAGACATATTTGACTGCGGCATACCTCAGCGACCCATAGAAGCTGTGGATGCAATGTAAACTCACATTGATCATATGCGACAAGTATCAACAGCAGGGTGACTGTGACACTGAGTCCGCTCATGCCATTGTACACTCTTGACAGGAGTCCTCCCTCTGCTGGGCTGAGAGCAGTGTAGTCTGCGCTTGCAATTGGCGATGCAAAGCTTCCATTCACAAGGGCGGCCATGCTGCGCGAAGGGGGAGAAATTAAAATTATTGGCGAGCGGTCAAATTTGGGTCAAATAGTCAAATTTGAAGCCGCAAATAAAGAACTTTTTGATTGATACTTAATCTTACAGAGGCCAAAGAGAATGTGCCCTTCAATGAACAAGCCAGTAAAGAACGCGCAAATTACGATGAGCACATTGAATTATCAAGCCTATACTTGTCGCCTCTTTATACTAGGTATGAGTATCATTCGTTAATAAAAGGAACCGGTGGCGGTGAGCGAGGTGGGCGAGAGGTGGGCTCGGGAAATAGGTCTGCCGAAGCTCAGACCGCACGCCCGAGGCGCCAAGAGGAACGGTCCCGCCAAGAGCTTCAAGTGAATCTGAATCGAAACTGAAGCGGATACTATTCATCAAGGGGAACCCTTTTTTCATCATCGTACTCTGTACGGACAATATTATAGGTATTCGGAATGCCGCCGCTATCTATGCTCAAGGCCTAAAACCCGGACAACTCCCCCCCCCCCCAACAAAAAGTCGTGCAATTCCACCATGATTGATGATCAATACAATCACATCTCCTCCTCTACCTGTCTCGAATCTCGCTGGACACCTAACCCTTTCAGTCTTCTTGCCAATAAGCCTTCGCCGGGCTCCGGAGTACCAGGCCTCCCAAAGACGCCGCCGTAGCCAGACTCTCCTTTGTTCAGCTTGTTGTAGCCGTCGCTACCATTGCTGGAGGAATTGCTCTTATATGAGCTTGATGGCTGCACGCCATTCAAGTAAATGGTAGTCTTGTCGCTCAACGGCGATTGCATGTCTGACGCGGTGGTGGGCCTCGAAGTATCCAGGTCCATGGCTTCACTGTTGCTGCTCCCCTGGCCCTTGGTAGGCCTTTGCCGTGACACTGCGATATTGAACGGTATTGCAGGAATAGGAGGAACGGGGGGGCCAGTAATGAAGGGGAACGTTGATCCGCCTGTAAAAGTCTGCGTAGCATGACCATCAGCCTCGTCGCTATCAAACCCGAACCCGGAGCTCCGTCTTCTAGATGCCTTTTCTGCCGTTAGCTTCGCACCTGCGCTCAAGCTGGCACCAAACAACGGGTCTCTACTTGGTTTATAAGCGCTGAATCTTGGCTGGGGTACCTGGATCTCGTTTCGCAACTGCTCTTTGTTGTCTGGCACGCGGTTCGCGAAGACAACCCTGATCTGCTGGTAAAGGTAGAATCGTCCTTTTGAAGGGCTGCAGATGTTCAAATGGATCAGATAGCGCAGAGTTGGTTTGCCGGATATAAACGCTGCGTCCGGTTCAGGTTTTGAGGCCAGGGGGCTATCGATGACTGGATCGGCCGAGTAGGAACGCTGTCGCACGAACGTTTTGGTGCCTGATTCCATCCCAGATAAGTCATACGGGATCAAAAAAAGCTTCACCGCTGTCTTGTTGGGGTTCTTGATGATAATCTGTAATTGGCCCTGCTCAGGTATCCTGTAGCTCCCTCTGGGCGGAGCAGATGCAGGCGAGGTACGCCTTCTCTTCTTGGATTTTCTCGGAGAAAGTTTGGCAGCGGTTGTATCATGCTCCGCACCCTTCACTTTGGTCTGAGATTCAACCTTAACCTCTGCTTGGAGCGTTGAAGCCATTTCAGGTTCTGGAGGTGATAACGAGTGCTGTAGATCGATGTGGCCCACGTAGGGGCTAGGATCATCGTTCACGGAGCTCCTACCATTGCCTGCACTCCAGCTGTAAAACACCGCAGGAAAAGGAACAGTCACATGAGCTGGACATTTGGGCTTGCAATTGCTTTTACCAAGGACGCCAATCTGGGCCGTAAAATCTAGAGGCTTAGAGGGAGCGGTTGACATCCATCCACGAAGGATGGACTCCTCGTAAGATCCCACCATGTGGGCATGCTGCCGAGGGGAAGCCTCGGAAGAGAATGATATCCGCCTTGGGCGTAGGTACGCAGGCGTTTGCGGGGAGCTGGAAGCTTGCAAAGACCAATTCGAAGTCAAAGATCTGCGCTGATGGTGGCCATATGGAAAAGGACCTTCCCTTCGATACGATGGAGGATGACGAGCTGCCTGTGAAAAAGTCGAAGCTTGGCCACTAGAGGACGAGTGCATATCTTGAAGGGTATTGGGAGGTAATGTATGGCGCCTGTTGCCTTTCTCGGGGCTAACGGAACGAATCGTTGGGGAGAAGTCCAGATCGGTCGTGTTTGATTGCTGGACCAATGGAGTTGTGGGGGCCTTGAGTACATAGCTTGATGATGAGTACGAGCTAAGTGATGGTGCTCGGCTCCTCCAAGGCCTTCGGTCTGAGGGAGCGTAGTCTCGGTCACGGGGACTGACTTGGGAGCTCGCATCAAATTCCTTGAATGATGAAGGCGGATCATACCAGGGAGTCGTTGGTGAAGTCCCTAGGGCCCCTTTTGGGAAAGCATCAAAACGCCTGGAAACCCGTGGCGAGTCTCGTGAAGTTTCCTTCACTTTTCCATGTTCCTCCGTGAAGTCCCCAGCGTGTAAAGCTGACCTTGGTCTCTGAACTTCCAATGGTGTACTTAATCCGTCATTCAATGTACCATCCTGCTTCTGTGCCATACCCTTGATTTCGGCGGCTGGAAGGAGAGGGGAAGGGGCTTTCCACTCGGAAGTCTGGCGTCGAAGGCTTGGAACATCCCCATTATTGGTCTTGAGGTACTCCTCTTGCAGCTGTACGATATGTCCGTTAGCTACTATCTCCAACGTAACATTGCCTCTAAGAAGGTCAAAGAAGCTTGCACGTCCGGTACATGTGAATCGACTTCTCCTTGACCATGATACAACGTTCAAGCAAGCAGCTTGACACAACCAAATCACCCTTTAGAGGTTGGCTTGCAAAGTCCATGGCCATGTATTCATAGATGTGGACCATACCCAGAATCCCCGAATGTACTTCAAAGACTAGGCCACCCCCAACTCACCGCCTGATTAGGAATCCAAGTGGGACTTTCTCCTCGCTTGATTCGTTCGATCAACTCGGCCCTATCACTGCAGACTGCTTCTCCATTATTGCTAACCCTGCCTTCTCTCCGTGTCTGTAGGGCAACATCGTCCATTTCGATATCCGGTACCGGCCCGTCACAGTATTCTGTCCTTATGGTCTCTTCTGACAGTCTCCGCACGTTGACATGGTGTGGAGGAAGCTCTTCTTGTTTGTAAGCTTTCGAGAGCTGCTGTTCAGGATCTTGGTGGATAGGCATTCTGGCGGCGGGGTTTGGCAGATTTCATGGTCCGAGCAGATGGGATGTGGAGGGTGAGTGGTTGCAAACAGGGTTATGGCGCGGAGACGAGGGATTACCTTACTCCTGATTCACACAGCGGTTTTGTATGACACTTGTGCAAATGCGGAGTTATGCATAAGTTTCCATAAAGGTCATGCCCTAGGTGCAGTGTGGCAATGTTAGTGCAGACAAAGCAGTCCTAACTCCTAGAGTAATCGACTCAACTTCCTTTCTCCAGCTGGACGCAAATAGGAAGAAGATGCTTTGCAATGAATCCTGCATCTGGAGGAAGCTTTGTTGCACTCATGACTCTGTATGACTTCCATGTTGACGTGATGTTGGAGGATTATGACGAGACTCGCCGCTTATCGGGGGTGATGTGATTCACAATTCTCACAGGGGCCACATCAGGAACGCGCGAGCTGCCGAAGCGGGGTCGAGCTCCTCGTCCAAGCCAATCCGATAAGCACTCATGAGACCAGAAGCAAAGCCGATTTCATAAAGTACTATATAAAGTACAATATAAAGTACTATATAGAGTACCCTCGAAATATGCGAGACCCAGTACTCAGTGGAGTCTGGAATGACAACTGATGATTCAGAAGGTTGCCCGAACAATAGTATGCTATTGCTGTGGTAGAGTACACCCTACTTGAAGCAATCCATGGCTTTCAAAATGTGCAAAATGTAGAGACCTTGCAGTATCCTATACAAGGTGCCGCCTGAATCAATATGCTTCCCTTAAATCTACAGCTTTGCTTTTGGGCCTTCGGTCGTTGGTAGAAGCAGATCTCTAATATCGCCCGCTGCCTCGTTAAGCCAGAAGCTCATGCGCTCACTGCCCAATCCTTTGCTCACAATGTTGAACTGAATGCTACATGCCGTTAGCCATGATTTCATCAACCAATTGGACTACACACCTGTTCTCGTTGATCATATACGCAATGCCAAAGCCGTCATCTATAACCTGACTCCACCCGTATCCGTTGAAATACTCGCTACTCAATTGACTGGTGCTTAGATACCACGTTCCGCTGTAACCGTATGCTCGATCTTTGAAGATCTCTGGCAACTCCTCTCCCTCCTTCAAGCACTTCTTCAGGCCGAACAGATGTCTGTCAACGCCCTTTCCGTCGCTTGCATCAGTGATGTACTTGACGTGGGCGTCAACAGCGGCTCGGAAAGCCTTAACGCATTCCTCTGGAGGAACCTCCGGGTCCGCCATGGCAGCGCAGAATGCTACGCTCTCATCACTGACGCTACGGCAAGTTTCAGTGCGGCCTTGTTGGAAGCGTCGAGTAGCGGCTGATTCGTAGGTGGGACGACAGGTGCCGTACATCTTGTGGTAAGCGAGCTGGATGATCATCTGCACGTAAGCATCTGGCGAGCACTTGAACTTTTTGATTAGACCTTTGCCGTAGCCTTGATAGGCTTGCACCCTCAGCTCATGCTGTGCAATTAGGTTCTCATGATCGGAGATGGCCCGGTGGATCTCCTTGTTCACAACTTCGTTGATGTGGAATTTGACGGCCACAGGCTCAGCGAGGTCGGAGCGGACGTTGGAGTCGGAGAGGTCGAGTTTGTTGGTGAAGATCATCATATTTATGTAGTCGTTTAGTCGATGAGTAGGAGTGCCGTCCATCATGCTGTGCTCGCCAATAAAGCCAGAAGTGCCATTCTCATTAACGATGAACTCCAGGGGTTTATCAAACCATCTATTCGCACCATCACCATGCCAATACTGATGGGCACGCTCTTCTAACGTTACTGGTGAGGCATCATCCAGGCAGATCAGGAACCCTGAAGCCTGGATGGTCTCCAACGCAGCAGCGTTGGCTGGATGCGCCGAGAGAAGTGTCTCGCGAGCGGAGTACCAGATATCACGATTTTGAGTAGTCAATGCACCGACTGCTGGAGTCTTTTGCGCCATCTTGTAAATTCGATTGAACTGCCTCTCCAACTCTGCAGCGTTGAGCTGTTGGCCACTGACCTCGTACATCACTTTGAAAAATTGGTTCTTTCGGACCACCGTAATGTATTTGTGGTCTTCATGGGAATATTTGACTGGGTGGTCGACTGCTTTGCCAGGAATGCGGCACGCATTGAACATCCACTGATATGATTCCATGCTAATGGGAAGCCTTTTCATGTACTCTGGTTCCAAACTCCCGCTGTCTACCTGCTTTTTGAATGCGAGGACAGCCGTAGCCAACGCTGCCGCCCTTTTCGCTGGGTTCCGTCGCCTCCTATCATCCCGATGTGAATAGAAGTAGCTTACGTACGGCACGACCGGGTCTCTATAGCTGAGGTATGCTGCATCGTTCCACCACTCGTAGATCCAATTCCGGTGTTTGGGATCTTCTCGACGGGCCTGTAGCCTCTTTTGTAATTCTTGTCCAATGCTGCCAGGTTTCACGAAATCGTCAACGGTTTTCTTCGTTGTTGCGAACTCGGCTTTATTCAACAGTGGTTGTACGGACTTCAGGTAACGCTTTGAGGTCTCTTCGAGGGTAGGAACCGGTAATTTAGGGAGCGAATCCTCGAATCGTAGCATGTCACCTTTCGAGCTGTCTTCTCGGTACCCTGACACGCAATGCATGAGCGATGCGACAATAGGATGGGCCCGGATGAAAGGAAAGACCCCATACCTTCGGGTAGCGCAGACGAGCTTCGTCGGGAATTTGCTGGCGCCATGGTGAAAGCCTGAGCAATCCGTCAGTCTTTCCTGCAATTTGTTTATCTCAGCCACTGTTAAAGCTACCTTTGCAGGATGGACCGTCGTCGAGCTATTCCGGAATGCTGAGCGGCTTCTTGCCAATGCTTGCAACATCCCCGGAGCCAGTCAGCAAAGGAAAATTAAGGAGAAAAGGAGCTCCTGATCAGTGTAGAACAAGGAAAGAGCGGAAGAGAATTGCTTTCTTGAGTGTTGTTGTTTTTAAGGATGCCCCAAATTACGTGTGTCCTTGAACACGAAGCAATGCAGTTGCAGTTCTCCATGAGCGCTAGCCGAGTGCCGAGGCAACCCCACCAAACGGCCTTGAACGCGGTCTCGTGGGGCAAAACCTCCAGCTCCTTCCAACAGGGATCAATCACCTGAGCACCGAATTCACTTATTAGTTCCCTATTCTTGTGGTCAAATCTGTGAAACTATGGCTTACAGTAGTAGTAGTATATTGCCTCAAAACTCACGCTTAATGCCAAGGATCTTGGAAAAGGTTCGCAGCTTTGGCTAGAATATGCCCCCTTTCAATTCCGAACCCTACCTCTTCCGTCCACTTCTCCGCGACGCATTACTTTTTATTGCAGCTCCTTTCGATGCTTTGCTAGTATCCTTCAGCGTGGCAGCTTTACTATCGTTCTCGTCTTCCCCCATGGCCTCGCCGTCATCTTCATCGTCCTTCTGACCATCGTCAGTACCTTGATCCACTGATCCTTTACTCCCCTGTCTTCCTCCAATCGTCGAGACTTCTGCTAGCAGCGATGTTCGCGTACCCTTCGACGTACGAGTGTTGCGGCTTATTTTTTGCCCACTAATTGATGCTGGCGAAGAACGTGGATCTGGAACATTCACTAAGCGTCCGTGCAAATCAATGAGCATGCATACCATCTGTGTCGTCCACGGTACTATATCTTCTTGCCGCTCTTCCGCCTTCAACAGACATGCCAGAGAGCTGGTGGGCAAGTAGCGGCGGCGACGAAGTTCCTTCACCTGCTAATCTCTTTCCAAACATCATGTCCCGGTATTCATCTTCAGGTAATGCGAACGGACAGAAGGGCTGCTCAGCAGGATCACCGTCCATTTGGATTGGTTCGCCGAAAGCGTCTTCCTGGAAGCTATAAGTCTAAGCTTCCTGTGGCCCAGTCTCTGGAAGACTAACTCTTGCATCAAGAGTCTCGAGATTGTACAGACTCCCCAGTTTCTCCCAGATCCCTGGTATTCGTGTATGAGCATTTTGAGGAGAGGAGTAGCCATGGTTCCTCAGATTCTCAGAGATAGATATCATTCGGAAGTGTTTATGCATGCCTGGCAATGACTGTCAGTGCAATCCGCCATGTAGATGGAGCGAACTAATGTAATTCGAAAACGAACCTACAGGCTTCCATCTAACCATGCTTTTGAAGAGCGATGTCTCCTGTTCATCAGTCCATGCATCTGTGACGATGATCCCTATGCCCGAATCCGGCTTCATTGTGGTCGGTGTCTCCTCTGCCTGCTCGACTACGTCACCGACCGGTGTTGAGGCAGCCCTCGAAGGCTGGCGGACCTTCTTCTTGGGAGCCATGGCTGGATTGTTTATGTGCAACTGAAAACCTCTTAATTTCTGAACTTGTACCTTACCTCCTAAGGCCGGACTAGCGCCTTGGCGACAGTGTCGCGTCGTCCGGAATTTGCGCAGGTCACGTCGCCCACAACCATTCATGTTGGAAGATTATATACAAAGGGATTATGGATCAACAGGTCAGAGATGGAAACGCGTTCGCGATTCCAGACCTTTGGAAAGCATCAACCCTCGCTCAATTTAGTGAGCGCGCAATAGATTCTATTGCGTTCGAAATTGAACCATTGAGTACGTCTTTGTCACCTAGGAGTGTATGAGAAAGGACTTCATGCTTATTCTTTGCGAAAGATGTACAAGATGAAAGTCATGAACGACTTGGGATATCGAAAGACCTAGACCTGGAGCTGCCCGATTTCTCGACCTTTACTTATGGCCCCATAGAAGACCTAGGCGCATTCGACGCTTCTTTTGTGCTTTCCTCCGCAGAATCATTTGAGACCCTTGAAACGCCTGACATCTGGTCATTTCCACTTGATCCAGAAGTGCAAAGACCGGCCCAGTCGAAAAGCTGGGAAACCTTCTATGATAAAACCTTCCACGAGCCTCGGACTACATACATTAGCGAAGGTGGACCCCGGGTTTTTGATGCCATCCTTGCCGTCGAGGACGGAGATACAAAGAATGATAGTCTTGGCAAAAGATCTGGATGTGTGATCAAATCTGCCGCTCTGGTATCCAGCCTTGTCGAGCTTGGGCTGGGAAGAGAATCCATGCTATATCGCTATCATGAGCACGAACGATCCTTTCTTCCCCTCATCGGGAATGGGCGCATGTCAGGATACAGCCTCGAGACAGTTCAAAGTCTTAGCGCTACCTTCATCGACCATGGCAACAAAACAAAACGCTTACAGTCTTTCATTGACGAGACACAAACCTCGAGCATGTCAATTCCAACATCTATAGCTTTGGTGGGTAGCATCTCTGCCATCATTGCAACACTTCACGCTCAAGTCGGAGATTCATCGACGTCAGCACGTAGTTTACTCCAACTCCAATCACTGTTTGAAAGGCCTGGCTTAGTATTGTCTTACCTTAACGACATAGTCATTAAGGTTGACGCAGCCAGGAGTGATGAAGAGCTCTTATCTCGGCTCTATGAATATGTGGAAGATACCGAACATTCAGCTGAGTGGATTCGGCCAGCATTGTTCCAGATTCTTGCAAGCGTGTCCAAACCATGGCTAAGTTCTGTCTGCAAATGGGTGGGTCTGAAGGAAAAGACCGGTGCTGGAATTTATGGTCACGGTCAGAACTTTGTCGTTGTGAGAGAGGAATCACAAAGACTCGAGGGCGGTAAGGAGACGAAGAAGTTGGAATATGATTTTAAGCATCTATCAATGCCAAATTTTATCTCAGAAGAGGATTCTTTTACAATCTTCGAAACTGGAAAAAGCTTGCGACTACTCGAAAGTCATCAACCCGAACATCCTCTTTCGAGACCGACACAGGTTGGTACTATGGAGGCCCCCGACCTAGATTGGCGATTCTCGTGGCGGGACTTGGAAGGAACACAAAGGCAAGCCCAGGAGTATGAATCAAACCTTCAGAAAGCCATCGCGGACTTCAACCTCCATGGTGGCAATCCAAGAGAGGCGCATATGCCCAAAGAAGGCGTCGCACAGGCTGAGATAGCGACGGTTGCGCTTTCGGAAGAGACGGCGAAAGCCTACATCCACGCATCCATTGCAACCTTCGAGAAACCATTACCCGATTTGAAGGCGGAGAAGGGCAATAATTTTATACCCAAGTGTATTTACAATGACTTGCCAGAGGAAGAGATCTTTGCGCCTCCATTGTCTCTGCTTCCCATCCTGTCTTTCAATCCTGTGATCGCAAGTCAGGCCCTTCTCATCAACCGTGCGTGCCTACGCCTTGTTTTCAAGGAGCACAACATACGGTCTCACTTCATTCTCCTTCACCGCTACAGCCTTTTTGGCGACGGCGTATTCGCTTCTCGCCTTTCGCACGCTCTCTTTGACCCTGAACTCGACTCTGCTGAACGCCGGAAAGGTCGCTCCCGCGCTGGCACCTCGGGCTTGAAATTGGGCTCTCGAGATACTTGGCCACCAGCGAGCTCTGAACTGCGACTGGCGTTGATGGGTATTTTGACAGAAAGCTATTACGAATCTGGGCGAGGAGCCAATGGTTCTTCAATGTTCCGGAGAGAACTCCCTGGAGGCCTGAGTTTTGCCATTCGAGACATGCCTGAAGACGAGCTGCAGCGTTGTATGAACCCTAACTCTATCGAGGCCCTGGACTTTTTGAGGCTTCAGTATAGGCCTCCGCCACCTTTGGACGCAGTGATTACCCAGGCTTCCCTGACAAAGTATGACACGGTCTTCAAACTCCTGCTAAGAGCAGTACGAATGCTGTTCGTCGTAAACCAGCTCTTTCGTGACACAAAACTGCGCTTTGCAATTCGTCAAGAAGCAGACCCTATATCTAAATCTTTCCGAATCCAAAGCCACCACTTTGTCTCCGCAATCTGTCGGTATTTTTTCAATGGCGTTCAAGCGAATTGGAATATCCTCCAACGGAGGCTCGAAGAGGTTGACATAGCCTTGGACCGCGTTGGCACGAGCGATGGCGACAGTCTTCATAGACTGCGCGACTTTCACGAAGATCTGCTGGACCGGCTAATGTTTAGCCTGATTCTAAGGAAAAGACAGGCGCAGGTCATGAAGTTGCTCGAGGAAATTTTCAGCCTGATACTGGTGTTTGCACGGCACGCCAGGACTGAAGCTACCCGAGACATGGGCCATTCGGGCTTCAAGGTAGACCTGAAGGAGACCTATGAGAAGTTCAAGAAGAAAGTCAGAATTTTCATCAGCGTTTGCAGAGGTTTGAACGAGCGGCGAGGCGAGGGCGGCACTAAAAGTCACGATGCAGGTGAGGCGTTGAGCGAAGATGGAGGAAACACCATTGGCCAGCTTCTTCTGGACTTTGAGATGAGCGGATTTTATGCAAAATGATACCCCTGAAATACAGCTGCTCTTAAAATCGAGAACTTTTTTGGTGCGTAGAGATCGCTTACAATGTCTTTACTGTCTGATTACTATCTCACATGACACAAGTGATGGACATATACCCAAGTCACATAGTAGAAAGTCAGGGAATAGACTCCCTATCGGTCTTACATATTCGGTTTCCAAAGATGTAGAACGGGTACAGAAATGGACGCGAGGGTCAGATGTATTGACATCCTTTTATCAGTATGGGACCAAAAAATAGAAATTATGTACGCCAAAGATGCCCCTGTCCCATATCGTACGGATATATACATGTCGAAGTTCTCCATTCCTAGCTACTTCTAGCCATGCACCACTATCCTCCACGTAAAAGAGTAATCTGGTATGTATCTGCCATCCTAGGCATATTACTGAGCGCATCCACCGTCTTTGGCGCAACCCTGAAAAAGCGCCGTGGCGGCGTGAGACGAATCCCTTGCTTTGCCTGCAGGTACACAGCTGCCAAATGTACCAGAGTCAAGTATGCTGGCATCTTTTGGTTCGGCAAAAGCAATGTATCCCTCATCATTGCGCGGAGTTTGACCTTGACGTAAGTGGGATCGCCCAATGTATCCCAGCCCGGCCAGTTTGAGATCAGTTCGCGCTCGCAGAGCTCAAAGGCGAGCAGCTGATGTCTAGATTCGGGGGACTGGGCAAGGTGTTGGATGTAGAGGTTCCAATTAGGACTGTTGAGGGCGAAGCCAGAGGAGTGTAGCTGTTTGATTGTGCTGATCAGATCATCGATGCGGCCTTGTTCAGCTAGGGAGATTATGTAATGCCGTAGAGGTACATTCATTACAAGGCGGCGTGAGTGTAATACCCAGCCTGGCTCCGACGTAACGGCCCTGGCGCGACAGGCGAGCTTCTCGGACTTGTCGAGAGCGAGGAACCAGCATCGCTCAACTTCTTCATGGTCGCCAGCGCGTATGTGAGCGATCATGAGAGCGCTAAGTAACCGAATTGGAGGACTGGCTTCGACGTCACGGTGGCTGAATCGGGCGGAAGTGGAGATGTAGCGTTCGTAGAGCTCAGTGACCTTAGCAAAAGCAGCGTCTCTGCCATAGAGGAAGATGAGATACTCGAAGTAGGTGGAGGAGAAGGACTCATTTAGGGGGTTAGGCCCCACGAATTTGCGCGGTTCCGAAGCCGCGAGTTCCATTGGATCCAGATCGGATATCGTCTGCTCAAAAGTCTGTTGTGCACGTCCAAGCTCGGTTCGGTTCTCAGGATCTTCGTCGTAACCTTGCTTCGCCTTGTCCACTGAGGCTGCCGCTCGGAGAAGGATGTTCTGGGTGCTCATTGTCGGGCTGAGATTGCGCGTCAGCATATCTTTGTAGAGTTCGAATATTTTGCCGTAGTTCTTGTTTGCAAGGTATCCTCCCATGACGATGGCATAATGTAGCGACGTTCTTTTCATTTTTGCTCGCGGCATTACCGTATCCAAGATCTTATATGCTGCTTGGGGCATCTTAGCAATTGTCAGGCTTGTCATCAAAGCAGCATAAGTCATGCCATTAGATGCCACTCCTGCAGCTTGCATTTGTTTGTGCAACACAGACACCTTCTCTACCTCTCTGCGCAGAGCATACGCGTTGAGCAGAATGGTCCACATAAACGTCCGAGATCCTTCTAAATCCATGTGCAATGCCTCTTTTACAAGTTGCTCGGCTTCTGCCAATCTCTCATCGTTAATGTTTGCCAAGACAATACTGTCAACCATCAACATGGTTGTTTTATTACCGTCGATCTTCGATTGTTGATGGAACTCATGGACGGTCTCCCAGTCCCCTCTATTCGCGTACAAAGACATTAGCAGGAAGTAGGTTCTGGAGTCCGGCCGTAACTCGGACTCGAGGAGTTTGTTGAACCAAGTCAAAGCGCCGTCAACGTCGCCAATGCGAGAGAATGTCCCAATAACATAATTCCAGGCTCGCACGGTAGGCTTGAAGTGAAAATCCTTCTGCAGGTCGTTGAAGGCGCGCACCACACCCTCAGGGTCTGCTCGCCTGTTGTGGACGAAAAGCAGGATGTTGTACCACCATTTCCTGGTAGGCCTTCCATACGTAGAACAAAAATCATGGAATAGGTTTTGGAGGGGCTCAAGCTGTCCGAGTTGAGCAAGGACGTTCGCCACATTGATAGCAATGCCAGCGGGTAGTTTCTGATGGTAAGTGCGCCAATCTTCGATAATCATAAACATGCCGAGACTACTCTTTTCTGCCACTAGCTTGCTCGTCACCAATGAGAGTAAGTCCGTACTAGGTAAGAATGCCGACTCTGTTCGTAGTATCCGGTAAAGGTTCAGTGCGCGATGCCCATGCTCCCTACTGTTAATGGATAATAGCTGCTCCAAAGCCATGGTTTGTGTCGTCATATCCGAAGCATCAAGGGTTCTTGCCTTCTGAACGAGCCGCCAATGGTTGTGGATATCGAAGTTGGTGTTCTGAATGCAAAGAGTTTGTCGAATTAATTCTAATGCGAAATCGCGAGCAGCCACTGCATTCTCATGTTGTGAAGAAGATTCAGCAGTCGAAATTGCGAAGTTCGCAGCCGAGATAGCCTTCTCCATCAAATCTGGCAGAGACAGAGCGTTGACTCCTGTCCAAATATCGGGCCTTGTGTAGTAGTGTAGTTTATTGACCCAATATGCGTGCCATGTGTCTATTGCCAACTGCCACTTCTCATGTTGCACGGTATACCGAAGTAGTGCTGCAGTCCCGATAGAACCACTAATCCTTGCCAAAGCCTCACGATGGATGTCGATTGCTGTGTCCAGGTCCTCCAATGAGAGCGCAGCTGAGACGGCGTAGCTGTAATGAATAGCCCGCCTCTGCGTGACAGGTATGCTGTCGAATAGAGCCACGGCACGTTCGACATCAATGGTTCTCTTTGACGCCCCCAAGGATCGCAGCATCCTGATAAGCTCTTGTGGCGTTAGCGATTGTGACATCTCTAGTAGAGCTTGATAGCTTTGCCACAGCTCATCATAGATCCAAGTCTGATCCTTCGAATCAAGCATCTCGTTGATTCCTCGTCTTATTGCATCGCCCGGCTGAGGCGTCTCTGACGAAGACCTCGCGGAAGCGTCTTGGGCCTGGGCCCCAGTAGCTGTTCTAACTGCCTTCGCTCCATTGATTAAATCTGCAGCAATTGAGGTGTAGCTTCTGGAACAGTGCTTGATGTTCTGAGCAGCGTGATGTTGCGCCTTTGTGGACCGGTTGAGCCGTCTAATGAGTGCTAGCGTATGTACAGGATACAGGAAGTCTAGGAAGATCTCTTGAAGCCCACTGGACAATGCTACCGTTGGGATTCCGTGTCTTTTGCTCGAACATGACTCCTGGGCGGAGCCTGATTTTTGTAGAAAGAGCATCCACCAAGACGGTAGATCAATGTTACCGGCACCGTGAGACCAGAAGGCAGAGTGTAGGTGGCGTCGATTGCGAGAATGCTTCTTGGAGCCCCGGAGCACAGCTCGTTCTCCCGTGTGGAGCCATCCAACCGCTCTCTCTATCATGCCCTGGCAAGTGTGCTACCACAGGGGAAGGGATCGCCGAGGCTTTGGCTGTCATAGATCCTCGAAGAAAAGTGTAAAATGGGAGAGTCAGTCAAAGGGAGCCCGAAGAAATGTTCGCGCAGAGGCCAGTAGAAAATATGTACAAAAGTGGCATGATAGACAAACAGAATTTACGAATAGAATTTACGAGTAGAGTACATCATCGAAACGGGAGCGCCAAGACCTCGGAATTCATTCCGAGATCCACCCACAAAGCGGGCAAGCTCACTGTCAAGGACATCAAGGTTCTCCTCCAAGTAAGCTACAATGGATATCACCAATTTTATCGTCTCTCAGCGTGAAAAGGCACTTCTAGTTGGTGATTATGCATCCTACAGGAAACAGCTTTCTCGACGCTTGCTTGTTGTACGGAAGAAGCTCCACTATACCTCGACCAAAGGCAAAAAGTATGCGGCAAGACCTGCGGTCACGGCCGAAGATATAGCTGGGAATCATGAGTGCGTCAACCCTAGAAACTTGATCTGCAAGTCCTCATACAGAAACTCAGATTTATATACTTGCTCCTGCTTACTTCAGAGCGAGCATGGGCCCTAGCGATGCAAATAAAGTCAACGCATTCTGCAGAATCCGGAGCTCATGGTAGTACCGGATCAACGAAGTCTCACATGCACTCTCGCCTACACAAAGCTAGTACCTATGCTGGACAGCTTGTGAAGTTGCTTAAAAATAAACAAGTTACGAAGGCTACTTCGGAGGCCCTACTCGAAGCACGAGCGTACTACGTCTCACTGCGGGGAGCCATTGAATTCGAGAAGCACCGCTGGGAGGACTGCCTGCGTGAGTATTCGGAGGCTCGTTTCATTTATACCACGCTTGCGCAAAGTGGAGGCCCAAAACAGGAGGATCTTTTCCGGGATCTCTTGAACACCACAGTTGACCCTAGCATACGATATGCCGCCTACCAATTGAAATTGCCCCGTACCACATCGATCGATACCATCATCTCACGCTATGTTCCCGAAGACAGCCCGTTTGTCCGAGAGATCTTGAAAGACCACCCAGATGCATTGGATGACCCAGCCACTGCCCAAAGGAAGACGCCCAGCGGTAACGCTGAAAATGTACCAAAGACAATCCAATGGCGATCACGCCTCGTGAATCTCGAAGACGCAGCCACTGCTGAGGCTTTGGCAGCGGTCTCCAATGCGGAATCCAAGCTCTCCGCGTTCTTGACAGCTAACCCAGATGCGGCACCTCAAGGTAAAGCAGCCGCTTACGATGAAGTCCTCATACCCAGTCAAGACGCAGTTGACGCCACGAAGACTGCTCTTGACGAGTTGTCTGCCGAAGGTATTTCCCAAGGAGATCGACGCATGCAGGCGTTGCAAATCACTAGGACCGCAGTCAATTACGCATTGGTGGAGTGGCGAATTGGTAGGAATCGAATACTTTGTGGCAGACAAGACGGGGCGTTGCTTGAACCAGAGATATATAGAAACTCTCGAAAAGACGGCAAGACGACTGTAATCCAAGAAGAAAGCACCGGACGGAAACTCACCAGGCTGCGAGAAAGAGTTGTACTTTACGACTCCACACTACAGAGCTTAGACTCCGTCAAAGAGCTACCCGGTGTAGCAGCAGACCAAAAGTTCGTCGAGGAACTCGAACCCAAAAGGGCATATTTTGCAGCATTAAGATGCCTCGCTATCGCTCGCTCTTACGCCCTGCTATCGGAAACGAAGAACGCACTCGCCCTGCTGTCACGTGCTCTCGATTTATCTAGTCGAGCGTCTCTTCACCCCTCTAGCACCCAACGATCGGATGCAAAGCCTCCAAAACTCGACATCACCCCAACACAAGCCTCCGATCTTCACTCACTCCTCCAAAGTCTCGTATCCCAGCACCGCGCCCTGGTCGAACTTCACAATATCCACTCCGTATCTTTCAACAAAAACATTAACCCCGTACCACCGCTGATAGAGCGATTGTACGAATATCCTCTAAATGACGTCGACCTCACAAAATTGGTCACTTACCCGCCTAAGGTGGAGCCGATACCTGTTAAGCCGCTATTCCTGGACGTAGCGTTCAATTACATCGAGTATCCAGGGCGGACTCAAAAGATCAACGAAAAAGCGGTCAACGGGGTTGCCGAGGGAGCGAAAGGCGGAGAAGAGAAGAAGAAGGGGTGGTTCGGATTTGGTCGATGAGGAACAAACAGTGCTAGGAATCTACGAAACTAGACCGCCAGCTCTTGCATATTGTTGGGTCACACCGTCACTGTAAAGATCGCGACATGCCCAACAGCAAATGAGGCTCCAGAGATGCATTTGCGTATGTACATGTACCAAGCGTCCGCCATTTGTCGCATCCAAGCCAAGCTATCTATGCAAAACCATGCCAATCGTGTCACTCAAACATCTCGCTCCCCTCTTCCAATTCAGGGAATGTCAAAAAACCCCTTCAGCTTCTTAATCAGCGCCCACTCATCATTGCTGACATCAGGCCTATAAAATTCCTTCAAAGTATCGATACTCTGCCGTGAGATTAACGAGTAGAGTGCGTCCTTTTCTTCCCAATGTCGACCATAGACAGGTTGGTTGGGACCTTCGATTTTAATGGCGACGGAGGGCTGGCCGCGCTTTACCATGGGAATTTGTTTGTGGTCGCGCTCGATTGATTGGCTGTAGGGGAATTAGTAACAATTCTCGGAAGACTCGTGGAAGAAGCGAAAGAGGGTACGGAGGACGAGGAAGCTTACACTCTGCCTAAATTGACAACCTCTTTGACGTTGGTAACCGGGTTCGTCCGTACCACGGCGATTGGCGTGAGGAGTCTGAGGTTGCCTTCAACAACATCTACCCCAACAACGATTGGATCCTTCTTATTAAACACCGCCACCTGATTCAGCACACAAGGGAACACAGCCAACAATTTACTATCCTCCTTCTTCTGCTCCGCCAATTGCGCCATATGTTTCGTAAAGTCGTCGAAAAGATGATAGATGATATCCGCCGTGAAAATTTTAATTCCCTCCCGGTCAGCATACTCTTGCGCTTCTTTATCAACTTTGACATCGAAACAGAGCATGACTGCATATTCCCTGGCTTTTTCGAGCATAATGCCTGCGGACATGACGTCCCGCTTGTAGACGGGGCCAATGGAGATGTTTGCGACAGGAATTTTGGAGACCTTGAGGAATTCAAGGAGGGCTTCGAGAGAGCCGAGGGTGGATGCTTGGACGCTGACACCACGTCCTGTTTTAGAGACTTTCGATAAGAGGTTCTCGATATCAGACATGACTTCCTCCTCAATATCCTCTTCGTCGTCGCCTGGTCCGACGACCAAGAGGCGCGAACCGGCGATGGCGTGTTCGAGGTCATTGGCCGCAATTTTGACACCTAGCGATGCTTTACATTCTTGGTTGTGGACATACTGGGACTTCAGGCGGAGCTCCTTTAGCGGTGCTGGGGTGAGTAATGCTCGAATGTTTGTGGCAATGGCACCGTTGATACCGCAAAGAACTATCCGATCGCCCTCTCGTAGGACACCGTTAGATAGGACGACGTCGATGGTTGTGCCTAGACCTTCAATGACTTTCACTTCCAAGACTGTACACTCGATCTCGGAGAGATACATGAGTTTGTTGGTCATTCGCTCTTGCGTTAGACTGACGAGCAGCTTTAGCATGTCTGGTATACCTTCTCCTGTGTGCGCGGATGTTGGTACTAAGGAAACGAATTTAGCAAGGGACTTGTTCTCGCAGTAAAGCTCAGAGTTGAAGCCTTGCTCGGCGAAGGCGACTTTTGTCTTTTCGAGGCGATCTCGAAATTCGTTTTGAACCCCCTTGTTCTGTAAGGCCATACTTTCTTGAAAACCATTATTATCAATCTTCTTCCAGCCATATAGACGATCGATCTTGTTGAGAGCAACAATGAATGGTGTTTTCCGGTCACGGAGTAATTTCATCGACTCTAGAGTCTGCGGTTCCAGCCCGTGCATTATGTCGACAACGAGAATGGCAATATTACATAGCGAGGATCCTCGAGATCGCAAATTTGTGAAGGATTCGTGACCAGGAGTATCGATGACCAGAAGACCAGGTACCTTGAACTCGAAGCTGTTGTCCTTGTTGACGACCGCAGTTTTAGCTTCTAGGGCGTCAACTGGGAAGTAGGTTGCACCTATTTGTTGCGTGATACCTCCAGCTTCACCTTCTTGGACATTAGTCTGCCGTATCTTGTCCAATAGCTTAGTCTTCCCGGTATCGACGTGACCCAGGATACAGCAAATAGGAGAACGGAGGTTGTCTTTTGATCTGGCGGCAAGCGCCTCCTCGTGTTGTTTCTGCCTCCTGGCTGCAGCTTCAGCTTTCTTCTGTGCAGCTGCTCGTTGTGTGGCTGTTCCTTGCGCATCAGCAGACGAGTCGTCTGAATCCGACTCGGAATCGGATTCAGCTGGCTTCGGTTGTGGCTTCTGCTGAGGTTTTTGTGCTGATGGAGCGGGCCTCAAAGGCAGGTCTATTTGTGCGGCTATGAGTTGTTCCATACCATTAGTGACAGCACTGGGCTTCCGAGGCGGTGATTGCGAGGCAGCAGCTTCTTCATCAGAGTCCATCTCCCAGCTCTCTTTAACATTACCGTCGTCAGCATCGGCAACAGCCTCCCAGTCCTCGAGGCCGTCACTTTCGGGCTCCTCTGCTGCTGCTGCCGCCGCAGCTTCAGCCCTCGCCTTCTCCTCTTCTTCTAGCCTCAGACGCTCCGCTTCTTCAGCTTGCCGCCGAGCTTCTGCTTCGGCAGCTTCTTTTTCTTCCTGTATTCTGGCATCGTCGCCTGGCTTCTTCAGTCCCTTCTTCTTCTTGTTATCGTACACCGGCTTCTTCTTCTCCGCAGGTTCCTCGTCCAGTCCTGCAACCTTTACACCGGCGGCAAGCATTTGTTCTCTCTTCAATTCATTCCGCCGATGCGCTTCCCGTTGGGCTGGTGTCATCAACTTGCCCTCTTTCTTTAACTGCTCTTTTTTCTCCTTGTCCTTCTCCTTCTTCCGCGCTCGAGCATCCTCTTTCCTCTTTTCTTCCTCCGCCGCTAATCGCTCCTCTTCTTCTATCCGGGCTCTCTCTTCGGCATCTGCCTTTTCTTGCTCCTCTTGCTGTCTTCTCAGAGCTTCCTGTTGTTTCTGGAGTGCTGCAAGGGCGGGCGGTAATTTCTTCTTTCCTCCTTTCCCTGCATCGGCAGCTGAGGCAGCCTCAGACTTCGCTTCGACTACGGGCTTCACAGGCTCCTCTTTTTGTGCCGGAAGTGCACCTCCTTGTTTCTTTTTTGCAGCAGCCTGGAAACAAAAAGCATGTTAATAAGCCACGGCCTCTCTGTATCCCCACGCTTGTAATGTCAACACTAAAGATATGCACGTACCTGCTCTTTCTTCCTCGCCTTCTCCCTCTCTTTCTTTTCCTTCTCTTTCTCCTTCTTACTCTTGACCCCTCCTGTGCCCCCCTCTTCTGTATCCTCTCCGTCCTCGTCCTCGTTGGGCACTAGTGTCCCTTCTTTCTTCCCCTGTTTACCCTTCCCATTCTTGGCCTTCGTAACCTGCTCATCGAATAGGTCCTCTGTCGTAGCCTCCTCAGGTGCCGTGAAAGCTAGGTCTTGTATACCATTGGGTTCGACATGACCGTTGACACCATCCGCTGTGGGAGGATCTTCGCCGTTCACATAGTCTTCCTCCACAACCTTACCTTTCTTCTTCTTGTTAGACTTGTTTTTCTTGAGTGCAGCCAGTAGACCGCCTCCTCCACCAGGAGCTTCATCAGGTTCGGCATCTCGGGCTGCTTCAACCTCTTTGGCTTCTTGGGCTGCGGCGGCGATAGCATCCGGGGTTTCACCCAAGTCTGCTTCCCAGTCCTCGTTGCCCTTCTTGTTGCCTTTCTTTTTGGGCGCCATTTGTGCAGGAAGGCTTTTGGAATAAAGAGATTGAAGGATGGTTCTCTAGATGTTTAGTAGGATATCTGTGGGCGGCGCTGAATGGCGTGGGCTGAAGTTTGATCGTGGGAGCGGCAAAGATGCTTGCTAGTGCGGGATGCGGAGAAGGAATTGGCGGTGGTTTGACGGTGACCCAAGGTACTTCGTAGATGAACCTGAACATACAAATTTAGATCACATAAATGTCTCATGCCTTTTGAGAATTCCTTTCGTTAAGCTGTGGATACACACTGAGCAAGCTTCTACTCCGGACGTGTGGGACTCGGTACTCTACAGGAGGAAGATCAGCTTCATTGAGATGAGTCATTTCACAAATTCTTCATTGAGATGAGTCATTTCACAAATTCTTCAGATCTATGAGTGCTCGGCTCTACTTCTAAGAAGCTGGGTATCCGAATAAGAACTACAGGGAGCTATAAACGAAGGGCGAGTTCATATCATTCAAAAGCCTAACAGAGGTCTTGTCGTATTCGTGGCTCCAACTCCATCGCCACTCGGCTTGTTGACCTTTACAGCGGGACTGCCATGTCTGTCAAAATATATCAGCACATAATCTCCAGCAACTGAAGGGGATATTCACGCGAAGAATGTAAATTTGATCGCAATAGCCAATCCCGCGTGCAACAACACCACCGCAATGACCAGCACCCGACTAATCTTCGCGTCTGTAACACTCACAACCGGCCACAGATTCCTGACCAGAAACGCAACGCTCACCACAAACCCTAACGCAGTGAAGACATAGTTCAACATTGAAATCGGACTCCAGCTGATGATGGCCACGGGTATCCATATCACATTCGCATACCCATATAACGCCCAACATTCGACGAGTGTTGCGGATTCGGCTCCAAACCACCGCAGCAAGGCCCATAGGCCAACAGGGACGAAGCCCGTGTAACCGTAAATCAAACCTGCGGCGCCGCTGAGCAGGGCGAAATTGTATTCGAAATGGATATCATGGTTCCGGCTCAGGTATTGACTCATAGTAGCTGTGATGAAAAGTATAAAGACAAGCGTCGTAGCGATCCAGAACGGGCCGTAGAGATCGGGGTTTCCGTCCAGAATATCCAGGAACGGGGCACGCGGGTAGAGAGACGAGGTACAGCGGCGGAGCACTTCCGATGTATCGACATCGAAAAATTGGGCATAGAATGATAGGGTCCAGAGGAAACGTTTGGACGGTGTGGGATTTTGGGTGCTGCCGAAAGGAGTGGATGTGTCTGGAAGTATTTTGGAGCGTGGGTTCGATGGGTCGTTGAAGTCTAGCAGCAGGAAGTTAGAAATAGGAGGTTTGGACGAGTCCTGAGAGCATACTGGAAGAATGGAATTCGAGGTCGTCTTGTTGGAGGTCTGTATGACCCAGATCGCCCTTGGGACGAGGTTAGCGCATGTGGGTTAAACTTTCCATTGGACAGTGAGCATACCCCTTCATCGACGTCTACGACGACATCATAGCCCTGGTTCGCCATCAAAAAATGTACCCACCTTTTCTTTGTCCTGGGTGAGGTACTGTGAATGGCGGAGCTGAGCGTCGATTGGCAAACGTGTCGCCAAGCTCGGGATCGGCTAAGTTGCCATTTTTGTAGGCCAAGGTCACTCTATCCCGCACTAGAAGTCACTTCAGTCTCGGGGGGTTAAAAGTCATCATCCTCCGAGGTAATCCCGGCTACTACTGGCTTTCTACCACACACATTATTTCTACTACTCGAATATATACATTTCTACCATAGCTTTGATTTAATAAGCTTATTATGGTTACCCTCACGTAGTATACGATATCGCTAAGGCATTTCAGTAATTCTAGCCTGAATTTCACTAAGTTTAATCCGCTTTTATTTCTTCGAGATTATAATACGAAGCTTATATTAATTATCCTACTTTCTTTAATATATCTATTCATTTAGAAGATTCTAGATATTCTCTATTAAATTAAGATTAGATGATTAAGTAAGATAATTAAGAGTCTCGATCTAATAATCGATTTTTAGTTACGTAGCTATATTTTTTATATTAACTTTCTTATCTTTCTTACTTTTTTTTATTTCGTAATTTAAATCATTATCTTTTTATAAAATATTACGTTCGTATATAATTCGTAGCTAATTTATCGAGTTATAATAATTCGAAAGTTAATACGCAGTATAATATTTCATTATTATACTATTTTTAGTAGATTTTATAATAGAATCGTAAGGCATAGTAGCTTCTTATTACCGTATACGCTCTTAATATTTCTTCTTATTTTTATTTTGAGGACGTCGACGTAACTTTAAAGGTTTTTCTATTATAATTTAAGAGCGATTAAGCTCGTCGTAATAGAATCGTAATTTACCTTTATAATTTCAAGAAATATTCGTAGATATATAAATTATAATACCTTATTTTAAAGATATAAGTTATATATTTTTAGGCTTTTTAGTAATATTAGCGTCTCGAAAAGTATAATTCTATTATATAAATTTAACGTCCTAATACTTTTTATTTATTTATATAATAAATTACTAATAATTCTCTATAGTATTATCTTTATAATTATATCCGTAATCTAGTCTTTTTTCTATATTAAGATTAAATACTTATTTAACTAAACGTTACTTATATATTTAAGCATTTTTAATATACTTTAACGCGTTTTATTAAATAATTCGAGAGTGAACTAAAATCTTATAATATCTAACTTAATATTCTATTGATTAATTATAAATAAAATTATTTATATCTTATAAAATATTATACGTAGCTTGAGTGACTTTAGAGAGACATTTAAAATGCTATTTTCTAAGCTTTCTAATATCGGAGGAGCTCTTAAATTTTCTAATTCTCAATTAAGTCTTGCCCGTATTATATAAAATATCCTTCTCGACGTATATATCTTTAATCGTTTTTCCACGATCTCGAGTATTAACGGCTTTAAAGAATTTAGCTTTCTTACGCGTAGTAGCTTTTTAACGATAAAGGCTATATATAGATATATAAGGGGATATATTATACTTCATAGTTGACGATATAGAAATATTTATAATAGTATTTTGGTGGGGAAGTCAGTAGTAGTCGGAATTACCTCGGAGGATGATAACTTTTAACGCCCCCGAGAGTGTAGGGACGGATATTACGAAAAACTTTCGCATAACGCTTATACTATATTATTAAGCTATAGAAAGTAGATATACGTATTCAAAGCACTTAGTAAGATTAATACCTCTTTAATTGACTTTAAGGGACGCTTATATCTCTATAATTATATCGAATAAAGTTAACTAGCCTTAATAAGACTATAGTAATTATAATTTTAAGAAGTACGTATTTATACTAAAGTTATTAATAAATACTATATTAAAAATAATAGATAAAGACTAGAAATTATTAATAGACGAAGTAATTATTATTTTTAAGGCGGTAATAGTATTTATAAAAAGAATAAATAATAAATTTAAAATTTAGATAGTCTTAAATAAAGTATATAAACTAGTTATTAATTTAAATAATTAAGATAATAATATAAAGAAAAAGATTATATATATTAAGTATTAAGTAGCTAGTCTAAGAAGTAATATATCGATAGCTAGCTACGCTAGCGCATTAGATTAATTTTTAATATTCTTCTTTATTATTAAAGAAATTTCTATTATATTATTAATAATATCGAAATAAAGCTAAATATTATATAATAAATTAAATAAGATTATTATAAAGTTATAAGATAAGATAGTAAGTAAAGTATTAAAGAAGAAGATATCGAGTGAGATAATTATAATAGTTAATAAATATATAAAGAATATAAATACTATAAGAAAATCTATTAGAATAATTAGAAGGCTAGCGAGTAATAATATATATATTATAGCTATAAATAAGAAGAAGGCGAATAGACTAAGAAAAAGTAAGAATTAAACTCTAAAGATAAGTAGTAGTATAAGAGTAATTATTAAAACGTATAGTCTTCTACTCTATAGAATGAGAATTAATATATTTAATACTAAAGATATAACTATAATAATTAAAAGGGTTTAAAATGAGAATATTAATACGCTAAGTCTTAATATAGTATAACTAGACTAATTTAACGCGAATAAAGAGGATTATAATAAGAGTTTATTAATTATTAAATTAGTATTTTTAGAGAAAGAAAATAGAGTATTAAAAGAAGATTTAATTATCGATTTGAAATTATATAGCTATTACGTTTATAATAAGTAATATAAATTAAAGTAATACTTCGTATACTAGAAATACGATTATTTATTAATTATATACTCTAAAAAGAATTACTTAATATATGAGAAATGCTTAGAAAAATATTATTATAAAGAATATACGGTCGATACTCGTAAATACTCGATTTGCGAGGAACTATATAAGATTTAAAATAAGATATATATAATAAAGAAGAGAAAGATAGCGAGAATAAGAATAGCGAGATAATAGATTTCTTTACGATTTATAATAATAAAGAAGATATCGACTAGCTATTAAATAAGCGATTAATTAAATAACTACTTTTAGAATATATCTAATTATAGATAAAATAAGAAATTTTTTTTAAGATTAATATTTATATATGATAGGCTAGTAGATAGAGATAAAATAGTTAATAAAGAAGAAATTAGAGTATTAAATCTTAAAAGAATTATTATATCGAATCTCTAGCTAAGTAAAAGAAGATATACTTCTATATTATTAATAAGAGTTTTATTTAGAAATAGATCGCTCTTTAAAGTAGTAGATAAAATTAAATAATATAAGAATAATATAGTAATAGAGGAAATTAATAACTTCGAGAATAATAGATAGTCTCTAAATTAAAAGAGTAATAATAAGAGAATTACGATTCTTATTAATGGAAATAAAAAGAGATATATTCGATTTATCGATAACTAAGAAAAGAAGAATATTTAGAAAAAGAATATAAACTCTATAGACTAGGTGAAGCGAATAAGTAATATTAATAATAATATTAAGAAATAATAGTATATCTTAGTTAGCTATTAATACTATAATATAATATAAGAAAATTTAGAATAATTATAATAGAATTCTTCGATAATAAAAAGATTTATAATATTAATATAATAGTAATTTAAAAGCTCTAGAGAAATATTAATATAAATATATCGTATTATCTTTTAAAAAATAGATTTAATTTAATCTACCTCTATTATAATAATATATAAATATACTTCTATATTAATAAGAGAATATTATTAAAGTAATAATATTTATTATATTATTTATTAAACCTCTATACTCTTAATATTAAGTTTAAAAATAATAGAATTATATATATATATAATATTTATAATCTCGGCGATTAATAAATAGATAAACTTAACGAATTATATAAGATACTTATAAAGTCTAAAAATAATAAATAAATTATATTAGATGACTTTAATCTTTATTATATAATATAGAGAGAATTAAATACTTATATTAATAAGAGAGTAGAAGAATTAATACTTATAGCGAAAGAATTTACTATAGAATAAGTATTACTAGTAGAAACGGTAATATATAAAAAAAACTATTAAATAATAATAGATCTATTATTCGCTACTTTAATACTAATAGTAAATATTATTAATTATAATATTAAAAATAATTTTAAAAGCGAATTTAATTATTTTTTAATTTTTATAAAATTTAAGCTAGCTATAATAAAGTTAATATTAATAATATATCGAAACTTTAATAAATTAGATATTGAGATTTTAAGAGAGATACTCGCTAGAGTTATAATATCGAAAGAGTATTTAATTAATCTCTAGAGAAATAATAAAAAATTTATTAATAATAATATTGATTATTAAGTAGTAATTATTATTAACTCTATTTAAGCGACTATAGAGAAGTTTACTTTAATTATTAAATTATTATTACAATTTAAATTAAAATTTATATTAGAATATAAGAAAGTATAAAGATATTATAAATCGCTAAAAAGAAGCTAGAGAATAACGCTCTTAAAGAAAGTATAAAATAAGTATAAAATTGTTAAGAACTTTAAAAAATAATCTAATTAAGAGAACTATTAGAAAGGCGTTTAGAGAGTTTATAGTAGAAATATATAAGTTATTATAAATAATATGAAAAAAGATTAAGTAAATTAGAAAATAACTTATAATAGTATAGATATATCTCTCTCTATTATTTAATAAAGATAAATAAGAATATAACGAACTAAGCTCGAAGATAGATCTTCTTATAAGAATATTCTTTTTACTATTAATATAGGCGGAGTTAAATAATATTAGCGTTAATATAATATATCTATAAGTCTATCTAATAAGCACGATTATTATAAATAAGATAAGAAAGACTATAATATAAGTATCGTTAAAGAGAGCTTCGGGGGAAGATACGATTCTTAATTTAATTCTTAAAAAGATTCTAAAGTCGTTATTCTCTTATTTATATAGAATATTTAATATATATATAACGAATAGCTACTATTTAGAGTACTTTAGAATATTAATAATAATTATTCTTCCGAAGCCGGGTAAGGATTATTCGATTTCTAAAGAATATCGATTAATAGCTCTACTTAATATTATAAAAAAGATAATAAAGTTTATTCTTACTAGAAAAATAGTATATCTTATAAAGATATATAAACTTCTATTGATTATATATATAGGAGATCGTAGATTACGATTATATAAATATAATATCTACTATCTTCTAGAAAGAATATATTAAGCTTAGAACTCTAATAAAATAGTTATAATATTACTACTAGACGTTTCAGATATATATAATAAAATCTCTTATCCTCGATTACTCTATAATCTCTAAAAGCGAAAAATTAATATAAAAATAGTTAATTAAATAGAATCGTTCTTATTTAATAGAATAATAGTATTAAAAATAAGTAAATACTTTATATTAAAGACTCTTATAGTAATCGAAATTCCTTAAGAATTATCGCTATCGCCTATACTTTATTTCTTTTATAATTTAAATCTTATTAATAAATATAATAATTATATCGATTTAGAAATAATAATTACTAGCTTTATAGATAATATAAATCTTCTAATAATAAGAGACTCTACTAAAAAAAATTATAACGCTCTTTATAAAATTTACGACGAAGTTTATATAAAGTAGACGTTATAATATAAATCGAAATTTAATCTTAATAAATATTAATTATTATATCTTAATAGAAAATAAAGATTTAGCTTAAACTATTCTCTATAACTTAATAAGAGATAATATATTAAGATAAAACGCTTTATTCGCTATCTAAAAGTCAAAATTAATTTTAAACTTCTATAGAGTTATTATAATAAGAAGATTTAGTTTAAGATTATTAAAAGTATTAATATATTAAAAAAAAATTTTTTTTTTTTTTTATTTTTTTTTTTTTTTTTTTTTTTTTTTTTTTTTTTTTTTTTTTTTTTTTTTTTATTAAAAAAAAATTTTTTTTTTTTTTTTTTTTTTTTTTTTTTTTTTTTTTTTTTTTTTTTTTATTTTTTTTTTTTTTTTTTTTTTTAATTTTTTTTTTTCCCTCCCCCTAAGTCAAATCGAACTCTAATCGCTTGCTATGCGTTTTTAACCTACTTCCATCATTATAAAATTGATTTAATCTATATGATATATAGGCATATATGTGCGGAGAGAGGCGCACTAAGGCCTAATTAGGAAGGTGTATTAAGTGTGAAGGATTGATCCGTAATAATTGCCCATAAAAAACAGAGAAAGGCCATGTCCTTATGGCAAGAAGTATCGAAATACCGGAAAGAAATGGAGACAACGTGCCAATTAGTGGTGTGAATCCCACAATATCTCCTGCCGCAGTGAAATCTTTCGAATAATGAAATAGCTGTAGACATCGGACGGTTTCAATTCGTCCAAATATGCATCGTTCGATGTTCCTCCTGCAGAGGCCTAATTAGCTGTGATCGTCGCAGTAGATCCTCCTCTTATGACGTTATTGATGTATCATATGAATGCAGTGGGGATGATAGGCCAAGTTGCAGTGGGGATGACAGGCTAAGTTGCAGTGGTGTTCTCCGCTTGCTGAGTGATGATTTGATGTGGAACCGTGGAGAGCATATAACGTGGGATCTTGGAGAGCTGAGCCGTGTTCTTGGTGCTGGGGGCCTTATTGCCGCTTGGTTTCTCCGCAGTGTTCTCCGCATTCGCCTGCTATCGTGACTTCTCTTACCCTGGCTAAGTGGATTGGTGTGAGACCGTGGAGAGTAGGCCTATTGTGTTACTGCTGCTGATGACTATCTCCGCAGTGTTCTCCGCAGTGTTCTCCGCATTCGCCTGCTGTCGTGATTTCTCTTGCCCTGGCTGAGTGGATTGGTGTGGGATCTTGGAGAGCTGAGCCGTGTTTTTGACGATGGTGGCCTTGTTGCCGCTTGGTTTCTCCGCAGTGTTCTCCGCATTTGCCTGTTGTAGTTCCTCCTCTTGCTCCTCCTCTTGTAGAGTATCAGACTGAGTGGCTAGCTGAGTGGCTGACTGAGTGGATGACTGATATGACGTGGGATCTTGGAGAGCTGAGCCGTGTTCTTGACGATGGTGGCCTTGTTGCCGCTTGGTTTCTCCGCAGTGTTCTCCGCATTTGCCTGTTGTAGTTCCTCCTCTTGCTCCTCCTCTTGTAGAGTATCAGACTGAGTGGCTAGCTGAGTGGCTGACTGAGTGGATGACTGATATGACGTGGGATCTTGGAGAGCTGAGCCGTGTTCTTGACGATGGTGGCCTTGTTGCCGCTTGGTTTCTCCGCAGTGTTCTCCGCATTTGCCTGTTGTAGTTCCTCCTCTTACTCCTTAATGTAGTGGGGATGACAGGCTAAGTTGCAGTGGTGTTCTCCGCTTGCTGAGTGATGATTTGATGTGGAACCGTGGAGAGCATATGACGTGGGATCTTGGAGAGCTGAGCCGTGTTCTTGGTGCTGGGGGCCTTGTTGCCGCTTGGTTTCTCCGTAGTGTTCTCCGTATTCGCCTGCTGTATTGACTTCTCTTGCACTGGCTGAGTGGATTGGTGTGAGACCGTGGAGAGTAGGCCTGTTGTGTCACTGCTGCTGATGACTGTCTCCGTAGTGTTCTCCGCATTCGCCTGTTGTAGATCCTCCTCTTGTTCAACTGAGTGCGAGGGTACCGACGCGTTTATGAGTAGTAGTAGGTAGCTGTTGGGCTCGCTTGCGGCCTCGATTGCCAGTAATAGCGGATTCGCCGAGGGGTGGCCTGGGGGCGTCAGTAGGGCCTCTAAGAGCCGGGCAAAAGGGGTGTACATACCTGAACCGGACGCGTTTGGTGTGACTACAATATTTGAATATCAGTTTAACCCACCTATCGCTGGCTTAAGAGGAGTATGTAGGGGAGGACGTATCCGTTTGGGCTCTTTTTGAGGGCCTTTCAACGCGTTTATGAGTAGTAGTAGGTAGCGATTGCCAGTTACGGATTTGCCGAGTGTGAGGGGTGGCCTGAGGGCGTTAGTAGGGGCTCTAAGAGGCGGGCAAAAGGAGTGTACGTGCCTGAGACGTTGAGTAACCTTTCCGCGAGGGGTACCGAGGACGATTGTGTTTATATTGGTGGAATTGATAGAATTGGTAGAATGGTGAAAGAAGAATGGTTACACAAACAGGTGGAAGGATTATTATTATCCGATCCCGGACGCGTCTGGTGTGACTACCATGACTACCATATTTGAATGTCCATTTAATCCACCAATAGTAGGCCAAACTTCATTATTTTTACAGCGTTAGAAAGCGCAAAGCGAGCTCTACAATTTACGAAATTATAAAGAAACAGCATCCGTAGGGAGCTGGTTATTTCAGAGTGTAAAACTTCTACACACAAATTTTTGATGAGGGAGCTCGGGAGGGCTAGCGGGCTGACTCAGTCAGTCTAGCCAAAAGGCGTAATAACCCCGAATTGATATTGGCTGCACATACAAATTCAAGGTTTTCAAGCTCAGCCCTACCTTATTCTTTTATATATACTGATATATTATTACTTAATATAATATTAGTCTAAAAATATTATCGATTATAATAAAACTTATCTTTTATTATTATAAAGGATTTAATCTTAGATAGAAAGAAAGATAATTAAAATATTTAAGATTATATTTATTTTAGTATTCGATATAAAAGCGTATTTTCTATTAGTTAAATAATAGCTAGATAAGATTATCTCGAAAGCTATCTTATAAATCGCTATTAGTTTAATATATAGCGAGATTATTAAGTTACGATTTAAGCGATAAAAGTTTAAAAGAAAATTTAAGAAGAATAGAAAATTAAGTTTATTAAAGCGATATATTAATAGATTTAAAGAATAATACGACGATATTAATAAGATTAAAAAACTACGCCTTTTTAGCGCCGCCCTTAATTAAGAGTCTTTTAAAATAATAATTTATAAGATTAAGAAAGTTATTAAAGAACTAGCTAAAAGATTAATTAATAAGAGTTATATAATAATATATATAGACGATAATAAGATTAATAAAAAGATAAGAGTTTTAACTATATTATTAGATATTAATTTTATTTTTAATATTTATTTAGACTTAAGTAACTAATATATAATATATTTAATAAAGTTATATAATATTCTTTAAGCTTTAATTATAATAGCTATATATTAAATAAAGTTATAACTTAATAGAGTTATAATAAATATAAATAATTAAATATCGATTTAAACTATTAAAGACTTAAATAAGTATTTAAAATAGATCTATATAATATAAATAGTATAGATTATTAATTCGCTAAGATATCTCGAGATAGTAATAGAATTATATTAGATTTTAATATATATTAATATTAATAATAATAAATAGACGAATAGAGAGATAAAGAAGACTATTAATTAGCGAGAATAAGTAGTTTATAATAAAAGAGTAGAGGTAAATATTAATGAAATAGTCTAATTATTAATTATATAGATAAAAATAATATCGATAATTAAGATAGCTATTAGAGATTACGCGATAAAATAATAGATTATTAAATAGACTAATAAGAAGTAAAATAATATTCTTAGAAGAATTTAATTAATATCGTCGAAATAAATATAATTTTTATATTTAAGAGTTAAGTGCGTTAAGATATCGCTAATAATATAAATAAGAATTAAGAAAATAAGTCTTAAGGTCTTTCTTTATAATCGATAGATATTAAATATAAAGAATAAAGAATATAAGTATAAAGAAATTTAATTTTTTTTTTTTTTTTTTTTTTATTTATATTATTTTTTAAAAAAAAAAAAAAAAAAAAAAAAAAAAAAAAAAAAAAAAAAAAAAATTTTTTTTTTTTATAAAAATTTTATAATAATTTTTTTTTTTTCCTTTTTTACCAAATTTTTTAAAAAAATTTTTTTTTTTTTTTTTTTTTTTTATCCCCTTAAAAAAAATTAATATAAAAAATTTTTTAGGGGAAAGGATTAAAAAGAAGAATATAATTAAAATAGAAGGCTTAGCGATATAGATAATTAGATATACTTCTTTAAAATTTTTTAATTTTTTTATTATTAAAAAATTTTATGTTATTTATTAATAATAATTAATTCAAAGATCTGAATCTCTTTAGCTTTTGTGATCTATTGGTGTATCTAAAGTACAACATCCATAGAAGCAGCCTCTCACAGTTTCCAACGAAACTTCCTGAAGACTTCCAATATCTTCTTTAGACCAAAACTGGGATCCAGTCCTACTCTTCTGCTAAACCATATCGAAAAGATACCGACCAAGAATGCCAACCCCATTCGACTAGCAGAACGTCTGTATTTCCATATAGTTGCCATTGCTCGTTTCTGCAACTCTTCTCTCCGTAGCTGTAATGCCTGGTATTCGAACAGGTCTTCGCCGTCCTCGAGAGTCTGGTTTCTGACAGATTCTCTTGTGGTTTTTAGGACGCTGTAAACTGAGATCTTCGCCCAAGCTCTTAACGGCAGACTTTCCGGAGGATGCCCCTCAAATAGCGTCATCGCCCGGGAGATCAGAGCTTCCAAGTTCAGAGGCTTGGGTAGCTTGGACAGGACCGAATGAAGCATCTCGGGTTCTTCCGCAGGGATCTCAAACAGTTCATCGCGGCGCGAGAGTATGATAACGGCAAAGAAGTAGATGGAGACAACAGCTGGTTGCGCGATCAAAAAGTCAAACAGTCGAGCTATGTCACCATACTCCTGAATGTCATGAGCGTACAAAGTAAGTGTAGCCGCCAAGGCGAAGAACGGCCGCGTCTGTGACAAATGGAGGCAGAGCTTCGGATCCACAGCGTAGAGGATGGTCGGCAGTAGGTTCAGATGTGCAAGGGATGCCGAGAGCGAAGGCAGCATGAAATCACGAATACGTAAGAGTGAGATATGAGCGACAGCTGTGGGCGCTCGATCGACACCAAGAACGAGTAGAAAGACCTGAACGATATCGTGGAATCCTTGAAAGTAGGAAAGCATCGGATGTTCCCTCAAGACTTGAATGATCACCGACGAAAGCTCGCGTTTCCGTCGATCAAGCTGCCTTTCCGATTCGTCTAGATTCGATTTAGCATCAAGCTATCCTAGGGGCTCAAAGCACGCCTACCTTTCGGGTAGTAGATGAAAGACCGGTTCACATCAAGCTCGACTTGATCTTCATCTTTATGGATTGGCAGATCCAGCGGGTAGCGAGCAGAGCCGGTGAGCTCGGACTCTTCGCTTCTGTAGCCCAGCAAAAGTGGCCCTCAGTAGCGGTCAGTCTCGGGAAATAGGGGAATTTCAGCTCTGGCAGACTTACAGACCACCTTCCGTACCTCGTCGTTGATCAAGCCACCGGTAGAAGTTGCCAGTCTGATCAAGAGATCTAGATCGTGGGGATCCTCGCAAGCAGCTAGTATACGATTGACCTCATGTGGCAGCTTTGATTTTCCAGCATCCCTGTTCTGAGATTCTTTGGAAATACCAACTGCGGAGGTACGGCTGTCAGATTGTTCTGACAGCTCACGCTTGTCCTCATTCCGCCTCTCCATTGCACGTGTATGGTGATATGGTCGACCCCGAAGGCCTGCGAAAGGTGGAGATGATCATAGCTTGCAGCAACCGTGATGTAGAAGCAAGACTGACAGGTCTTCAATCATGGGTGCTGAGATGTTAGTACGGCGGATGATCGGCGGTGCAGGGCAAGACGGCGGGGACCGACTACCGAGGTACTACTACTATAATACCGACAGGCCTCCAAGCGCCAGCCTGCCAGCCTCGAGCTTACCCTACCGTACTTCACGGCCAGCAGTACCAGCAGCACAATAATGACCTTTACATATTCTCCATTGAGACACCAAAAGGCGACCTGCATTCAAGCAGAAGATTTGTTGATTCCATCATCATCATCTTCATCACAATTCAATTGGTCCTTCCTTGAGAGTAGTGGACATTTTCTACTGGAGAGGTACGAGTACTCCGCTCGAATCGCCAGAAAAAGGTCGCCGGCCCACCAGCCCAAGGATATTTGGGTGCAAGTCCCGTGAATTGGTCGCCCTCGATTTTCAGTTGCATAATCGTTCCCGCTCAGCTGGAACCTTTAGCTTCTTCTCCTTTAGGTTGCGTGAATATTGCTGGCGTCGCACCCATGTACCCTCACCACATCGAGACAGCTCTTTCTCTCTGTCTTCCGCATGAGGGGCAATGAGCCCCTTGACAATTGCTTCCAGACTCTACAGACTAGGCCAGGCATATTTCAGAGGGGTTGATTCCTTTTCTCCCTCGTCTTAGGACGCCGTTGCTCCCTCGAGTTGCCCTAGTTCCCTGGCAACTTGTCCTTGTTTCCTTTGGCTTAAGAGGACTGCAGATCTACCATAGCCTCTCCTGTAATCTTTGAAAAGGCCCAAGAACATTGTTACAACAGTGGATTATCGTTGAGCCTTTCCTCAAAATGTCGGTTCGAACTACTGTCCTTGAGAATGGAAGATGGGTCACTAGAAACGTGGACCCCTACCATGTAAGAGCCCAAAATGCAGAAACGCCGCGCAAAGAACGGAGTCAGCCGTCGATCAGTATTCCAAAGACGCCTTCTTTAGGAATCCTTACGAAGACTCTGGTCAGAAGTTCCGTCATCAACCGGATTATCCCTGCGAGAATACGGCACAAGACGAAGAACGACGTGCTCTTTATATCGGCAAATTCAGTAACAATCAAAGAAGCCAAAGCGGACTACACTTTAAGAGAAATAGCCACCAAGAGTGACTTTGACTCAGCAATCAAGTCCGCTAGAGTAATCGGAGAGCGAAGGGAGCTGACAAGACACGACTACAGCTATAGAAAGCTCAGGAAGGAGGAGCGTTGGGATGATACCCACACTAACAAACATAACGATTTGGTCCCGGAAGAAAATCTTCCGGATCGTGCTCCCCTGTACCGACGAGAGCTTCCACCTCATATCCTCGTTCTAGCTTTGGAGTCGAACAGGCTTGTGTTCTTGTGTGCAGTCAGTGGAGATTTGGAGCATGCTGAACTTTTCTGGAGTCAGAAGGCGTTGCCAGCTCCGACCTCGCCTTTGCAACGCCTTGGCGAGCATATTGCTGTCGATCCGAAGTGCGTTGTGAGCCAGATACGTTGGACAAGCTCCTGACTGACAAGTCTAGGTCCCGAGCAATGGCTGTTGCTGCTCACGAAGACAGAGCTTACGTATACGCTTTGAAGCCAATGAACGAGATGAGAGCAGAGTTCAAGGAGAAGTCTCAGCTTGGGCCGATCAAAGAAGTGAGTGTTCGGTCAATCTAGCTTGTGCACACCCCCCAGCTAATAACCATCTCACTGTAAGGAAAAGCTCATCTTGCTGGGCGGAAGAATTCTGAAGATGGAATTCCTCCATCCGCCGGAGGACGAGCCAAACCAAATTATTCTGCTGTTCGTTGTCGCAAGGGATCGCCAAAGTTGGTTGTTTTGGTACGACTGGAACGCTGATATGCCTTTGCACCTGTCTCAGCCGAGGCCAAATAAGATAGCTTTGCATCCAGACGAACAGCTGCCCTTACTTCTGATACCTCTTATGAAAAACAGTGCATTTATCATGGTGTGTGAGAAACGCCTGGTCTTGATCAAGGATATCTTGACGGGGGGTTGCCACCGGTTCTTACATCGCCTCGCCGTTGAGCAAGAGCCTCAAGAACCTGGCGTTTCTACGAGGCGGCCACTTTGGGTTCAATGGGCAAGACCAATGAGATCCAAGAGGAAGAGGCCTAACGAAGACAACATAGTCTTATGCCGAGAGGACGGGATTGTGCAGTATGTGGTGATTGATCATGGTCTCAAAGAGATGATCGACAGCAACCACAACGTTGGCAGACTCGGGGTCAACATCAACACATCATTTGCGACTGTAGATATTGGTCTTTATACAGAGGATGTGCTGATCGCAGGCGGCGACGAAAGCGATGGAGGTCTGTGGAGCTTTCCACCCCGTCAGAAAAGTCCCAATCAGCGAGGTACTTTACCAAATTGGACGCCGATCAATGATTTCGCTATTGCCAATGTTCCGATGGACCGACAGAATGCAGGGATCACAGTTGCAGCAAACAACGCCTCAAAGGGACAACAACGGCTGTTCGCATGCTCCGGCAGAGGAAAACACGGCGCGATCTCAGAGATACGCTACGGAGTGCAAGCATCGAAGAAAATCAGCACAGTACCTGATCTTATCGATGAATTGAAAAATGGGTTGTTTGGAATTTGGGCCTTGCACGGCTTCTACGGAAACACAGACGAGCAAGACAGGCAAGACAATTATCTGGAAGACGTCACATATATCATCTTGTCTCACCCACTGCGAACTTATCTTCTGCGAGTGTGGCTGAAGCAAGAACCAGAACCCACTAGCGATGATGTAGGCCTGCTAGACGCTGATTATAAACTCATTGACCATGATGTGGGTCTTGACCTCAACGCTAGGACGATCGCTGCAGGGCGCACAAATCGAGGCCTCACTATTCAAATTACAGAAACCTCTCTTATGGCCACATCATTGCCTTCGCCACCGTCGAACGACAAAGAGATTAAAGAAGAGGATATGGAGGACACAAAGCCGGACAAAAATCAACTTGACGCCGAGAGATATGAGCCAGGATCTAAGTATCCATTTGGAGACTCGCGGATTCTGGCGGCCTGTATACACACAACTGCGGACAACACCATTATTGTTTTCGCTACCCAACGGAATGGACAGTTTTATCTAGAATCTGGAAATTTTGCCAATGAATATCAGCATTTGGATCAACAAATACCGCTTCACGTACAACCATCCTGCCTCTCTGTGCTGGAAACCGGAAAAGAACTTCTCGTACTCGTTGGTACTCTTGCGGGAGAGCTGGATATCTATCTGCCGGCCAACATTGGCTCCGGGCTCCTGAACCCTGCTACTACCATTCACCATACTTTTGCCGGTCCCTTTGGTATATGTGATAGTATCGCTATCATCGCAAGAGCCACGAGCAAAGGGGTACAACCGCTCCTTGTCTGTGGCCTCCGCGATGGCACTGTGGAAACATTAAATCTGAGCAAGGAAGTAGGTACATGTGAGTTTACCACTATCCTGGGATTCTACCCAAGATGTACATGCTGACAATGGCAATGGACCATCTAACTCTCTGCGAAAAGCTGGCTTTCGGCCATACTTCCGTGGCTGTCCTTAAGGACACAACGGCCAATAGAGTCGTCATCCATTGCGAGAACACTTTATGCACCCTAGAATATCCCCAAAAGGACGATAAAGCACCCGCGACGGTGCTCAACGTGTGGATAACAGACCCATGCAAACCTTCACTTCAGCAAGGTAAAATCTCTGCAATCAGTCAAGTTGTGGATTCATGGTTGCCCGGAGGAACCCCTGGATTCACCGCTGAATCTTTCGTTTGCATGGATGGCAATAAACTCCATACGATCTCTCTCGATTCGCAGCCAAAAATGGTTCCTCGCCGTCTAGAGCTTGGTGGGAGTCCTGTTAGAGTGTTATATTCAAAACGCCTGGATAAGCTCATTGTTCTCCACAACAAGTTCGAAGTTCTTCGGTCTGCTAGACAAATCCATGGGCGACCTAACGTCCGAGGCAAGCGTGCTCTGCGCCCGATGATCTCGTTTCTGGACTCGGATGTTGACCCAGTCGCCGGGCTTGATCCCGATGCAATGGACATTGATGATGGGGAAGAGCCCAAAGACAATCAAGCGCTCATGATATCGGAATGCAAACCAGGCGAGAAGTTCCTTGGTATGACCGAGTGGTTCCCTATAGTTGGCGTCAACGAGTACCATATGTTGGTCATTAACACCATGTTGACCCGGGCACAAAAGCCAGTCGGGCGGTTACTCTTCTTCGCAATTACCAAGGAAAGAAGCAATCAGCCTCCAAAACTTGTCACAAAGAAAGCGATTGATACGGATGAACCTGTGTATTCTGTGGCTATATACCCTGACAAGTCGCTCGTCTACTGCTGCGGAAACGATCTATACATGCAGTCTCTCGGGGTAGCTGATCCATCTCGGATCAATTGGCAAACTCCAGTCAAAGTTGCAATGCGGTCACCGGGAAGGCATATAACCGTGAAAGAGCCATACATATATGTTTCAAGCAGTCGTGAGTCGTTGTCAGTATATCGGTGCGATGCTGGTCAGCTGATCTACCAGTTCGGGGATCAGTCCGCTCGATGTGGTTTACATCATCTTCAGTTGCCCACCCACTCACTTGTTCTAGCTTCGGATATGTCAAATACAGTCGTAGGACTATGGCAGCCTCCCGAGCGAAGGATCGATAATGCGATGACTACAGTGTTTGAGGCTGTGTTGCAAGGGTCCATAACCCGTCTCAGACACGTCAGTCGTCCGATATGGTCTCACGATCCTCGTAGTTCCCTTGAAAGCAATGGGAACAAGCCCGTCAACTCTTCACCACCAGGGGATGAAGTAATACTCGGCTCCTCCGCAGATGGTACTCTGACTCAAATGTCTATCCTTTCTAGCATTGAATGGCGCTTCCTTCGCTTCACTCAAAACATGGCCGAGCGACACCCCATAATCTGCCCCTTCCACCCAGGCAAGCCCCATCGAAGACACATCGAGCCTTCGGCTGCCCGACCGCATTACATGCATATCAACGGGGACATACTCGAACGAATAGTCGATCGAGGGGGCGAAGGCCTGTTGAACGACATGCTAGATGTGGAACCGGACCATGAAAGCCACACGGACTTTGGGTCTAAGGAAGAGAGGAGGGAGAGGTTTGAGGAGTTGGCGAAGGCAGTGCTGAAGGACGTGGAGAAGGGCGACGTGTTGGGAAGGGTGGTACTGTGGCTTAGGTACCAATTGCGGAATGCGCTTTAGATGTGTTTATGATGATGAATGATGAGGAGGCTTGGGGATGAAGACCGATGAGCTACGAGAATGATGGCAGGAATCCTTGAAGTATGACGAACGTTCGCTTCTGCACTTTCCAACTGTAAAACAAACCAGAGGGCGTCATCATGACAAATAGGCAAGATCAACCCAACAACCCGCGGACTTTCGAGTCAAGTAGCTTTGTATTTGCCTATGCTATCTCATCCGCCTAGCACACAACAACAGCACAAACTCCTTTCATCTCAACCGTCCAGCTCAACCCACAGCCACAGCGTACCCTCTACTTCAACTTCTTCTTTGGCCTCAGCTGGTTCGTGTGGCCGCACTTCTTTTTACGGCTACGTCCTGTCAGCTGCAGCGCGCGATGTTCCACGAAAGAACGCCTACCAGTTCGTTGCTCGTGGTGGGAGACGGGCGTAACCTGGAATCCCCCATCCGTCAGCAGTCTTCCCCCACTTGCCGCTGGGAACCCGGGCAAGCTTGGGGAATCGGAGAGGGGGCCGGGACGTACATTTCCGGCAGATCATCTTGTCGCAGTTGTATTTCGAGGCCAGAGCCTTGAGGGAGGGCTCGATGATGCCGCCGCGGAGACGGAGGACGAGGTGCAGGGTGGATTCCTGTTCCCGTGCAGGTCATCAGCGTTTTGTTTTCCCAAAGGCCTGCACCATTCGAAACTCCGGCAGATTCCCTCCCTGGCCCACTGCTCTTGCTCCCCGCCAACAGTTTTGTGGATGCAACCTACTTTTTGGATGTTGTAATCCGACAGCGTACGCCCGTCCTCCAATTGCTTCCCGGCGAAGATCAAACGCTGCTGGTCCGGGGGGATACCCTCCTTGTCTTGGATCTTGGCCTTGACATTGTCGATGGTGTCGGAGGATTCGACTTCGAGCGTGATGGTTTTACCGGTGAGGGTTTTGACGAAGCTGTGGCATTGTCAATTCTCTGTGGGCGGACGGGCTGTTGTGGGTGAGGGCCGCGGGAGCTTACATCTGCACTGTGGTTGAGAGGAGAAGTCAGTACATGTAGATTCAATGATATGGTGATGTGGAAGGTGGCTTACTGATTGCGGTTCTTCGATCCTGCTGTGCTTAGATGTGGTCTTTTGGTGTCGATGACTCGGAGTTTTGGATTGTTCGTGGGACGAAACGCCTCTGCCAGCCGAGACTTGGCGCTATTTTGATTCGGGCACGACGTCCTCTACATACGTATTGTGGAGTAAGAAAATCAACGCACCAAACGGGTGACGGAATAGATTATCGTTTACGGCAGTATAAAACAAGAATATATGAGGCGTTATAGCTACATTTTCGCTCTTAGCGATCTCTACTACTACAATAATTTCAACGTGCTGCTCTCGGAAGGATAAGACTAGACATAGAGGCTCGAGTGAAACCTTTCCTGAAAAAAGGAACGTTGACTGTAAAGAGTGCACCTTGATAGAGCTTCTCAGCTTCTATGGTTCAAAACTTCGGGTAGAGGATTGCCCTGTGACGTTGGGGCTTGGATCATAGAGTACATTCTTTTCAATTAGAAACCCGCATACGAATGGGCTTATGCTATCTGTCATGGATACAATGATGATACTGCATAGTGGACTTCTGGATCAGACAGTGGATCTAGACGGGACAAACACGCAATACGCAGGCTCGCACGCAGACAGCAGCACATTTGATCACTGATACATCAGGTGGGAATTTTAACAAGTTTCTCAGGTCGTGGTTTGTGGGAGTTATGCGAAGCTATCAAGAGGACATTACTCAATCGTCTTGATCCACTTCTCGAGCATCTCGATGATTTCCAAATTGTTTTGCTCAAGGAACTGTAGGTGCCCATTCCCGTGAACCCCCTCGTCCGCAAGCTTGAGATGCTTGACGTTCACGCCTGCCTGCCTAAGGAAGCGCACAGTGAACTCATCGTAACAAGCATGGGAGCTTGCTTCGCCTGTTTCTAACAACACGGGTATCTTGGAGAGATTCTTGAGTCTTCGCGCAGGCTCCTGTTGCAGGATACAGGTTCTGTCATTGAGGGCAGCTTGTTCGTGTGTTTGCAATGGTGCCTGGCCGTCAATCGTGGCATCGGCTGGTGGATCATAGCTCATGGGGATCTCCGTTATACCGTAGAGCTTGACCGTGGCGTCTTTGACAATAGTGCTTTGGAAAGGTGGTCCGCTGGGTTCAATTGCGACAATGGCTTTGACAAGCTCAGGTCGAACGTCAGCCCACAGCCAGCCATGGGTGCCACCTTGAGAATGAGTGGCTAAGACAGCGGGCCCTATGCGGTCCAGCAGGCTAGCTCCAGCGGCCTGCATAAGCGTTTGTTCCACGCCATAGTCCCTGAGGGAGGGGACGGTGCTGGCGTAGTAAGCATCAAATACAGGGTCGCCAACACGGCCTGAGCCTGGCCACTGCGTGTGAAGGGCGGCCTCCGGCCAGAGCTGAAAGTCGCGGCATGCAGTCCAGCGTTTTTCGGCCAGTTCGGCAGTGTAGGTGATAGTTGGGCCATTAGAAGGGTGGTAAGAAGAGCGCCCGCGCGAGATTTGGTCGAGGAGGTAGACAGTATAGCCTTGGTCTAGGAGCCAGGATGCCCACCCTTTACGGCCATCAGGAGTGTTGAGGAAGTTCTGTGCATTATGAATGTCAGCGAGGGATTACAAAGGAAAGGTGGACGCTTTAATGGATATGCCAAGCGTGAATTTGCCAAAAGAATCCTGGTACAAGAGAGGACAACAGCATGCGATGAGATACGATCAATCCAAAACAGTTGCGTTGAGACTGGCGAGGAAGGTCTGCTTGCTCGCACTGTACGCTCTTCAATCCCCAGGCCGATCTTCCCCAAGGTGTCTGGCGTGCGGCACACCTTATCTTTTCTCAAAGGACGTAATGCGTTCTTTGCCTACGCAGTGAATTGAACAATTTGAAGCAGACAAAGCAATGATTTAACCCACCGTTCCTGTCTGACCTGCTCCTTGAATAAAGACAATTGGCCATGGGTGCTTTACACCACCAGCTGGCGTGAGCTGCTCCACGTACATCTGGCCTGTGAATATACGCTGGCCATCGCCACTCTCGGCATCCACATACTCACCTCCTACGTAGAAATAGGAGCGATTGTACAGTGATTCTGCTGTGGCTGGGACGGGTATAGCGTGGAAGACACGTTCGGCTGATGTTGTGGGCATTGCTGGGTATAACAATCCTACCTAGTACACGGACACTGATCAACGCGCTATGCGGTGTACGCTGAATGTCTTGCCAATTGCAAAAGGCGGGTGATAACAGTGAATGTCTAGATGTAGTTCGGTGACACAAAGTGCTGACTCTTGCCGCAGACGAGGACTGTTGTGACGGAGGGTAAAATGGCGCTCCGAATCCCTCAATCCAGCCGCTGCCCCTCGCTTCCGACGGTTCTTAAAGAGATTTAGATGGTTTCTTTACCGAGTAAAAAAACCATAGATGTCTAAAACAAAGGGTACGCCGTCTGACTGAGCCGATCAGGATATTGAAGCAGAACAATGGTTGCGCATGCGATTGGTAGAAATACGAGCCCACTCCTTGCAGCAGATGTCGCACAAGAGTTTTCTTGTGTATAACGCTATATGTCTTCTGCAGCGATCCAGTTGGAATAGAAAAAGTTCATGGATGTGGAACAGTGTTTCAAGAAGAAGCAACACAACCGAGAAAGCCTACAGTCTGGAACTACTATGAATATCAGTAGCAACGGCGCCGCCAGCCGAAGGTAAGTTCCATGGTCCTCACCCGAAATCCACTACGTTTGCGGTCATGCACCTTCATGGTTGGTCAAGCGTTGTTGTCGCTTGTATTCTCCATGAGCGCATCACCTTCCTCTTTGTCTGCCTTCACCTTTGCCTCTCTCCACTTCACCAAGCTTCGCTCCACCTGTCCCACCGCTAGAATGAGGCTTTCAAGCCTGACACCGATCGCTTCAGCAACTGCTTCATGGAAAGCTTTGGCGTGCGGCGTTAAATCCTCAACTTTCCTGTATCTCTTGTAGAAGCTTCCGATTCGAGTCGAGTCCCCATGAACCCCAGCGGAATCTTCAGGGTTGTCAGGGACTACATTACGCAAACGCAGCTTGCCCATCACCACATTGAGCCTCTTGTCGATGGTCTCCTGCTCCTTGACAGCCATCTGATCGTAATTGTATGGCGTAGGGCTGGAACCATCTGTACGACATATTGGAAACATGTCGAGGAGCTGCTTTGGAAGGCCACGAGCTTTTTCCTCCACACGGGACTCGTCGACATAGGTGCGTTCGTACCAATCCATGTAATCGTCCAACTGTTCCCCCGTCATATTCATGACATCCCTTTCCGTGACATTTATCTCGCTTCCACGTTCCACGTGAGCCTCGCCGGTAGCATGGAGTTTGTGAGAGCTTTGAACGTCGACCCATGTTGCCCAGTCAATTGTCAATACAGCCGAGTCTGCAAGAGAGCGCACATGGCGGGTAAAGCCGTCAAATGGGTGATAGAGCTTCACCGTTATTATCAGCAGACATATCAGCTGAATTTCGGGCAAGGAAGAGATCTGCTGCCGAAAGCTAGGCAATGGAAAGGCGAACGTTATTAATAGTAGTCGAGAAATCTCGAGCGTTTTGAGGTGGAGCGTGACTGCGTCTCGTTAGCTGGAGACTTGAAGAGGGATAGTACCTAGACATACTTGGTAAGGAGAGATTGCGTATCTGCTTGTAGAGTAAAAGAGGAGCGTTGAGTGGAGGGAAGACGAGCGCGAAATGGTGTGTGTAGAAAAGAGAGAGATTATGGATCGTCTTGCGTAGCTGATCTAGCTCGAGCGGAGACTGCAAGTACAAAGTCAGTCAAGCCTTTCCAATATTTTGGATAGCCATGCCGTGGTATCCAGTGCTTTGAGGTACTGTGCGGGTAGCCTTTGCTTCATGATAGCCGGTACGAATCTCACGGCCCTTATGAAAGGAATGTCCTCTCTGACAGCCCACCTGGACATCGAGACCGTTTTAGCACAAGTCTATTCCGAAGTTCAGGCAGCAAGCCACGTACCGATGCATCTCCCCAATACTAACAGGCAATCGCAGCAGGATCGTTCCCAGATAGCAGAGTCCCAGCGTCTCAATCAAGCTGGGCATAATTTTCCCCCTAACCTTCCACTTTCTCCCAACACCCTCATGCTTATCTTCTGTCTCCGTCTCGCTCTGCGGCTGTGAGCTAAACATCGTGTCCTCGTCTGAGGTAGCATCAGTCTTGCTTTTCAGCAACTGCAACCGCAACGCCCATAAGTCTTTGACCACGGTCTCGAGCTCTGCTGGGAGGCCAGTGGTGTGGACCAAGGCGTAGCATTGTTTCCAGAGGATGAGCTGATAGGATTGAAGGTAGAGCTCTGTAGCAGTGGCGCCTCTGTAAACTGGATGCTGTTAGAGAGGTCCTGTAGAGGAGCGGGGTTGCAGGGCGTGGGCTTACTTTGGGAGACCTTTTCTTTTGTTTCCCTTCTGACGCGGGTCTTTCTACCCTGGGTGCCAAAGTCATCCTCATCTTGCTGCGTTGGTATTCCCTGGTTATGACTCTGTCAGGCTCAATGCCCAACTGGCTTAGATCCTCATTTACCTCCTGCAGATGCCCCCTCTTGCAGTACTGGAAGCTATTTTCTTCGTAGTACAGCGTTGATCTGCAATTATCCTCCTTGCCGCACCTTTGACCCTTCGTGTATTCCAACTTTTTAGGCATGTATTATTCTGAGGCATGCTGATCTTCGTGATGGGCCTTGCCTTGGAGCGGCTTGGATGATGGGTGTATAGGAGTGAAGAGGTTCATAGCTACGTCGCGCAACGGATCTACATCGAAAACTTAAATATTGCCTATGTGTATCAACATCGACTTTCAATGACTCGGTGTCCTCATATCTCAGCGTTTGAATTCTTTTCTACATTGATCTCATCCTTATCATCAACTCATGCAGTATCCATCGCCTAATACATGCAGAAGGTATATGCCGAAACCCAAGATACCTTTTGAGGGAGATCCATCATGAAGTGTAGCAAGATAAGCTGGGCTGCCAGCTTCGATCCCCCGCTAAAGTGCACAAAAGCAACCAACGTTAACCATGATATCCACTTTACTGTCTTTGTTCTCCGGAGGATGTAAGCCCACTTTTTGGTTGAGAAAAGCCTTCAAGCGGCCTTCGGGGCTTCCTTCGCTTCAATAGCCACCTCCTCGCCCATGGAAGTAAGAACAATGACGTCTTGCAAACATTAGCGAAAGTCATACTTCTTGACAGATGTTCGACTTACTCGTGTCTTTTTCTTCGGTGCGGAAGAGCTTCTCGATCTTGTCACCAACCTCTCCATCAGGAACCTTGACATCATCTTTGGTAGTGCCGTCGTCAGACATGAGAGAAAGGAAATTATCGTCAGTGACATCCAGCTAGTGAACGGTCAGCAAAATGTAATTTGCAGGCGTATGCAGTGAATCATTACAAGCTGGTATTCCTTGCGCTGGACGTTAGGGACGTCCATGTTGTGAGTGGAGGGGCAAAGGTCTTCGAGCTTCTTGCCAGTGAATATGTCAATTGCAACGAGATGAACCTTCGCGTGACCGTGCTTGCCGGTCTTGGAAGTGCTCATTTCGACGATCTTGCAGGGGCGGCTCTTAATGACGACGAATCCGTTCTTGCGGAGCGCAGAGCACTGCATAGGATAGGTGGTAGAAGCACCGGCATCGGCGCTCTCGAAGGTATGCTCATGCTGATAGGCAAGTTGGTCAGCAAAAGTGGGAAAGAAAATGCTCGAGCTCATGCGCCGGTCTGGCGGGGGAAAGTCTGTGAGACAGCTTGGATGTCACTTACCTGGGCGTCGTCCGCCATGATGAAAGCTGATAAAAGCGAGATGAAAGGAGCGAATAGATAAATAGGAATTAAAGGGAACTAGGCGCCGGCGGCGAGGGTTAGAGTATCTGTTGAAGAGTTGAAGTTTTTCTTGACGTGAAAGAGTCAAGAACTCGAAGAAAGTGCGATTGGCGGGGCGAGCTAGTTCGGCTCACTATGGCTAGATGGGTGTGGGGTCACCAAGTGCTTACCCCTGCGGCTTTCCTGCTTTACTGAGGTTCTCAGGATTCTACTCTCCAGCTTTCTTATGTCGCTTCTATTCCGTAAGGCATAAGGTAACCAGTGCAAATTGTCGCTTGTGCTTGTACTCTACTTGCCAAGCTGCAGATATCTATCATGGCTTGCCCCAATCTGTCTTCGGCAAGTCTCGGGCGATCACTCGGAAAGACGTTAGGGGCAAGGGATAGTAGCCAAAAGATGCAGTGCTACTGCCCTCTTCTTCTATCCAGCTATCCGACAATCCAACACTCTCGAATCCTCCTTCCTCTTCATACGACGGTTCAAAATGTTTGGCGGCAAGAAATTTGATCCGGACACGGAGATTCCTGATCTAACAGGGAAGACAATCCTGGTGACTGGAGGTTAGATTCAGATCTGGCTGTCAGTACAGCGGGCAATATACTGAACTTTGGTCCTAGGTAACAATGGCCTAGGACTGGAGACCTGCCGTCAGCTTGCCAAACATAACGCCCATATCTACTTAGCCGCCCGAACACCATCCAAGGCACAGTCTGCCATATCAGACATTAAAGGGACAGCGCCAAATGCCAATATAACCTTCCTAGAGCTGGACCTAGCTTCTCTCGAGTCTGTGAAAAAAGCTGCCGATACTTTCAATGCCGAGTCTGATAAACTTGACGTTCTTATCAACAATGCAGGGGTCATGGCTCTACCTGCCTCCACCACCAAAGAGGGGTACGAAATTCAATTCGGTACCAATCATATCGGTCACTTCCTCTTCACAAAGCTTCTCATGCCCACATTGCAGCGCACCGCGGAGGGCAAAGGAGACGTACGCGTCGTCAATCTCAGTTCAGAAGGGCATAGGCTTCCTCCAAAAGGCGGACTTGTATTGAAAGATGCCCATTCAAATATGGCCTCTTACAACACCTGGGTGCGCTACGGCCAGTCGAAGTTGGCAAATATCCTGTTCACGCGAGAACTCACTAGGCGCTACCCCGCCCTCAAGAGCGTTGTCCTTCACCCAGGAGGCATTGACACTGGACTTTCCCTGGGTTTCCAGAAAGAACACCCATGGCTCGCGGCATTCCTTCGCCCTATAGCCTCACCATTCCTGACGACGGTCCAACAGGGTGCTCTCACGCAATTGTTTGGTATGTGATTTCGCAGCCAGAATTTTTCCTTTCCGTTCCATTTCCGAAACTCGCATCAAGTGTCAGGAATGTTGCTGTGTAGGCTTGTTTCAACACTCGGAGACCGCTCTTGAAAGGGCAATGCTGACACCGAAATCTTTCCAGCCGCGACGAGCGAAGAGGCCAAAACTGGAACGTACTATGTCCCTACTGCCACAGAGAATGCTGGGTCCAAGTACTCGCGAGACTCGAAGCTGGCGGGGGAGTTGTGGGAGTGGACCGAGCAACAATTGGCCGAGCATGGGTATTGAGGTTTAGGAGTGCAGATTCATGGACCGCAGTCCAGGCATTTGTTCTTTCGTATACCGACAGCCGCAGGCTCAAACCCACAATCGTTGCCAAATCAGTCTTTTCTCAAACCTACAGAGTAAAGTCTCTGAATTAGGTCCTTGGAATTAGGTCCTGAAAGACTCTTTTCCATTATTATATACGAGTTATAAACCTTACTTTTCCATACGAAGGAAACCTTACATTAGAGCCATTCCAGGCCAGCAGCATGTTTACATACCTGGTGACGGAGAGAGAGTTTCTTACGCTCTTGGGCAATGGAGGAAAGCCAACGTTCCAGATATCGTGATGAAGCCATAGGTTACGGTCCAAATCACTCCAGAGTCACTCTCGAGATGATCTTGCGCATGAATCAGCTTGCATTCTACGATTGCCCTCGACCTGAAAAGGCCCGCATGTTGTCAATTTGGATTATTGACTATGCACCCGCTCCATCATGGCAATGTGTCACTCGTTTAGACATTGCCAATCCAAGCTTCATTTTTTCGATACCCATATCTTTCTTCGAAACATTCGATCGTCAGCTCCGTCCATCGACCGTCCTTGATGTTGGCGTAACCTTGCGGCGCCCTTACAAACCCTAAAAGGCACTTCCGCAGCACAAGCTTACCTTAAGTAATACTGCTCTGCTATGTCTTGAGCATGCACTTTCTCTCACAAATCTGAGAGTTGCCATGACCGGCCAAGGATTTGTCAACTCGATAGCCCTTATGGAAAGAACTTTGTTTCCGCCAAAAGTATGTCACTCCAGACTTCGAACATGTTGTCGGTGCCGAAATTGAAAACAGTTTCGAATGTTATGTTCCATGGCATCACCCCTGCGTTGCTTAATTCTCTCTATATGTATGGACGAGTCTATGCAAGAAACTTGATGGTCCAGAGCCCTCTATCATAACGCTGCGACTGTGGAGCTCATAGTACTCGCTAGAAATGGAAGGGAGTGACTAGGCACTGGATATACCTCAGAGGCCCCCGGAAACCTTTAGTGTCTTCTTTTGATTCAAAGATCCCCTTGTATAATTTCCATTCGGGCGTTAGCTAATGGAGCGTTCAACCTGCGGGTGAGCGACGCGCTTGTCCGATGTTTTGAATGCCCCCTTTAAAATTCCCTAACGAAATCCTACTCAATATCCTAAGTAGCGTCAACGCTACAGATCATCTCAGCGTCAAGCTTGTGTCCAAAAAATTCCGCGGCTGGGCCACTGACATCAACACGACTACCCTCACCCTCGCAGAAGTAGTAAGGTGCCATGCCGCCATCGAGGCCGCTTTCCCACGCAATAGAGAGCTAGTTCGCTGTTGCTGCACCCACTGCGGGCTTGTCAAAGATACGGCTCAGTTCTCAGATCCTGACGCTAAGAAGACGAAGGCAAACCGCACGTGCATTGCCTGCGGCATTCGAAGGAAAAATTACTCGCACAGATACCTCCCTACTGTTGGCGGCCAGCAACGAATTCCCCGCCACGTATAGCTTAAGTGGCAGAAGCGACGATCCTGCTTGATATCCGCGCTGGGAAGATCTATTGCGAGCATTGCTTGGAGTCCAGACTAAGTTTTGTCACATGCGCCCCTACATTGCATGACTTTTTGCTTGGGTCATCTGTTGCCAGTCTTTCCGTCCTGTGGGGATCAGAGCCTGAGGGGCAGAGCATCAGGGGAAGTACAACTGAGGAAGAAATCGATTAGCTACGCAATAGGGCTGTGGCATTTTTATGTAAATGGGTGCTGGCCTCTTTAGATTACGAAGCGGCTACAACGCTCAGATCATCAGCATCTCAATGAAGAAACCAAAATCTATTCCTCTAAACAAAAAAATTATAAAAAAATGAAATTGTGAATGCTATCAGAATCTGCCTCTTTCATGGCGAATCAGGTCGACACGGCTGCCGTTTGATCAGGGAAGTTTAGGTTCGATCCCAACCCTCCGGCACGTATATCACAGCCCACAACATGTACCAACAACACAAGCGAATTACCACGCAAAGCCATTCCTCAGCAGTAAACCCTACGGCACAGGGCGTACATTAGAACGAGCAGACAGCCCAAGCCATCGCCCACTTTAACACCTTCCAAGCGCATGGTATGCGGCTTCTCTGGCAATTTTTCCACATGTCAGCTCATTCAGTGACCGGCGCCAGCCCCTCCTCTGTACTTACCCAGGGTGGACTGCGTGCGAGATCTGAAAGAGCGAGCTCGATATGTGGAAGAATCAACGCTCACTCACCTCGGGTTAAGTGGGAGCGAAGAACAAGATCGCTTTACCAATCAACAAGTACCAGAGATTGTCGAAGTGGACACCACGGCTCACGATCGCGATATATACAAGGTAATCCTTGGGCATCCGGAACGTCGTTCGTGAAAACATATTCGAAACCCGCTACATCCTGGCGGGAGCTGCCAAATCGACAGCGCAGGCGAAGCTCACTATGTAAGTAAATATTTAGCACTGCAGTCATCAGTCGATAACAACGAAGTGGAGCTTTTCTTCTGTTTCTCATCATACCAATACATCAAAACGAGGCGCAGCGAAAATCCTTGAAGCGCCCCAGCACTATGCAACCCACCAACTCTGCCTTTCGAAGTCTCCGCCCGTTGTCCCCACCGCTGACCTCTCATCCGGCAATCATCATCAATATCCACCTCCATGAGCCCGACCAACTTCTGAGCCAGATACCCCGTTCTTTGCCCCATTTCCATCTGCTCGTCGCTCAACAACGCCCCATTTATCGTCATCGTATACCAGTGTTTCTCTCTCCGCGTCAAAGCGCGCAATGCGACGGCCCTCGAAGAGAACCTGGCCGCTGCCGCCAGGGTCGGTAAGGGGAAGAAGTAGGTGCTCCAGTGGAGGCTGTGGGGTCTGGTGAAGTAGAAGAGGGCGATGGGGGAGAGAGCCTTTAGCACGCCGAAGAGCATGCCTCTGACGGTGGCACCCGATTGGCTGTCGAGGTTAATAAATAGTGACATCTTGTCGCCTGGGCAGGAGTGTGGATTTGGTATGTGTTGGTGTGGAGTGGACGGGGGAGCTCGTTGGGCTTCTTGGTCTCGCAGGATATCAGTAAGAGGAACTTCGCTGGGAACAAAGGGCCTTGCCTGTAATCTTCGCTGAATTGGCGGTGGTTTGGCTAGCCTTTCGGTGACAAAAAGAGATCTGGCAAGATAAATACCTCGCTGTTTATAACCAAAAAAAGCCAAAAGAAAGCCTGAGACATGCGTGCAGAATCGTTTGAATCTTATTCGCGGGATCAACTGCCCGATTCTCAGATCTTAACAGTTCAGAAACGTCAAATCCTTGCACGAAAGAGAAGTATCTCACACTTCTATGGTACACCATGAAGCATGTGCTTACTCCACCACCCAAGACAAACCCCCCATTCTAGGCCATCAACGCCAATGTCCTCACGTCCATAGTACAATCTGCATGCTTAGCCGGCATGACTGAAGCTACTTCTTAGCGGTCCGGATCATTTACTCATCTTCCACCTCTTCAACCCTCGGCGCAGCATGCGCGTGCCGCTTGCTGACTTGCCCATTCGTTGTTTCCGTACCATTCGTCAATGGCGATGCCTCAATCAATTTAGTAGCCGCTTTCTCCCCGCCTCCTCCTTTCTTCGATTTCTTGGCTTTCTTCGCCTTCTTGTCCTGCTCATGGATTGCGATCAGCCTCACCGCCCGCTCCTCAAGTTGAAATACAAGCTGAATGGTAACTCACCTCCTGCCACCCCCATACCGGCCTGAAACTATCAAAGAAACCCACATCCTCAAAGAGGTTCGGATATAACCATAGTCCAGGTGGTACCGTAAAGACCGTCGCGCAGAATAGTATGAGGCGGAATATAGCCATAGCGAAGAACAACCCTATCAAGCCTAAGAAGCCCATACTAAGATACCAAACCCCAATCCTCAACGTAACAGGCCACAGTGGGAACATGACGACCGTCATAATCAGTATCAAAGCTCCCACCGCATACAATTTTGTCCGCCATTGCGGTCCCTCGTACAGCCAGACATAATGTAGATCATCGTTTATATCCTGCTGCTGTTCGATCTTAACGGTCCATAGCCCCTTAACTCGCTTTTGAGGCTTCGAAGGAGCATGGCCATGGCCTTCGTGGGGATCTGATTTTGACACACGTAGAGCAAGGAGGGAGAGGGGGAGCAGTTTGAAAATTTCGGCTTTTGGGGTTGCGGTAGTGATTTCGGGGAGGAGAGGGTTTTTACTGCGGGCTTTCGTGTAGGCGGCGGAGTCGATGGCTCGGAGGGCACGTTTGACTGCTCGAGCATTTAGTGACCTCGTAGAGATATGTACGAAGGTGAAAGGCGTAATGTATACCTCTAAACATATCTTTTCGCTGCCCATTCAATATACAAGTCCTCGGCTTCAAATCCTGACCCTTCAACCATTTTGCTAGCGCCAATGCCCTCGGATCCGGCGCTCCCGGTGTAATAGGCACCTGTTGCCCCTGCTGCCCCTGCATCTGCGGTTGCCCTTGTGGTTGTGCAGCTTGGTTCTGAGCTTGTTGCTGCGCCATTTGCTGCTGGCGTTGATGGTTTTCGAAAGCTTGTTGTTTGAGCTTGTTGATGTACTGGTCGAAGGTCAAGCCCGCTTTGTCGGCTTCGGCTTGGATCTGCTGCCGTTGCTGGGCTTGCAGCTGCTGGGGCGTCATGCCTCGTCTCTGGGCTTCGGCGGCGATTTGTTGCTGGATGGTTGCCAGTTGCTGAGGGGTGGGCTGCTGGCCCGGAGGTGGTGGGCCTGACATGTTGAATGGTGGTGCTGAGCGAATCTAGTCTCTGTAATTCTTTGTACAAAGGTTTTCGATTTTCTAAGATCTTACAACAGTCGTGGGCGCTCCTCGAAAGGACAGCGCAACCAGAATTTTGTTATTGCCGACCTTATCCCCGAGCGATATGAAAACCCTTTGTTCAAGCAGTTCACGTGCTTCATATACTTGACCGCGAATCAACGTATGATTGATTTGGATATTTCTACTTCCGCGTTGTCTCAATATTCTCCAACACCTTCCTTCGCTTGCTCAAACCACTCCCTCGTCTCTTTCGCCAATCTGCCGCCCGTATCTCCTACAATAGTCAATACAAGACTGTAATTGTTCCCTAAGAACCTTCCCCTTCTCCCCTGTACTAGTCCCTTCGAAGACTTCATCAAGAAAGCTTCAAATTCCCCGCGCAAGCGTTCCAAGCTGCGGCCCACAGGTTCGGCATCACTCGGTGCCGCCTCTCCTGTGACTGATGCTATATTCTCGTTGCTGCCGAGCGCCAAGATGCCTTGCAGAAATTGCCCAAAGCGCTGAGTCAGAACGTGGGGAGCTGTGGACCCCTTGCTATCTGCACTTGAGTTCATCAAGGACAATGTAGCGCGGGAGCCACCTGAGAGCGAAGCTGTAGAGCGCCGCACAGATTCAACATGCACATCCATAGCCAACTGAAACCTCGGCCAAAGAAGCATGTTCGTGCCATTAACATATCCATCCGCGACTGGGCATTTCCGCCGTTGCAGCTCGAAGGCTAAATGTTGATTCAGACGAACGCAAAGTAGTATTCCCAAGCAGTCGTAGGAAGTATCTATTAGATGTTTCGTAAAAGCATTTCCCAAAGCAAAAGTCGGGGCAAATATCGAATTGAAGTGCTGGGAGACGACATGAAATGATAAGTTAGTGAAAAAGCTTGTGAGGAAGGAGTATTCGAAGGAAGCATTGTCGATCAAGGCGGTATTGAAGGCGTAGAAAGGGGTTTCGAGATACGTGGGAGCTTTTGACTGCTCCGCTACATGGGAGGAAAGCGCAGAAGAAGAGGCGCGCTTCAGAATGTCGATACGTCGACCAAGTGAGAGAGCGTCGTGAGCGGGTTGGGCACTTTTGGAGGCGGCGCCTGGGATGACCAATTAGTGAGCAGGATATAGCATTCGTGGCCAAAAGACACACCTCGTTGGTTCATTTGATCTCCCAGAGCATCATGCTTGTCCACAGTGTACAGAGTGATCTTCTCAAGAGCCATTCTATAGCGTGTGAAGTGACTCAAGTAGTACCAACGCATAGTGTTAATGTATGCTTGAGCAATTTCATCGGCAAGCTGGGCATGATGTTTGGCCAGGAAAGCATAGAGGTCCTTGTAAGCAATGAATGCTCGCTCCTGAATAATTTGGGCATTGATGCTTGGTGAACGTAAAGCCTTGATCTGAGAGACCAGAAAGTCACGTATTCGCTCTATAGCCTGTGTGAAGATATCAGTCAGGTCTTGTTGAAAAGTCGCAAGTCTCACCAAGTTGGTAAGGTCCTCCAAAAGCGGCTTGACCTCTGACACTGCAAGGACCTTGTCAGGTCCTTTGAATTTGTGTTCGATTGTCTTGGATCGTTTGTCAAGTTCTTCAAGCGCCTTGATCCAAGCGTGGTCGATTGGACCTTCGGAGATCTGTTTGACTATTGTAGGAGAAACGCAAATCTCCTCGACGGCAGGACCCAGAAGCTTCTCAACCACTTTTCGGTTCTCTAGCTTGATGTTCATAGTAGTTGAGCGGGATTGAAGGGTCTCGATCTCGGCTGACACTGCACCCAGGTCTTTTTGAAAATTTGTCAGGGAAACTTCGACGGACTTGAGAACGTCGTCGCATGCCTAACGAAGCATCAGCATTACGCAGGCATTACCTTGACTAGGAGAAGATCTACGAGGATGGATCTATGCAAGTCCTCAAACTTGTCCTTGGCTCGTTCATCTGATGCCGACGTTCAGTATCAGAACAGTGGGATTTTGTAAGAGTATACATACTCACATTCCATGGCACTTTGTGCGGTATTGTCATAGGAGTCTAAATCTCCAATGTCGTGTCGTTCATCTTCGTCCTCCAAGAAATTATGTATGCTCCGCCCCCCAAAATGAACATCCTCGACCAGGTCAGCCGGCTTCTCCCATTGGCCTTGACCCTCTTCTCCATGCCCCTCATCCTCGTCAGCTACTGGGCGCCCAACTATCTCCTCTAGCAATTTCAGTGGGTTCGTGAGGTCTGCTGGCGGGGTGATCTGCTGCTTTAGACCCGAACCATTGGGCAGACGTGGAGAGTTCAATGACGTGGTGGAAGCGTTGTATTTGCCGGAGACGTTGAGAGATGAAGATCGAGGATTGTGTGGTGGTCTCGCCGCAAGTCCAGGCCCGAGGTGACTGGGACGTCGAGGCGCAGGTGAAAATGATCTCTTCTGTGGTGGAGGAGAGCCAGAAGGGGTGGAATGGCCTGAGAAGCGATCGAGCCCCCACATTTCGCTCGGACCTCCTGGTAATCAGGTTTCTGTATAAGATGAATGTATCACCAGCTTCAAGACGACATGTTCTCATGCGTCGCCAGCTGCCATTCTTTGAGTCATCAACGACATTAGAGAGCTTCAGATTTCGGGCTTAGGAGTAGTCACGGAACAGAAACCCTAAGGCTAAATATTTCAGTCTTGCTTGGCTCCTTTCCTTAGTTGGAGGGGATTATTGATTAATGTAGTTCCGGCCGTCTTGGCATCAAAACTGTAGTCAGGTCTAGACAAGAAATCGCGCCCGCAAATTAGGAGAGCAGCTATCTATGTCCATTTGAACCACTCTACATATAAAAATACACCAAACCCGGGTCGCCTGATCAGGCTATGTCGCTCAGATCTTCCACTCCACCAGAGCATCTCTCCCTGTACACTCACACCACACTGGACCTCACCACCCTCCTGGATTAGTCTCGCGCGCAAAGATTTGTCAGTAAGCCGGTCGATGACGTGTTTCTGGCACAGTTCAGTCGTCTAGATCGCTATGTGCAGGGAGTGCAGTCATAGAGCTCCATTTCATGGCTGCGTACCCAGATTTCTCATTTAGCGACCAGAATCGAAGTTCTGCCGGTTTTTTGTAAAGTGACAATTGTGTATAGCTTCGAAATATCTTCATTTGACAACTATGTGTTCAATCGTAGAGTGCTACAGTAATATCGCGCAAATCGCAACAACCTTTGATGTGAAATACACTACTCGGTGATGGAATCTAAGGCTGGCGTCTGAATCAGCCAATCAATAGCCCTGTCTAGCTCCCTCCACTAGCGTGGCCCTCCCGAGCACAAGGAAAGGGATATTAGCGGGATATCCAAGAAGAGATCCCTACAGCCTCAAGTAGAGTATTTTACCCTCTACATACCCTACCAAAATTATGTATCTTACGATACGATACCTTCTTACCCTACGGTGTTTTCATACCCTGCAATACTCTTCTACTCTGCGATATTTCTCTATCCTGCGATGCTTCTTTATCAACGCGACCAATTCAGCCTTCGAGAAAAGAAAGCGTGTATCTCGACACGTAGAGTGTAGCTGTTTCGTACTGCATTGTCATCAACGCTATTATTGACTGAATCATTTGTTGTTGATTCCGTTTCAGCGGCGAATGAAGACTGCAACAAGTACAAGCAAATACTTATAGAGGACTCAAGACTCTGTGAGAGAAGCCTTGCGAGCTCTGAGCTTTAGAGCTTGCAAGACTAACGCGACTCTCACCAGCGTTGTACAACTGTGAAATATCGCTAGACCTAAGCCTGATAAGGTGTGAGGTCAAGGAACATTTCTCTCGGGCCTGGTCATGACATGCTACGGTGTGCTTACTTTATACACTCGGATGAAAAGTCCGCAGCCCAAAGCTTCCCAGCTTCCATGCATGCCAGCTTTCTGTTTCCAATTCACACATGTTGACGGTGCTCCGCTCTTGAATATTGCGTGCGTGCTTAGAGGTACAATGTATTAGCTCCCGGCACATACCCATTGACAATTTTGAAGATGGTGAAGAAGACGAAAAATCGGGATGCCAAGGGGGAGATGATGATAATGATGGAAAGCTATGCGGCCAATGATGGTCTGAGAAGCCAGGAAAGCCAAATCTGGCAACAGGATTTGTTCCAGGGAGGGTCGACACCGGGAAGGCGCTGGGCATGACCGAACCCAAACCCGACACAGTCTTCGGCAAATTGCGACCCCAATTCATAAAGCCCGGAACGCGAGGACCCAGCGACATCAAAGCGATCAAGAGCCTAGGCTGCATCGTTGATTGGCCATTCTTCAACTTCGAAGCCAAACCCGCCCAAACCGCCATCCCCCATGCCCGTAACCAGGCTCAACGCGACTGCGGCGCTGTCCTAAAGTCACTCGTCAAACTGAAAGCATACGTCGAAGGGCGCGGCTACAAGAAGAAGATTGGTGCAGTCGAAGCCTTCTGGGTCTTACTCGCTTTGCTGGAACCCAGAGTATGCCAGATTACTGGTGCACTGGGTCGAGATCATGGATGATGAGACGGAGATCTTCCATGTGACAAAATTCCGTCAGAAGTTCATGGATGATGAGGAAGGGCGGGCTGCGCTGCGTGCTTACAGGCACAACGTCTTTGACCATGGCCTCTTCACCCATGTCTCCGCCATGGAGAAGATATGGGCAAAGGCCGTCATGGCGGGAAACCCTTCGATGAGGACTTTGATGTGTACGCCTGAATATCGGGATATGTACATTTGAGCTTTCCATTGCAGACTGTTTTGGGTGAGGTGGGGGGGCTCCGTTGCTGGATGCGCAGTCGGGACTGGCTGTCAAAACATCAGACCAAGATAGTCTCAGCTCTCACATGGATTCTGTCTATTCAAACACTTCTAATCCGGGATTCATAGTTCGAGACTTCCCGCAACCAAACGAATTGGCAACAGGCTGCGTTCAATCTGTACAGAGAAAACAAACCAACACTGCCTCCTTCCCCCTCCTCCCTCTTTCCCTCACGCCCCAACCCCAAATAACCACCATCCCACGACCGCTCCGCTCCACATCATGCCTCGCAAACCGAATCTCGCATCCCAACCACTGGCACCAGAAGTCGCAGTCCCTCTGGCTTTGCTTGTTGCAGTATCGCTCGCCTGACTCGTCGCCGTCGTAGCCGCTGCGAGCGCAGACCTTGATGGGGACGCATATTGCAATACTTGTGTGCTGGTGGTAGTCACAGGCGAGGGCATTGGCGTGGGCGTATGTGTGTTGGTGATCGGAGAGGGAGTACTACTCCCCTCTACACTGGCACTAACGCTGAGGCTCACGCCCACGCTACCGCAGATCTGTTGCGCGAAGGCTAGGACTTCTGGAGGAAACATTCCCGGTCAGTCAATCGTTACATCTGGAAGCTTTCGTACCGCCTTGCTTCTGTAGCGATCATCGCCCCTGTACGTTGTTTCTGAACCTCGGAGGTGGGGCTGGGGGAGAAAGGTTATGAGACGGGGGCAGTACACACTTTGCAAATCAGCTTGCGAGCACTGTTTCTCTGCTCCGGCGAGGGCTGCGTTGATGAAGGAGTTGTCTTTGCAGAGGCATGCGAAGTCGTTGGCTTGGCAGCCCGTCGAGCCGATAGCGGAGAGGGCGGGACTTTGCTGGGAAAGAGGGAAGTATGGTATTAGCTTAGTCTCCTTCTCGTAAGGATGGCTTGGGGAGAGTGGCGAGCCGAGTCGGTGGGGCTGTGGGGAGGGCAGAGGGGGGGAAGGAATGGTGAGTGAGTGCTGAGCGACGTACTGCGCAGGAGGGGAGATTGGATAGATTCTGGGCGTGTGACCTGGAGGAGAGAAGAAGGACGAGTGGCGCTAAGTATGGGAGTTTCGAGTGCATCGTGATCTCGAAGATGGATTGATTGTCGCGAAGGCTACGTTTACCACATCAATTTCTTCTGTAAGAGTGAGTACACTGCACGGATTTCCCCAGTTGAGCGTCCGGGGAGAAGAGCAGAGCACAGACTGATGCTATATTCTGTGAAAGACGAAGCGAACGATCCAGATAGGTGAGCCGGTAAATAAGGCAACCTCGACACCTGGGCGCGCCCACCATCGCCCAAAGTCGCGAACCCCCTGCATGCAGAGGGCTGAATAATATCTGATTGCGACACCGGTCGTCCCCGCCGATCGACGTCCTGCAGGGAGACGATCATCTGCAGTGTCTGTCAGCTGCTGCGGCGGATTGACACACCCGGCCAATGGGATCGTGGTGAGATGGTACATCAAGTTCTTGTATCTCTGGAACATGGATCTCAGTGGCTGTTAACGGTCTGTGGTCATCACTTCGTGGAACACGGGAAATTGGGATGCCATGCGGATGATGCCATTGTCGGTAGCCAATGTCCACCCTCCTACATATATGTGTAATGTGTCTGGCATGTATTCAGCTCGGCTGCGGGATTATGATTTTCACATGATTTGTTTAGTCGATGCTTTTCTTTGCAAGGCTGCCGTATCATCTTCCTCATTGGCAAAGGACGACGTGGAAGGTAAATCTCTCAGCCGGAACTCTTTCCAGCCAATACCCCTTCTTTCAAGGATTGCAGGCGCTATTCTTCACCGAATTCTCCTTGCCGGTTGATGAAACTCCGCATGCCAGTCATGGTGGCCCGCTCTTCGATCAATGGCAGTTCTATCCCTCGGTTACTGGAGTCTTCAGCAATTTGCAGTGCGCTGCTTTTCCCTTGCCATGACCACGGCCTCAGCACCAATTTGAAGAACCGCCAACTCCTACTAATCCAAGACTTGTTGGATCCCTGTCTCTGCGCTGGTCTGTCTTGATGTCTGGAGATGAAGAACGCTCGGAAGGCTGTAGCCGCTGTCATGGTCAGCGCGATGTTGGCAGTGACGTACTGCCAGTATGTCTGCCAGACGGTGTCTAAGGAGGAATCGCTGGAGCTCGTGCGAACACCGACGACACGGGTTATTGTGCACATGATGGTTAGGACGGTGAAACAGAGGGTTGACGCTAAGACGAGCTTTTGCGACAATCGGACTTTGATCCTCCAGATGAGGTGGAAGGGAATAACCAATACTGCAGGGAGAGATCAGTCATGAAACGGTCAAACCGTGTGAAACTGACTCAAGAGATCACCGAAGATGTCGAGAACCATCTGGCTGATTGCGAAAGCAAATGATTTGTCTAGACCGTTTCCCTGCAAACACTCCACTGAACCAAACCCATCAGTCATCGTTCCCAAATCATAGGGATGGGTCAAAGCAAGAATCCTAGAATACCTGAAATAGTGGTACAATACCAAGGGCGTATAACGGCATAGATGATAATTCCATAAATCGAGATCAACGCATTAAATATCACAGCAACCCACCAGTAAAGGACCATGGGACGAATTCGATCAATAAGCTTTCTGAATAAGAACAGATAGCTGAACTTCACGGAGATGATAGCACACCACGTCAGCACCAGAGCACCAACAACCAATTTTTCGAAATCGAAGACACGTTGAAGGAAGTCTACCGGCAAGTCGGCCGGGATCGTGCTTCCTTCCAGTGCCTCGACCAGGAACAAGTCGTCGACGAAGATGATCAGTAAGACCATGGCTGAGATCAAGCATAGAATCCCGAAGAGTAGAATGCCATCGTCTATCGACAACTGTTTCTGTATGAAGAAGCGGACGTAGTATCGAACGCTAACGCTTGCTAGACAGACGCCAAAGAGGACGGAGTTGGATATCTAGTCTCTTTCAGTCAAGCCACGCACAGAGTTTAGAGCCCCACAGACCAGCAAAGGCAACTTGTGTAACTTTTGCCCTCTTCTCAATCATATCCTCTGCGACGAACCCCGCCTTCTCGATACCATCGGAGCTTATTCGCTTTGGAACGCTAGAGAGCCTTCCATTAAGATCAAATCGAACAACTATAGCAGTTTTGCTGATCCGTGCTTATAGGAGGCTTATCTCAGCGCTGTTTACCCAGTGCAAAGGGACTGAAGACGTGCTAAATAGTTGCTATGTGCCCCCGTAGATAATTTCATTTCCCACAATTGGCATCGAGTAAGGTGGTGAATTTCATACAGCTGACGATTGATAAGGAGGTGCAGGTGGGTCTGGCCCTTGAGGATGTGGGTCTGGCCCTTGATAAGGAGGTGGGTCTGGCCCAGTTGGCGGCTTATGATATAGACCGTCGGGAGAGCCGAAGTCATTTCGCGAGTCAAAAGGGCGCAGGTTCGCATAATTTCCAGTGCGAAGATCAGTATTAAAACCGGTCTGATAGCCGAAGACGGCTAGATCGACGTAAAGAATTAACCTATTAGCGTGACTGGAATGCTACTATGCTGTTAAAATATAAATGTATACCTATAGCGATGAACGTATAGGGCACTAAGGGGTGTGACCGTCAGTAAGTGAGGTTGTAATGTAATATGCACACTTGATCTGGAGGCTTACAAGCTTGTATTGCCGCATCATTGGGATTTCGGATAGTAACAAAGTAGGGCCAATCTACAACGTGTCAGCGAGTCGAAGGAGCAGGGACATTTCGGGACTGACCACGGGCCAAGCTGGGATAAACGCTGCTTGCAACACTGTTTCTTCGCAGGCCGCCGTTCCGGGTGTGCATGAGCTGAGCAAGGCCTTTTTGTCAACAGATTGCTTTATAAAGCACGTGACTTTGTAAAGTCCGCATTTCGACCATTGACTTACCGCGTTTAAAAGCAGGATGTCCACCGCCTTCGCGGACAATAAGCTGTCGGATTGACCAGTATACGGGCTGTCCTGTGGTAGGAGTTGCTGATTCCGCCAGGATCGCCATTGACCGAGGTTCCAATCCTTAAGAATAATTTGTTTCCTCATGTTGTAGATTTCTGTTCTGGTATCCCACATCTGGGGAGCATTCGCCATCTTCTCCAGCCACCAAGGGCAGATAAACCAATAATTCACACCTTTTGTTCCATCGTATGTTTCATCGTAGTGGGATATTAACATTGCTGAATCGGTTGTGTAGGTATCGCCGCATGGTGGTTTTGGTCCCTGGAACGAGGTTTGTGATACTAAGCTGCGGTCAGTCTGCTTTTAGCGTATAACTGGCGGATATTACCTTGATTGAACATGATATTACCATTATTAAATCCGACGTTATTGGCGTTGCAATATATAGCCTTTAATATATATTAGTGAAAGTAGATGATGAGAGTAGTTATGCGAGCGATAATCGTGCTGCGATCTTTTCGCAAGTCCGACGGGAGTATTTACTAGGTTCTTCGATGGAGTATGGGAGGACCAGCCCCTAGGACTTGTCCACTGCATCCGCCCTGTAAAATCTGCGATCCCCAGAATATCTATTGATAGGCCGTGCCAGCCGATCTCTCCACCACCGAATACGGATCGGGCGTAATTGGAATTTGATCCGAGTAAAGCTTTAGCGAAGTTGGGCTTGCTGTTGAAACGGGGATTTGCTGGCAACCAGGTCGCTGTCTTCTTCGCTATTGTCGTTGCACGCTCAAGAGCAGGCTGGAGGACCGCAAGATGCCTTTGGTTACATGAGCCTGGGTCAAAAGCCCAACTACTTGCGCCAGCGACAGGGTCGCAGAGTGCAAGGCTTGCAATGCATGTCAAAAAGGAATGGAGCTTCATGCTGTGCACTGAGAAAAGGATGTCAGTAGTGAATCATCTATAAAGGAATATATGGGTGGAGATCTCATCTTATAGTAGAAATAATCTTCGAATTGTTTTCGCGACTGCGTCACGGCTAATTAGATAGGTTCCGCATTAGTCTCAGAAAGGCCCCACGCAGTGGGTCTGAGTAGGAAACCCTGCCAAGCCTCATTTTTTTGGTGGTTTGACTGATATGAGATATTCACCCCTGGGTATATATTAGCATTGGTAGGTTTCGGGGTAGCTTTGACCCGGAGCGAGCTACCCCGGAACTATTCTAAAGAAACTTAATAATCTATAACTTCGATATATTATTACTCGATAACCGAACCATCACTTTTTATAAAAATTTATAAATATATTCTTAATATATATAATAATAATATATCAAATTTTCTAAATTTAAAATTCGAAGTCTTTAAAGTTATTAAGCTTTTTACTTTTTTTTCTAAAAATCTTAAAATAATTAAATAATTAAATAAATTAAAAAATAATATTAATAAAACTTTATATATCTTTACTTATATCTATAAATTATAAAATATTAATTTAAAATTATAAATTAATTAATAAATTAACTAAGATAATAGCTTAAATAAATATATTTTAAATAAATATTTAATAAATATTAATGTATAAAATCTGGCCTAGAGAATTCTATAATAATATTCTTAAATAGACTTATAAATATAACGAGTATTTTGATATTATTTTTGGAATTTTGTCGGTGCACGTTAAAAAATAAGAGGGGGGTTAAATGTATAGTTTTTAAAACTCTAATTTAAATCTTTTGAAAATAATTAATTAAGCTATTTTATTAAAAATCGAAAAAAAAATCTAATTTTACGATATTTAAATAGTTATTTTATAAAAGAGTATTTTTTAATTAGAGTTCTTAGTAAAAAGTTATATATAAAAGAAACTGTTTATTTTCTATTTCGGTCAATTTTGGTGAGGATCCCATACAAAATAACGGTCAATGTAGAGAGGTCTGCACCGAAAGTCCTGCATATGCGCTAGTGCAGCCTAACCCACTTTCGGAAAGCGGCCCTATAGAGGGAAGCCTAGAAATATCTTCTCACAGCGCATGGATGGGACTTTAGGTACTTCTTTTGGCTTGATAGGGGCATTAAGCCCCGAAACCTGGCTAAGGCTAGGTACGATTCCGAAGAACTCCACACGCATTGTCCAGGTAACCCTTTAGGTGGGGCGTTATCCGAAGTCTGAGCGCAAGAGTCTTGGCGGGTGCAGGACTTTCGGTGCAGACCTCTGTACGGAGTAGCGATTCCGTGGTTTCCTACTCAGACTCTACAGGGGGGGTATGACGGAATCGGCTCGGCAATATAATGTTCCGGCCCCCCCCCCCAAAAATGTAGAGTCTGAGTACTGAGGCTAGTTCCGCAAAGATTTTGAAGACAAATTTGAATAATTATTAAAGATTATTAAGATTAAAGCTAGCCACTCTGGGGCAAGAAGAAGATTACATAGCTATATGTCTTTAAATAGTCTCGCCTCGAGGCTAGACTAGGCTAAGACGAGACTAATTAGTCTAGTCTTAGCCCGAGAACTCTAATTAACTAGCTCGCCTTAGCCTCGACTTATCGAGTCGACTAATTCTACTTAGCCTTCTTTATTTTAATAAACCTATATTTCTTTATAGAAATATAGAATTATAAATTTCCTTTATTCTCTTTATTCTCTAGATATATCTTATTAATAACGCTCTCTATGTAGTTACTATTATAAATCCTATAGACTATTATAATACTACGTTATATTCTATTAAAAGCGCGATTATTAATAAGAGCGATTATATTTATAAATAGTCTAAGAAATAGTTAACTATCGAAATAAATAATATCGCGCTAGAAAGTCGTTTAACGACTTATAATAAGAAGTACGTCTATACGAAGAACTTAATATACTTTTTAAAGATTATAAAGAGCTTAAAGATATAGAAATACGACTTAGAGATTATTGAGTTAAATATATTAAAGAAGTTCTAGCTTTATAAGTATTATAAGTTTATCGTATTTTAATTATATTAAGATCGTTTAACGCTTCTTTCTATAGGTTATAAATATTATAAAAAAGATAAATATCTCTATTTAAGCACTAGATTCCTTATAGAAAATAATCGACTACCTTTAAGAGTGCTCGCGTCTTGATATTATAAATAAGAAGACTTTAAATTCTATCGCTTCTACGATTACTCTAATAACTATAAAATATATCTTAATTTAAAAGTCTTATAGATCTAGATCTCGTAGAAAAGATGAAATACTTCTTTATTCGGTGGATTATTATTATATATATCGCGTTTTCTATATATAGCAATTAGTTCTTTAGAGACTTACTAAGACTATTTTCGAAGACACTTATAGAGTATCTATCGACTTCTAGCTTTAAAAATTATTCGCGATTAAATTATAACGATCTATCTAAAGTATTAAAAAGTTATTAAAGAGATACTCTATAAGAGTAGAAGTAATATATATCTTTTATTCGATTTATAGACCTCTAAGAATAATCTCGCTCTTATCGCTATTATAAGTTATTTCATCGATAATAATAATAATTCTTATATTATTCTTCTAGCAATTAGACGTATATAAGATATATATTTCGATAAAAATATAACTTAGTAAGTAATTACGATTATTTAGAATTATAATATAATTAGTTATCTCGAATACTTCGTTCTTAATAATATAGAGTTTAATAATATATGCGTTAATATTATTTTTAAGATATTACGCTCTAAATTTCGAAAATAAGATTATCGACTACGTTATCTTAATTATATTATTAATTTCGCTATCTAAATACTTCTCTTTAGCTATAATTCTAACGCCTTTATTATAGAGATTCTTATCGCTAAGAAATTAAAATACGAATAAAAGATTCTAGATCTATAGAGGAAATATAATTCTATTAAGAAACTCTATAATATCGTTAAATTTATTCGCCTTACTTCTTAAAGACGCGAAAAATTTAATGCGATTAAGTATACTACTTTCGAATTAATTCTCGAAACTATTAAAGATCTTATAATGAAATTAGATAACGCGACTCGATGAAATTTAGTCTATATTATAATCGAATAAGTAATTTAACTACGTTATAAGATTAATCGTTTCTACGCCGAGTATTAGAAGCTTATAAAGAAACCTTTAAATAATAGTAATAATGGCTCGATTAAGGATAATATACTTTTATATAACGATTAAGAAGTACTAATATAGATTCTAATATTTATTAAGTCTTTTAAAAAGGCTATCGCTTAACTCGAAGGTAATATAAAGATAGATACTTACGATAGATTATGAAAGTGAACTTATCTACTATAGAGTATCTAATTTAGCAATTAAAAGAGTATTAAAGAGATTACGATACTCTTATATAGTCGAAAATCTACGTTATTACTAAGTATAAGTATCTCTTTTATTATCTAAATAACTATATAGTAAAGCTTAAAAAGTATTAAGGCCTTATTAATAAGTTATCTACTTATATCGCTATAGTTATTATATATTCTATAAAGAGATAAAAATAAATTAAACTAAATACTTTTATATTATTAGACTCTATGATAATTATAGTATAAGTAATATAGAATACTTAGTATAAGAATAAAGATACTTCTCAAATAACGTCAAATCCTATAATTCTTATCTTCTTCTTCTTCTCCTCGCGCGATTATATAGCGTTTAATTAATTTCTTAATATATTAGACGAAGATATCGCCTTTAGTAAAGATAGCTATACGATTTATTATTAGCTCGATAATCGTATTAATAAGAAGAATTATCTAAACTCTAATATTATCGACTAGTAAAAGAAGTATAATTATAAGAATATAATAAGATTTAAATAGAATATACTTACTATATCGACTATATCTATAGAATATAAGCGAGTCTTTAATAGTATAGAACGTCTACTTACGCCTATTAGAAGCTCGCTAAAGAATAATATTATTAAGACCTTTAAGTATCTTAGAATATAGATCTTATAGAATATTAAGACGTTATAGATAGTCTCGATATTTAGTACTTTTAGTACTTAGTTAAATCTACTATTATAAAACTAGTATCTAATTCGATTAATTCTCGAATATAGCTAATTTAGATTTATTTTATATTTAGCTAATTTAACTTCTTTTATCGTTTAACTAACTACTCTCTATTAAGCTATCTTCTTACTAAAATACGTTTTTATCTCTTTATTATTCTAGCTAATTAGTTATAGATATCTTTCTTCTTATTCTTTCTCTTTCTTCTCTATATTATATCGAGTTATTATTAATAATATAAGCTAATAAGAGATATTTCTAAAGCTTTATTCTATAGACCCATTTACGACTATATCTCTCTCTTACTCGCGTATTAAAATCTATTAATAAGACGTTTAATAAGATATTTCTAATATAGTTTAATTCTTTATAAATGTAATATATAGGGAGTATAGTTATAGAGCCTCGTTGCTATTAAATTTTTACGAAGAAAGCTCGATAGAGAGATTCTATTGAAAATTCTATATTTATCTATATAGTTTGCTGCGACGCTAGGGGTCTAGCGCTGCTAAGCCTGATTTTTAGTGATTAGAAATTACTAGATCCGCCTAGGCTAGCTTAGCCCTAGCCAGATTACCCCGTAGCCCCACCCCGTTCTAGCCCTCTCTCTCCCAAGTTAGCCCTAGCCCTAGCCTGAGGCCTATGGCTGGGCGGGGCGGGGCTGATTAAAGCGCTGGCTACAACGTGGATCGCGACTACTTTGACTTCTCTGATTATTTTGACGTTTTTTAGTTAAGGCCTACCCCCAGCAATGCAACGACGCTAGTCTTTCTACAGGGGCTTCTATTGGTCAATTGGCTTCTTTGAAGTCTTCATGTGTGTTCTGAAGACTTCAGGACGTCCATGAAGCTGCAGCCAAGCAAATAGTATGAGGCCTAATAGTTACTTAATGGCGTTAGGGTGGACTCGAAATCTAGCCGCATGTAGGCAAAATGTGGTCTTCAAAATCTTTGCGAAACCTATCTATGGTAACAATACAGATAAGAGACCCTGATAGGTATAGAGTCAAGAGCAGATGGTTACTCACGGCATGATCCAGTGAATGCTGGACCTCGCACTCTATCCGTACCAGAATAATCCCACAGGCACCTGGAACGCCCCTATGATGAGAACAGGAAGACGAAACTCAGGATGACCCTGCCCGCCGTTTTCCTCACACAACTTCTTATAATACCTATCGGCAAGGCGTGTTCCAAGTTGTGAAGCTATACCCATTCCTACAAACAATGAGATGTAGTTGAGGAAGCCAATGGAAACGGTTTCCCCATAGGTAACCGTCCAGACATTCGGGAATGTTGCAATCAGGAGATAAAGGATACCGTAGAGGTATGCACAATACAGGCTCCAGACCTGCACAATGGGTTGGGTTCCAAGCAGCATATAGAGCGTGATGAGACTAGTGCGCAGTAGCTGTGAAAGAGACACCCTATCATTTTGGGTGTACAGATCCGGATTTTGGGTGCTTTTTCGTGACCGTTTGCATCTTCTTTGAAGAAGAACTGGGGCGTAAGTTTCGCGGAAAAAGGGGAAGCCGAAGACCTGGACCGCGCCGCCAGCAATTGAAACAACATAGAAGCACCATCGCCACGATGTGTATTGGACGAGGAAACCACCTGCAATGGGGCCTACAACAACTCCAACAAGAGGTGCAAGGGTATAGACCGCTCAGCCCCTTTCGCGAGATCGGAACAGATCGGCAGTGATGCCACTTCCAATCTGCAGCTCGAGTGTTAGCATTCAAAAATTTGCCAACCATGTTCATTACAGAGTAGTTAAATGAAGACTTACAGCAAAGGGACCGGCTCCACCCAAGCCGGCGAGGAAACGGAAGACAATTAGTTGATTCTGGGTTTTCGCAGCATCACACAGGGTATTGAAGATGATGTAGAAGACATTAGTTGACTGAAGGACTATCGATCTCCCAAAACCTTCGGAGAGGGGAGCCGTAAACAGAGGTGGCACCGCAGTGCCTAAAAGGAAGACTGACAGAGATAAGATGACAAGGAGGGTGGATTGGAAATGGAGATCTTGCTGAATAGTGTTCAATGCTGGGGCCATGGTGGCCGAACTCATTGAGGCTAGAAAATTGAACAATGACATTGGAAGGAGGGTCGTCCATTTTCGACTTGTTGGCCAATTCTTAGGATTCTCCGGATCTTCGGGACCAGCCCATGTTACCTGTCGTGTTTAAATCATCAACTGATTCAACAACTTGGGAAGAAAACAACGACCCTCGCCTGGCTTCAAAGATATAATGCTTACCAGGTTAGGATGTGATGGAGACGCGTCTGCAGCAGCGCTTGGGGCAGGCTGGGAAGGCTGAACAGGGTTCGAGTTGCCATTGGCAACTGGTTTCCTCTTTGTCGGCCATGGTAATTCAACAAATTAGATCGGCCGTGGTAACTCAACAAAATGGATGGACAATGATGGAATGGCCTGAGAAGCGATCGAGCCCCAACATTTCTCCCGGATCTCCCGCTGACCTAATTTCTGCACAAGACGTACATATGGTTAGTTTCGAGACAATAATTCTCATACCTACGTCAGCTGTCATATTCTGCGCTAGAAACGAAATGTAAGACCGCGAACACGCAGAGAGCTTCAGTCTCCCGTCATTGGATAGAAACCCTAAAGCTGACCATCTTGGTCCTCTTCGGAAAATTGGTAATCTCGGAGGCAATCCGTACCGAGTTGTCTGTTCTGCGAGCTCGTCACGTGTAGATAGAACACGTAGTGGTATATAGCCGGGCTGATGCCCATCAATCAACAGACAGTCTCGCGGGTGACAGATCGGCCTGAACACCTAAAATCTACAAATCGATCACGCTTTGCCAACGAAAGGTCCTGTCAAGAATACTTCGAATCGTGATATAGACGAAGAAGCAGAAGTAGTACATTCCACCGCGACCATGAGTTTGTGAGAGGGTATTAATAGAATCATTCCGAACATTAAACTGGGAGGATCGCTTGGTGGTGTGCAGGCATTTCTGTCACCCGCGAGACTGTCAATCCTGCTGGATTTATACTTTTGCGCTTGATTGGCATCTAAGGCCTCACATCGTGTACGGAGCGGAGATTACTTGTGGATCCTACCATCTTGTTCATCACTGCTGGTATTCGCAGGTTTCCGAACGTTGTGTGGAGGCAGAATACCATTACTCTTCTCGAATGCGCAGAGTCTCCCAAATGTACGGAGTTCCGAAGTATCAACGTGAGCATAGTCAATGTGTATAGCACGTGCTTCTTTAGGCAGAAATGAGACGTGGTGATTAAAAAGGGGTTTTCACACGCGTTTCTGCTGACCTTTCTCAAAGTGTCTCCTCAAAGTGTCTAATCCGGATAGATACGACGCCGGGAGACCCACAGTAAAGCCCGCGTTGCCGCGCCCGCAACTTCATCTATTGCTATCATCTGAACCCGAAAAGGCTCGTAGACCCGACATCAAAAGCCCCTCGAAGCTCCAGCTGCTGGAAATGAAGATCTCCCTGCGCCAGCGTGATCTTCGGCGGGCCCGCCAGCGTCGGGTTGAAACCCACGAGAAAGGCTACCTTCACTTTCGGCAATCTCATGGAGTTTCTCACTAGGCTGGTGACGGCATTGTCAATCGCTCCTTTGTTGGCTACATGGACGTTCGCACACAGGTTATTCATTGGGTTGCGAGGACACTTGGCACCGACAAAGCGGTCCGCCGACAATATGTGAATTCGTTGGCCAACTTCCATGAAGCATGAAATCCTTGCAGGCGCCACCAATATTCGTCATTTCGCAGGTGTGGTAGACGGTGCAGCTGCGAACTTTGGTGGCGAGTGTTGAGGTATGAGCTGTCTTGTCAGGATAATGCACATGGCTTGCATGCTCACTGCCGAAGGTTCGCGGTACTTGAAGGTTAACCTATAAGAGAATAGAGTCCTGGGGTGACGCCTTGTAAAAGCTACACCAAGCACGAGCAATGCACCGGAACCATGTGATGGCGCATGGGAGCGCTTTCTGATTTGCTGGGCCAAGCCTGGAAGCTGCCCAACTGGATATTCCTTTGACTGATTACTAGCAAGCATACAGAAAGCCCATTCGAAATGAACAATGTTGGATAAGTTGACCTTGAATACTCAGGGTAGAAGAATTTCGTGTTTTGAATGGAAGTTCGCCAAGATGGATGTGTCTTGTCTGTTGCCTGTAATTGTAGTTGTAAATATAATTGATTATAGGGAAGTAGGGCAAATTCGACTTCTCGACTTTTTTTAAACATTTTTAAGTTTGAAAAAGATGGGCATGACGGAAGCATGTCCTGTATGTTGATGCAAGACATCGAGATTGGATGCAGGTCAATGGATATATGGCCTGTGCTTAGGTCTGCGTCACCCCTAGTTCCGGCTCCGGAGATGGTCGGTGCGCTTAACTAGTTAAGATGACAGGGTTTGTTAGATGCGTTAGATGCTGCTGATTTCTCTAATTTCTAATTTCTCTACCATACTTACATGTACTGTACTTTAATAACTTCTCCGTAGAAATTGAATGGAAATACCAGCCAACTTCGAGTGCGCCAAACCATGGAAAATTGCAAAGGAGTGCTTTGAAAATCACCCCTTTGTCACAGGCTACATGCGGATCGTCGGCCAACTATTTAACGAGCATCAGTTGCTGTCTGCTGAGCCTGTCACTCAAAGCATGTAAGGCTAGACTAGCACCACACAAACAAAACAAATAAACCCCCAAAAAAATATAAAATAAAATAATTCGTAAGAAAAGAAACGGAAAATATATTAATATTGAATATAAATAGTATTAAATATTATTCAAAGGGCTATAAAAAAAGATATTAAAAAGTTACCAAGGCCCTTATCCTTGCGGGATGCTTGCAAAGGGTTGCAACGCAGCGCGTGTCGAAATCCAACTCTCCCGTCCAAGACTCCCAGACGTGTCTCCAACTCCCTCGTGTTCTCGCCCTATCACCTTCTCTACGAACACCCTCTTATACACACATACACTCTCTGTCTTTCTTTCTTTCCACGAGGTGATATCGCCTGCCTGCCATTCATCGGAGGCCTGGTCCATCACTACTCTATCCAACACGCTCCTTCTCCGCATTGTTTGTTTCAGCTTCTATGCCGCATCCTCCACTCATCATTCTCATCCATCCCACTACCATCCGACCGTCTAATCCGTGTCGTCAATTGAACATCCGATTTCCTCTTCCAAGATTAGATTCTGCCTCTCAATCATCGCATTCCACTCTTCCAGCAAAAAGATAATTGGCGAGGTATCCCAAGTCAGTCCGGGAGAGCGATCCACAGCTTTCTGACAGGTCATCTCACGCGAAAGCTGGTCTCATGCAATGCAGTCGGAGGTCATGCGCGAACTGTATCTCCGTTGACCTCGACCAAGTCAACCAATTCTCATTCCGACTTCAGGCCCTGGTGGCCCGCACCAAACCCTTCGCATGCTCTCCTTTCCTCACAAACATCAAATATGACGTCTTCCAAAGAAACCCCTCAAGAGCCTCCGCGCAATGGCTTGCGGCCACCACCTCCCGCGACTCCTTTCAATAACGAGCCCTCTCCCTCTCATCAGTCTCACCACACAGTCCTCACGGACCCCGTCTTCAACCCAAAGCGAAGCAGTCAGCGCAACAAACATAGTTCAATAGTCCCGGACTCAATGTCACCCAATTTGAAGCGGCGAACTTCTAGGTTCGGGCTATCCAGTCTTTTCAGCAGATCAAAGCCATTGGCGACTGAAGGAGTGCAAGAGAAATTGGGTGTACAATGGGAATGTGACGAGCCTGCGGGGACATCAAAGAGTGCTGAAACGACAGCATTACAAAAAAAAGATTTCGAGCCTCGCTCTCCAGAAATTCAAGCCCGGCCAGACATTGACCCCCCTGCTGCTCCACTGCGGAGCCGAACCTCGAAATCAGCGCTCAGATCATCCTTCAGAAGGGATATTACCAGCAGGAGCTCAGCCGCTTGGGATCCACCTCCACTATTCCAAGCATATCCCCAGGCAGTTAGGCACGCGACGTTACGAGCGCCCGCACTTTCCGCAGACACAATCTTACGTCTCAATGCTGAAAGGAATGGCAGCTCGAACCAAAGAGTGGAGTCGTACACTCCAGAGGTCAATGGAATGAAATGCTCAAAAGAAAAAAAGCTGAAAAGACCTACCGCATTAGATGTGCTATCGAAGGGAGATTGGACGAGGAAAACCTTCGTCTTAATTACTTCCGGCTATTTCCTGCAGTATGCTGGCCAAGGGCCATTTGACAGACTGCCTGAGAAGATTATGTCGTTGACCAAGGAGTCAGCCGCCTTTGCAAGCGATGCCATTCCTGGCAAGCCTTATGTCCTGCAAATATCTCAAGTCGCCCACGACGATGGGTCATTGGACACGGAAGCTTCGAGGTCAATGTTCAAAAATCTAGGTTTACGAAGCCAGATGAAGCGGTCTACTTCTAGCTTCCTACTTGTATTTGAAAGCCCGGAAGAATTGAGCGCTTGGATGGCAACTGTAAGGAAAGAAATTCAAGCTATGGGTGGTAAAGAATATCGACCAGACGAGTTTCGGAAACCAGCTGAAGTTGAATCAATTCAACAGCTGCATCAGAGACCAAGCCAGCGATATCTGGTCAAAAGGGATCCCAATCGATTTTCTCAGATCACGGACCTAGTGCCGAATGTTACGTTCGGCAACAATACTCTCTCACCGGAGCCCTCAAAGCAAGCCGTTGTTGACCCAACAGATCCTTCTTTTGTCAGAAGGCAATCCATGGCTACCCAGCAGTCCATTGAATCGCGTGCCACATCGAATACAGCCGAGTCTATAAATCAAATCCACCTCGATCATTTGAGAGAAAGCCCACGACAGTCGTATGCGTCAGTGGGAAAGACAACGTCGTCATCAAGAGATTCATCGCCTGGACCTTCGCCAGTGAATCTCCAGGCCGACATACCACAGTGGCCACAGAACTTCAACGAAAGGCGACAAACAACATCTATGTATCATGGACTGGTCAAAAGCTCGGCGCAACAGCTGACGTCTCCAAATAAAATACGTCGAGAGTCCACAACATCCCCTCCAGCGCCTCCATCATCGCATCGAATCTCGAAATACGCACCACAGCAGCAACGGACTCCATCCCCTGCAGCACCCAACTTCAGTGTTCCAACTTTCAGCAAACGTTACTCGTCCTCAAGCAACTCTCCTGCGTTATCTTGCACTACTTCAAAGCCGCAAACTCCACCGGCAGCCCTTATCCATGCGTCTCCTTCTCCAGCTGTCATCATTAGCGAGGAAGGGGCAGGTAATGGAAGGCGTACTTCTATCATAGGAGAACTCCAACATCTCCAGAAACCAAGCCCAAGGGCCTTGAATGGTCTTTTCCCATCAACGAGCACTCCGCCTCGTTCGGCAGGCTCTTGTGGTCCTCCATCTTCGTCAGAGGGAAATCCTCCATTCTCTCGTCGATTCTCCTCGTTGGAATACTCTCGAGGTGTATCTCCGCTTCAGCTGGCGAGTCACTCACCATCGCCGCACCCACCCCCAACTACGGCTCTGCCAGCAATTCCTGGAGCTGACCTCTCCTCACGATCTTCCTTTATCAACCCACCATTGTCCCCCTTGCCCCCGTTGCCAGGTGCCGAAGAGTCAAGAGCCAGCTCCACAACTCCGACCCCACCAACGGCTTTGCTCGCGTCTCCTTCAGCGACACCATCGCCGCACACTTTCGTTACTCCATCACCATCACCACCATCGCCACCACCAACAGCTTTGCCAGAGATGGAACCTCCACGAGGAGGCTTTTCTTACCCGCCACCAACAAAGGCTCTGCCAGCTGTGCCTGATGTGAGCCCCTCATCACGCGCTTCTATTCTTCCATCCCCTCCCAGGACTCCGTCCCATGAATCAACAGCTCGTGAGCCGCCACATGATTCTGTAATGCCTCAAGCGAATTTGTCGGTCCCTATTGTACCTCAGACTGAAGCGCCGCACCAATCCTCTTTTATCCAAATTCCCACCACACAAGAATCGACGAGGATCGATCAAACCCGAGCTCAAGATCTACGTCGTCCAGTGAGCATGCAAGTGCGCAGCCAATCTCCTGCTAGCTATGCCACTCCGCCTCAAACCGCCTTTAAGACGACCTTCGACTTCGAAAACATTACACCGCCACCAACAGAGTCTTTGCCATCGCCCCTACGGCCTACCCGCGACCCTCCGCCGCCGCCTTCTGAGCAGCGACCACAGCTTGGCTTTCGCAAGAGCTCGCCACGAACCGGTCGAGAGCCGCCGCCAGTGTCTGCCGTTCCGAGCCCTAGGAGCAGGATCTCGGTGATTTCTCCGGCAACCCACTACTTCGATGAAGCTGCCCCACATCCTTTTATTCCTCCTATCAAGGTTTCGGATCGGAAATCTCGTGGATCGCTTGACGGTCCATGGAACCCTGCGTACGGGGCGCCCCAGCGAACTTTTCTCGATCTGGGTGCTGTTTGATTTCACGCAACCGTATATTCACCCATGTCACTTCGCCACCCATGCTGTGCTGGTCTCAGACTCATGTTAAAAGACTTCGTGCATTATGTTCCAATACTTCGGTTTTTAGCGGGGGCTATTGGGGATTTTTTTCACAAAAGGATGGGACTACAAAAGGATTACCAAACGAGGGGGTTATAGGCTAGCAGGAACATGATACCCATGGATTAGATTCACACAATGAGATTTATCAAAGATCAATCCATGCACAGAAACTCTTTTGAGGATGCAAGCAACTTTCGAGAGATCTGTAAAGGTGATTATGCAACGGCGAGAGCCCTAAAAGTTTGAACCAGCCGGGACAACTTCGGGCCACATTATTTAGTGCCGAGCTGTCAATAGGAACTTCTGTAAACCTCACCTTGTTCCTCTCAGTCACACCTCTGCACCATGACCCAGGGTCTCATTGTATGAAAAAGTAGGTCCGTCGTTGGAGCACCCAGCTTGTATTAGGTCCACTACTCCTCACGATGCCTGACATCGATTCAATAACCCAATCCTTTTCACCCTCACGCGCTTACAGCAATGGCACTCACTCACCTTCACGCCACTCGCCTTCCCGCCATGCCTCAAGCTCCTCTCTTGCCGCTGCAGCTACTATCAACGCAGGCTTTCAAAATGAAGAATCCCGCCGCTCATCCATTAGCTCGAACCGTGGGCGCGCATCACCGCAAGTCAGCCGTAGTGAGCGTGAGAGGAGACGCTCGAATGCTTTTCTAGGCTCGTACGACCCCACAGTACCTGGACCTGGAGAGTTGCAGGTTGGAGATTTGAGGGGTCAGTCATATCAGGGTATGAACCTTCCGTTTCGTTCAGCCAGTCCGCAAGCGATGGGAAGTCCAATCATGGGGGTTCAGCGGGATAGGGCACCGAGCTTGGGCGAGCTGCATCAAGAATTGGAGGCGGAACAGGAGGCTCAAGTGGTAAGCAGTCTTCTCGGTCTATCATTTTCTGCACCTATATTCTTGCTTTACTGACATGTCTGCGCGCGTCAGAACCGTCTGCTGGAAATGATCCGCCAACAGCAAGCGCAATTACAAGCAATCCAGCAACAAGCATCATACACACCTCTCAGTAGCTCCACAGCACTCGATGACACCACTCCTCCCTCTGAGCGTTCAGCAAATCATCCCTACCACTACTCCATTCCACCAAACCTGCCGTCGGCCTCCGTGTCCATCTTCAACAATCCCCGTCCGAGCTCACCTTTCCGTAGCTCTATGGATCTTTCTCGGCAGTCTTCCCGCCGCTCTAGAACACCCAGCCGCACTGCGTCGCCTTCTCTGCGCCCTGTCTCCGCTGGTATGCAGGGACCGGGTGAGGACTGGGGCTTTGCAGGCAGGAGCCAGTCGAGCTTCGACGACGGTGCTTTCTACCAGGCGGAGACGCAAATGCTCACGAGGGAGAACCAGATGTTGAAGCAGAGGATTAGGGAGTTAGGTACGTCAAGTAAGAGGTCAATCTTGTCTACCATGGTACTGACGACGCGTAGAACGCCAACTCAGTGAAAGCACCTCAGCTGTTGCCAATAGCCCGGCCACCCCCTCGAATTTGACAGCTCCTCCTCTTGAGGCGGACAACACTGAGGCTATTGTGGGAAGCCATGCCAACACGACTGAGGACAAGGAGGATTGAGAAACCACATGAGAGCAGCATGACTGGAACGCATCTAGGAAAAGTGAATCCTCATTGTCACAAGCTACGAAAAGGAGATATGGCAATTGATATCCCTGTGGCATCCGTGAGCCTTTCACCCTCAACTGACCTGATATACCTGGAATTCACGTTCACACATAACATCCATGGCAGTCGAGAATTGTTCTACGGTTCGAATAAGCATAATCTTTCATCAGCGGGCGTTGGGAGACGAAGGAGCGGTTAAGCATAGCATTTTATACCCCCAAGCAAGTCTCCAGATCAGGCTTCGCAGCGCGCATCTTGCAACACTAACACTCAGATAGTCAGATAGAAGAGCGTGATCAATTGTTTTATTTAACCAGTTTGACCAATCTCCACAATGAATGTATTGGAAATGATGTATGTAGATCGTCGGGATATGTGGGGTTCTCGGATTGAAGATCTAGTGGTGGGAGAACGCGAGAGCACGCGCCAGAGAAAGCGAGTGGAGCGGCGCCAACTAAAAAGAACTGACCGTGTCAGAGACCTTCTCTTCTTCCAACCTCTTACCACTGTACATCTTCAACATTTTCTGCCAATCAAAGCCTTTTTACTCATAATACACCATCTCGCTTTCTCAATTGATCATGTACAAAGTCCTCTGACCCAGTGCACTCATACTACATCCAGTATAAAAAGTGCCGTCTCCCTCGCGTTCATGCATGAGCCCGCATACTCAGAACAGAAATGCCTCTCTCTCCGCAGCATGTCCCTCTCCCCGTCTCTCCAGTCGCTGGTGTCAAGCGTCCAGCTCCTTCTCTACTGCCAGCATTTGAGCCTCTCTCCTCTTCGCCAGCACTACCTCGACCAATGAAGCGCCTGGCTCACGCGTCTCCGGCAAAGTTGGGAAATAGAGAGCGCCAATATCCCACACCTATTCCATCTTCTACCACTATGATCCCTTCTTCTTCTCCGCCTCAACCACTACGTACGCGTCGCCCAGGCTTGATTCGGACTTATTCCGCAGTCTCTGAGCGGGCCCCTCTAGCTACCGTACCATCCATAGAGCTTTCTGAGCATGGAGAGCCAACACTGATGGGCAGATCGAGCAACTCCTCCCACTACCAGCTCTCCACCAACAAGCTCATCTCCCGCGTCCACGTCAGCGCAGTCTACATAGCCTCTAACCCTCCTGCTCCTAAAAGAGTGCAAGTTGAATGCAGGGGCTGGAATGGCGTAAAAGTGCACTGCCAAGGAAAGGCATGGGAGCTCATGAAAGGGGATACTTTTACCTCTGAGACTGAAGATGCGGATATCATGGTGGATGTACAGGATGCCCGTGTGTTGTTGACTTGGCCGAAGCATGAGAATAAGATTTCGACCCCTACAGACTCGGACTCGACGTGGGATTCCGAAACCTCTCCGCAGCGCAACGCCACGGCCGCCCCACGTAATAGGCCTCTAGATACAAGTCCGCTTCGCCAGCAACATAGGTTGCAGTCGCCTGTGTCTCCTTCGCCTGCTGTGCAAGCTGTTCATGCTCAGCCATCTGGACATTTTGCTTCCGATCCTCCTATACCTGTACCTGTGCAGGTATATGAAGACGAACCATCGGACGAAGACAAGGACAAACCACCAGCGGGTAACACGCAAGCTACACAGTCTACACAAGTGGCGTCACAACCTTTTGCTCTCCTGGAAGAAACCCCCAACCCCAACGACTTCTCCGACGACAATGACGAAGAGAACGACCCTATCATATCGTCCTTCGGTCCCTATGGCGCCAACCTGGGAGCTCGCATGGAATCATTCACCACTAATGCCTCGCCTAATCGTCATCCCCTGAATCCTCTCAAAGAAGCGAGCATATCACCCCAACGCTCGAGCGGAGCTGGCATTTCTCCTAAACGCCGTCGCCACAACGCCCACCGCGACGTCTCTGACTCTCTGCATCGAGAAGATGAAGCAGGTGACGCCATTACGCACCATGTGATCAATCAACTAGCCTATTCGCGCGTTCAATCCACACCACTTTCAACTCTCATGCAAACCCTGCCTGCTGCCCTGAAAGACGCTTCACTTACAGAAGATGTATTGAAGGCAACGCTGGACCGTACGCGCTGCATTGGAACTGTGGAGCGTGAAGGCAAGGACGCGGCCGGCAAGCGTCTCGAGAGCGAGTACTACTACATCCCAGAGGCCGATGTTGATGGGAGCCGACGGGAAGTAGTGGAAGGAATGGGAGGGAGAGGGTTGAGAAATTGTAGGAAGAGTCACAAGGTAGGCAACTGCAAATCCAGCCATGGCTGAAATGTCTGATTGGACATGTGCTAACGAACATAGCAATACTACTGGCGGAAACCCAAGTAGCCTCAGCAAGGCTCAATTGTCGATACAACACTATTCCAGACCAAAAGTATCGAGGTGTCTAACTCCTTGTGCGGTGTGCATATCAGATGCAGCATTTTAGCGATCCCTTTCGTTTCTTCCATCACGTCCAAAGTCTTACGACTGCGAGATACCACTTGTTCGGTTTGCTTTTACTAAATCAGGATATCCGAGTACGGCCGGCCTTGTTACTTCCACCTGCCTGCCCTGGATAGGGGGTATGATGTCTGCATAGCGAGGTGCGCTGGCTTTCGAGAATCGGCAGTCGATTCGTCTTTTTGTACATGCTTGCGTGGTGGGGGACGCTGTTGACTTGAAGGGGGCCGGAAATTGGAGAGCAAGGGCCTGGGTGGGATGGGGTCAGGGTAGATAGATAGAAATTGAGAAATAGCCTTCAAGATACGTCCACCTTCACCAGGCAACGAGGTAGGTAGTTCAGCTCGATCTCTACCTGCTCATTTCCCACGCCAATGTTACACGGAACGGAAGTATTCGAAACAGATGCATGACGGAACGGAACGAGATGCGCTGTGTGAGTCGTTTCCGTCCTTCCTTCCTTCCTTCCTTCCAACGCGCAACGTCCATCACCCCGGAAGCTCTTCCGTTGGCGTCGGCGTCACAGCTTCACGTAATAGCACTCTTCCATACACACCCTTTCTCTCTCTCTCTCTCTCTCTCTCTCTCTCTCTCTCTCTCTCTCTCTCTCTCTCCACCGTCATCACGGACCCCCTCGACGACATCATCCCCTGTTCGTTCCCGTTTCATCGCTCAAGCCGCACCCGCAGAACTTCACCCTCTGTTTTTTTTTTTTTTCTTCTTTTTCTTCTTTTCTTCTTCTTCTTCTTCTTCGTCGTCTTCTTCTTCTTCGTCTTCTTCTTCGTCTTCTTCTTCTTCTTCTTCTTCTTCTTCTTCTTCGTCGTCTTCTTCGTCGTCTTCTTCTTCTTCTTCTTCTTCTTCTTCTTCTTCTTCGTCTTCTTCTTCTTCTTCTTCTTCTTCTTCTTCTTCTTCTTCTTCTTCTTCTTCTTCTTCTTCTTCTTCTTCTTCTTCTTCTTCTTCTTCTTCTTCTTCTTCTTCTACGTCTCAAAACTGCACGTCGCCGGGATATCCCCCGCCCACCTGCACCGCCGCCGTCTGCGTCCGCGCCTGTTGTTTTGAAAACTTAGACCAAAGAAAGAAAGAAAGAAAGAAAGAAAGAAAAGAAAGAAAGAAAGGGAAAATGATAGAATTTTTGAACATCCCTGCCGGGATAAAACAGATGGAATAGAATATGTATAGTCCGTCCAAACAACGTCAAACCCGAGTGATCGTAATCTTTCGTCCACGAAGACGTACCGCTGCCCATCTTGCGGCTCAGAAGTATATATGTATATGGAAAACGGTACGCACACAGGGCAAACCAAAAAAAGAAAAGGCTCTGTGGACGCGAGAGAGAGAGAGAGACAGCATGCATGGTGTGTACGCATGCAACGTACCGGTAGAAGGTCGCGCCGCCGTTCGCCTTGTCGGCCTCGGAGCCCGCGTCGGTGCGGACGGGGCATCCGCCCGTGTGAGGTTTCGGTTGGTAGGTGTGGTGAAAGGGATGGATTTGGGGCAAGGCATGTGGTGGCCGAAGATGTGATGTTGGGGGGGGGGAAGGTGAAAGCAGGGTTGGGGTGGGGGAAACGGACAGTGGTTCGGGGCGCCGGGGCAGTTGTAGGGATCGGGTCCGCCGCGGTGAGGGGAAGAAGGAATGCGGGGCGGAGGGGATCCATGCTTGGGGTTTGGATGGCGGGTCGGGGGCAAGAGAGAGAGAGAGAGGGGAGTGCCAGCCGGGGAAGGACGACTGACAAGACTGCGGGAAAGTGGGCGCTGGTCCGGGGGGAGGAGTCGGTAGGGTATACACCCTCTTTCGAGCGCCCTTCGATGCATGTTCCGTAGCAGCAGCGTCCAGTCGGAAAGGGCTCGCATCGCTTCAGCCGTGAAACATCTCCTGTCGGCCTCGCCCGCTTCCACTTCGGGGGGGGGGGGATTCACAAGACCGATGCAAGGGCCGGAAGCGGGTGGGAAACGAGACTTTGGGAGGGTCGGTCGATCGATCGGCTGGTACATGTTAATTACATGTAGGCGGTTTTGGCAAAGGGAGGGGGAAGAAGATGCGTGGTTCTAGAAGTGTGTAGTCGGCTGGTTACGGCTGCTAGGAGGAGGGGAAGTGAGAGTCGTAGAGCCGGGATGTCTCTTGAGGCCTTTGATGTGAGGGAGGCATCTGGGTCGGTAGTGACGGGGAAGATGTAGATGTAGATGTAGATGTAGATGTAGATGTAGATGCAAGCCGTCCAGATACGAGGAACGAATGAACCGACCCACCGTCTCAAGGCTTGTTCTGTACATCCTTTCTTTCAAAGGAGCGAGGCCCCGACGCAACTTCCTCTTGTCGTGCATGAGGTTGACGGTTCTTTGTCTGTTTTGGCTTGGAGGGGGGCAAGCTCGAGGATGGCGGGAGCCGGAGGGTTTTGTACTTGCATGAGAGGGGTGAAACTCTGTATGGACGACCAGTAGGCGTAGGGAAGCGTACCTTGCACCCATCGTATAGGCATTCTAGGAAACCGTTTTGTACAAGGATCGTGGACTCCAACGCACTATGCTTGTCCACGCAATGCACGTCGTCATATACTCTTACCAATCAATTCCCCCATTTCCTCCAGCCGTAATCTCCCTCGCAGCCTTCACCTCGCCCGCTCCATCCTTAAAATGACTATCCTGCAATGGCTTCCGTCCCTTCATGCCCTTCAGCTTCTCATCCAGCTTCCCAAACGGTTCACTCCCTTCGCCCTTCCTGACCTTCCATTTGCTGGTCCCCAGTCTCGCGTCCAACTCGTCAACGGGAGGTAATTTGATATAGACCCAGCCATCGTCTCTTTCTTCAACAGGGAAAGTAGCGATATTGACTTCGGCGTCATTGGAGCACTTACCCGCATCGGAACCGTTGAGGGTGAAGTTCCTCTTGTGGAAAGGGCAGGACACCCAGAGCTTATCCGCTTTCGTGTCGTCGCCTATCAAACCTTCGCTGAGAGCAAAAGTGCGTTTGTGCGGGCACATCTGCTGCGTGGCGTACCACTTTCCTTTGATCTTGAAGACGGCGAGTTGCGTGTCTCCACGCTTGACGTTCTTGCTGCTGCCGGTCGGAGTATCGACGAAGTGTTTGCTTTCCACTATAGGCTGCCACGCGAGGTCACTCCATTGCGTGCCACGGAAATCCTCAGTTGTGCTCTCTTTGGGCCAGTAAGCCGGGCGTTGTTGGCCACGCTCGTCGACTTTGTCAACAACGGAAAGGGTATCGTCTGTGTTGGCGAATTGTTGGAAGTTTGATCGGCGAGCGGGATCTTTAATGGCAGCGGCCCATTCGTCGAAGAAGGTGCCCACGAGCTGATTCATTTGCATTTCGAGCTCGGCTGCTATGCCGAGTTTGTCTTGGAGAATGACTTCACGGAGGTACTTGATGCCACCTGGTAGTTGCTCAATCCAGCGGGCTGTACGTTGGAGCTTGTCTGCTGTGCGCATGTAGAACATCAGGTAACGATCGAGTATGGGGACGACATCATCTGGTGGTACGTCTTTGGCGAGGAGCTCGCTGTGGCGTGGCTTTGCTCCACCGTTACCGCCGACGAAGACATTGAAGCCTTTTTCCGTGGCGATGAGCCCAAAGTCTTTGTTTTGGGCTTCAGCGCACTCACGTACACAACCAGAGACGCCGCCTTTCATTTTGTGGGGCGAGCGTATGGACTTGTAGCGTTCTTCAAGGCGGACGGCCATGCCTACACTGTCGCCAATGCCAAAGCGGCACCACGTAGTTCCAACACACGACTTGACAGTTCGTAGGGACTTGGCGTAAGCGTGACCGGATTCCATGCCGCCGTTGACGAGTTCGGTCCAGATATCGATCAAGTCTTCTTTCTTAGCACCGAACATATCGATGCGTTGGCCGCCAGTGATTTTGCAGTAGAGTCCGTACTTCTTGGCAACGGTGCCGATGATGATGAGCTTCTCCGGGGTGATCTCTCCGGCTGATACTCGAGGAATCACGGAATAGGTACCATTTCGCTGAATATTGCCGAGGTATCGGTCGTTGGTGTCCTGGAGACCATGCAGCGGTTTGTCCATAACGTGCTGATTGTAGAGTGAGGCGAGGATGGAGCCGATAGTTGGTTTGCATGCTTCGCATCCCAGAGAATCTGGATCTGTACCACACTCCTTCATGACCTCCGGAAATTGTTTCAGCTTTTTGACGGTAATGATATGGAAAAGATCGGCTCGTGAGTGTTTGAAATGAGGGCAGAGATGGTTCAAGACCTCCGATCCTAGAGCCTTCATTTCCGTATTAAAGATCGTCTGCACAAGAGGCATGCAGCCACCACAGCCTGTGCCAGCCTTTGTACACGACTTTACATCTCCAATACTTTTGCATGTTCCGTCCTTGACGACCTTTGTTACATCTGCTTTCGTGACATTATGGCATGAACAGATCTGTGTGTCGTCAGTCAAATCGTTTGCATCGTCCTCTCCTTCCTTGGCGGCTCCTAAGATGAATTGGCTGGGGGGAACGTCCAACATCGTTTGGTTCTTCACCATCGGTACCAATTTGACATAATCTTTGGTGTCTCCAATCATCATGCCTCCCAAGAGATGTTTGCCGTCCAATGTAAAAAGGAATTTCTTGTAGACCGCTTGAAAGGGGTCCATATAAGTCAAAGCTTTCACTGGTGGCGGGGGTGGCCCATCAGTAAGGTTCTTTACTTGCTCTTCCTGTTCTTGGACCCCGGTTTTATCCTGGCTTTTCGCTCCATGTCTCCTAATTGGTAGGTCTTTAGGTCCGTCTCTGTCGGCAAAGAAATCTCCGAAGCTGGCCACCTCCACACCTAGCAACTTGAGCTTCGTGCTCAGGTCCGGTCTCTTAAACTTCCTTGTAGCATGAACCTTTGCCTGAGTCATGTTGAAAGCAAGAACCTCAGCCATCTCGATGCCGGGAGCGATCAAGCCGAAAGTCTGACTTTCCCAGCTGGCGCACTCTCCAATAGCATAGACGCCGTCCTGGCTCGTCATGAGACTTGGATCAATGACTATACCTCCACCTCTGTCGGCACATTTGATTCCTGCACTTCTCGCAAGTTCGTCTCGAGCCTTGATACCGATACCGAACATGAGACACTTGCACTCCATGTGTTCCCCGTCTTCAAATAGCACCCCTTTGACGGCGTTGTCCTCATCCACTTCAATCCTGCCGACTCGCTTACTAAGAAGCACGTCTAAGCCTAGCTTTCGCACAAGGTCTACGACCATGCTGCCGGCATCGTTGTCCAATTGCCGACTAAGAACCCATCGGTTGCGCTCGATGAGCTTGACTTTGCCAAAGCTTTCGAGATCCATCATGGCCTTTGCAGCTTCCAATCCGAGCAGACCACCACCTACGACTGCACCCGTAGCGCCCTTGCACGTTTCTGAATAGCTGATGAGCTTTTCTAGGTCATCAATTGTGCGATAGACGAAGACTCCCTTTGCATCATGACCAGGCGTGTGTCGCGGCAGAAGAGCGTCGGAGCCGGTAGCGAGGACGAGCATATCATATGGGACGGTTTCGCCGGTGGATGTTGAGACGACCTTGTCTGAGGAGTGTATTTCGGTTACCTGGGTATTGAGGTGGTAATTGAGGGAGCCTTCTGGCAAACCAGAATACTGGACGGAAGCAAGCATTAGCCCCGTCATGATAGCTCGAGCTTGAGCTTACGACATACCCATTCTCGAGGGTTCAGATATAGGTTCTCCGCCTTCCTGTGCTGGAAGAAGCTAGTCAAGCCAACACGGTTGTACGCCAAATGTGGTTCCTCTCCAATAACCACGACGTCGTATTCCCTCCTTTTTGCATCCATCTTCAGTAGCTTCTCACTGTCGACAACATTCGTGAGCTCGTGTTTCCAGCATTAGCAGCGCTGTAGTCTGCAAAGTTTGTAGACTCACATGAATGCAATGCCCACCATTCCCAACCCCACAACAACAACCTTCTTCCTCTTGTCGGGGGGCCTCGGATATTGGGCACTTTCTTCTTCTGGGTCATGGCCATTGACAGGCACTCTTCCGGCCTGCATGCCGGGGGAGGAGTCTGCCCAAGACATGCTGAATATTTGTGATACAGCTGGGATAGTGAAAGAGTTTTCTGTTAGCAGTCAAGAGGGTTGCATGAAGCAGTCAAGCTCACGCCGTAATGAGACTTGGAAGGTAGGCAGAGAATAGTGCAGAGAAAGAGAGCTAGAATGAGATTTCATTCAGTAGCAGATGAGGCGAAAGGAAGCACAGAGAAAGAGGCATTGTTATTGGCAGGTTTCCGACGCATGCCATGCCTCATGCTCTAGGAGTATCTTGGCCTCTTGCCGCGGGGAAAGGCAGAGGAAGGTGGGTAGCTTATCGGTTTATCGTTTTATTTGGTGATCCTCTTGTTCGAAAAGATGGGAAAAGGGAAAAGTCGGATGCATGGCAATGGCAAATACAATTGATCTTTCTCCTCGGCAATGGAGAATTATTCATAAATTATGAACTGTGGTGGAGTCGACTTCATCTTGAAGCACAAGATAAGAGAAGATAAGCATGCGTCGTCTGGTTGGCGCCAACATTTTGTTTAGCGCTAGTCTAGCCCACCCCACTTACAAGCGAGTCGCGAACAGCTCTTATACTTTACCTTACTTTATCACATTTTAGGAAATTACAATCTGCTACTACTACTGTAGAAGGCAGTTTCTTATACTTTAGATTCTAAGGAGAATGAGGGTAAGCTTCCTTTTCAGCCCGATTGTTAGCGTAAGGTATTCTAGATCCCTTGGCGTTTGAGATGTTTCGCACCACACAAGTTGAAAGACGCTTCCGGGAGGATCACGCTAGCCAAGTGTCTTCGCTTGGTGGGGGAAGATCCTGCAGCAGGCTTCTCCATAGAATATTCATCCTTGCTACCTTACCCACACCATACGCACGTAGACCTCGTTTCTACACATCGTGTCCACATCATCAACTTTACAACCATGATGCCGCTGGATCCATAACTATTGTCTTCAAATTACTGTCTCTGCAAGTGAGATCGCAATCTTCCATATCCACTCAGTCTTTCTTATTCAACCATACACATCTGACCCGAGATCCTCCTTTGTCATTTCGTTCTTCAAGGACTCCCCCCGTTTACCACGGCTTAATTCTCTCGCCCTTCTCCAACCCTTCCAATCTGAGCTCTGGCATGCGTGCATTGGAAACGGTCGGATGAAGGTGTGATGGCTGGGGACGGAGGATTGAGGCACGCAATGGTGATGACGGGAGTCCTGGTGATGAGACATTATGGCGGTGTGGTGACGGCTGGTGTCGGGGGCTGAGGAAGGCTTCAAAGGCCGGTATCGTATAGCACACGACTTTCTTTAGCTCTCAAAGCCTTCGACTCTCACTGAACGTGAGCCTTTCAATAATTGATTTTGAGGTTCGCTTGCACTCATGATCCCGCTGCAGCGTGATGAAAGCCCAGTCCGGGCGTTTACATAGCAGATGTGGTGGCATCCGCTTACATCAAAGAGCACCTTTCTGCAGCTTGAGTGAAACCCGGGTCCAAGATGAGATGCGTGAAAGGTATGCTGGATGCCCTCGGCTGGGCTCATGGCATTCCTGCTTCCATTGCTTCAATTTCTTCGAACCAGGACCATGAGATTCTGATGTGATGGGGCTAAAGTAAGGTTGAGAGGCTTGTGGGTGGTAGAGGTTGGACGGAGCGGAAGTTTTCTTCAATACGGAATTAAAATAGAATGGTGGGTTCCAGACGGTCAATCACCACGAACGCCAAGAGCTGCACCTCGAAAAGTTGAAAGTTAGGATTTCGCTTATTCACAGCCAAAGCCGCTGCTTGATGGAATGAATGCTCCTGTTTATTCATATATAATTATGTTTTATAATTCTTTCGACATATAACAACATATGCCGCCTTCATTAATAATTACTATACCGTTTTGATTATTTACATCATACAAGAATACTCGCATTATTGCATGTAATGAATGCATAGAGTAGGCATCGTCTTTTGCTTTTCAATTATTTAAACCTCCACTTCCTTGGATTTGCCATTTCCATTTGCCATTTACCGTTCACCATTTTATCAGTACTATTTACCATTTACCATTTGCCATTTGCCATTTGGCCATTTGGGAATGGACCAGACCGGGGGATGTCTTATCTACGCGCTAATGGATAAGCATCTTCTTTCTTTTGACTACTACCGCTACACACGATTGGGAACTGCACGATGGTCCCATGTGCTCTGTGCTCGAGGAATGGCAATTAATCGTAGTCCGACTATTCGCTCCGCTTATAGTAGTCCTCAACTCAAAGACGTACTAGTCTCAAAGACGCGAAAATCCATTATTCCTTCCTAATTCTACATAGATCTCGACCTATGACTCGAATCCTAATAAACACGTCCCAATGTGCATGCACTAGCTTCCATAGACCATAATCCAGCTTTCGGATGTAAGCCTTAATGGCCTTGTCGGCCTTTTCTTGCTGAATTTCCTCAGCCCGAGTAGCTCGCTTCAGAGCCTTCTCCGCCTTTTCTATGGCTGTTTCTTCCACCACAGTCAGAGATTTGCGTATTTGATCTACTGACATCCATCCTCCCTTCTGGGCAACCGTCCCTGAAAGTGTCTTACGTGCCCGCTTGACTACGGCCTCTTTGTGGATGGCCTCAATGTCTCGCTCGGCAATTTGTCTCGAGTAGCCATTAGCAATAGATCCTTTCACAAACCGGGCTAATGGCTGCCGCATGCCCTTTGGAATGACAAAAGCCTGAGTAGCAAGTAGTGCTTCAAACCATTGACCGTATTTAATGACGTCTTCGGCTTTGTGGGGGTTCTGGCAAGAACGAGAGGTATGGACTCGTCTGGAGTTGTAGCGCGGGGTGCCAGATTTCTGATTTTTTCGAGTACTACTTCAGGGTTGTAGGGCACGAAACCTGTCTTTCGGAAGGCCGAATGTATGGTACTGGGCGTAAAGGTTTGAGTTCTCATCCAATTGAATGCAGCGAGAAAGTCCAGCCTGTCAAAGTCGCTACTGCCAAGGCGCACAGCCGAATCTACAGCCTCCGTGTGGTAATGTTTGAATGGTTGAAAGCATCCCACATCTAATGGCTGTGTAATGTGTGAGAATGCGGGGAAGCACAAACAAGTCGATCTTCAATTGCTGGGCAAATGTATGAAATTCGTAGGTGTAATGGGATCCGAAGCCGTCCAGAATCAAGACCCTCCATTCTCCCACTTGACGACGACAAGAAAATGTATCAAAATGCAGTAGCCAGTCGTATGCCAGTCGGTCATTTGAATATCCAGTAGGTGAAACGGCCAATACAGTGTCCGGAGGCAAGTCGTTTTTACCCCATTTGTGTAGAATATGGGCACCTTTCAGAATCACGAATGGAGGCACACCCAGCCTGCGGCGCTGATGCATTCCACGGACGTAATGTAATCACGATTGTCTGGATCTACGAACCGTAGAGGCTTGCTTTTATCCAAAGTAATGACACAATGGACGATTCCACAGCCAATTCGAAAGCCAGTCTCGTCCATATTCCAAATGTCCTGATATTGTATGCCCTTCTCTTCACAGCCCCGTCGAAATTTCTCGTACGCCACGCGTATACTCTCAACATCGTGCGCATTCTTACGCTCGGCACTAAGAGGTTTTTGCTTTCGTTTATGGTATTTGGGGTACCGTTTTATGAATCGTGTAGCCCAATCTTTGCCGAGTGGTTTGGGGGATGATGCGGATCCGAAGCGATTTTTAGGATGTACTCAGCAGCACCCTGAATGTGATTCAGTCGAAGTGAATGCTCGATGTTATCTAGACGATCAATATAGTCACATAGCGACTGTTCTTGAGCCGTAGTAAGACGTGTGTGGGTGGGTGTTCGAGTACTCCTAGAAGCTTGTCCCCGAAGCCGTCTTTGCACCCGTCGCGGTTTGAGACCATAATGCTCTGCGGCCGCTGCAGCGCTGCGAAAATGACCGTCCTCATACTCATCAATGGCCTTTTGGACGAGTTCCTCTTGCTCAGAATAAGATGTAGACATGGTGTGGTGAAATAATGGTGGATTACAATGTAGGGTGTCAAATCGCGAAAAAACGCGTCTTTGAGACTAGTGCGTCTTTGAGTTGCGGACTACTATGAGCGGAGCGAATAGTCGGACTACAATTATGCAATGCGTTGGATATGCCACTTCCGCGGGCTCCTTTTCCTCCACGCATGTCTACCTAGCTTTATGCACCACCAATACAGTCAGTAGCTCATTGGTTCATTATTCTACATTCTCAATGTACGATGACAGGATCGCCATCTCCTTTCAAACTTGCATGACTCCCTTTCTTCTGTCATATCCTCTCTTGGCCATCATGTCGGACACTCCACCAACTCTGGCAATCCGATCCGAATAATCCTATTTTCCCCCATTTTCCACTGATTTAATTTCGACCTATTCTGTGAATTATTCTGTGAGTAATGACTTCTTTGCTTTCTCTTCAATTGCTTCCCACCCATCACCATGGAGGACCCTGCTACCCAAGACAAACGCTCTCACCAGTTATTACACAAGCATGAAAATTTACCTCAATATGACCAATTACCCCCTTCACCCCCGCAGACTGAAGAAAATGACTCCCAGTCAAGCGAAGAAGTCGAAATCCCCCTACCGCCACCGACCAGTCCACCCACCAATGTCCTAGACCTCGACAAGAAGACCCCCGATGCTCACGTACCCCGAGACCCGAGATTAATACGATTGACCGGCACCCACCCATTCAACGTAGAGGCACCATTGTCCGCCCTCTTCAACGAAGGCTTCCTAACAAGCCCTGAACTCTTCTACGTCAGGAACCATGGTGCTGTTCCAGAAGTCAAGGACCAGGACATCCCGGACTGGCAATTTTCGGTCGAAGGGTAGGTGGAACACAGCGTCCAAGTCCTTCTCAATTCGCTGACGGCTGTCCTCTAGGCTCGTCGAAAGACCCCTCACCCTCACCCTTCGTCAATTGATTGCCGAGTACGAGCAAATCACCTGCCCCATCACACTTGTCTGCGCTGGAAACAGAAGGAAAGAACAAAACCAGGTCAGAAAAAGCAAAGGCTTCTCATGGGGAGCCGCCGGCGTCTCCACCGCGCTTTTTACTGGGGTTGCAATGTCGGAGCTCATAAAGAAAGCGGGCCCAAGAAAAGGTGCCCGATATGTGTGCATGGAAGGCGCGGATAAACTGGTATGGAAATCCAATCAGTCGTCCTGGGGAGCTCGACTAACAATATACTACGCCTAGCCCAATGGATTCTACGGCACATCCGTGAAGTTGAATTGGGTCATGGACCCGAACCGAGGGATGATGCTTGCCCACAAGATGAACGGCGAGATGCTTCGACCGGATCACGGCAAGCCATTGCGGGCCGTCATACCAGGGCAGATTGGAGGACGAAGTGTAAAATGGCTGAAAAGTCTCATTGTCACAGCTGCTCCGAGTGACAATTGGTATCATATATACGACAATCGAGTCTTGCCGACCATGGTCACTCCCGATGAGTCTGCCAGTGATCCCAAATGGTGGCATGATGATAGGTACGCCATCTATGATTTGAGCACCAATTCAGCAATAGCCTATCCTGCGCATGAAGAGCAGGTATGTCTAAAAGATGGCCCTGAGAGATATCGGGCCAAAGGATATGCTTACGGTGGCGGCGGGAGAAGAGTAACTCGGGTTGAGATCTCCATCGACAAAGGCCGGACGTGGCGGCTAGCGGACATCGACTACGCCGAGGATCGATATCGTGAAGCCGAGCAAACGTTATTTGGAGGACGCCTCGACATGTCATGGAGAGAAACTTGCTTCTGTTGGTGTCACTGGTCGTTAAACATACCAACGGTGGAGCTCGCAGACGCGAAGGATATCGTTGTTCGAGCCATGGATGAAAGCATGAACATCCAACCAAAAGATATGTACTGGAGCGTACTCGGTATGATGAACAATCTGTGGTTCCGTGTCACCATAAGTAAAGAGGGCGACTATTTGCGATTCGAGCATCCAACTCAACCAGCACTAATGCCAGGCGGCTGGATGGAGAGAGTGAGGAAAGCAGGCGGCAACTTAACGAATGGGCACTGGGGCGAAAAGCTCGCCGGCGAAGAAGAAAAGGCCGTTGTCCACGAACAAGCAAAAGAAGTCCCCATGACAAAAGCAGGCTTGAAGAATGAAATCACGATTGACGAATTGCGAAAACACGACAGCGAACAAGACCCCTGGTTCGTCATAAACGGCGAAGTCTACACGGGTCTCTCCTTTATGAAAGAACACCCCGGCGGGGCCCAATCTATCATCAGCGCCGCGGGTCTCGACAGCTCAGACGAATTCATGGCCATCCATTCCGAAACGGCGAAAGGCATGATGCCCTCCTACCACCTCGGCACCCTCTCCGACTCCGCCAAACTCGCCCTCTCAGAACCAGCCTCCGAAACCGCATCCAACGAACCTCGCCCCACTTTCCTCAACTCCCGCGCCTGGACAAAAGCTGTCCTGCACTCTAAGCGTGCCATCTCAGCAGACACATTCATCTTCACCTTCACGCTGGAACACCCTGAGCAGACCCTCGGTCTGCCCATAGGCCAACATTTGATGATCCGCCTCCGCGACCCCGTCGATCGCGAAGCCATCATCCGCTCCTACACGCCCATTTCCGACACCACACGCAAAGGCCACTTCGACGTTCTCATCAAGCTCTATCTCTCCTCGGACTCTCATCCAGGCGGTCGAATGAGCAAGGCCATGAACGCCCTCCCCGTCGGCCACGGCGTCGACTTCAAAGGCCCCATTGGTAAATTCGAATACATGGGTCGCGGACGCTGCGCCGTCGGCGGCACAGAGAAACAAGTCAGGAGATTCGCCATGATCTGCGGCGGCAGCGGCATCACGCCCATATTCCAAGTCTTCCGCGCCGTGATGCGGGATAAAGATGACCCGACCACGTGTACCGTCCTCAACGGAAATCGTCTCGTCGAAGACATCCTCTGCAGAGAAGACCTGGACGCTTTACTCCAAGGCAACGAGGACCGCGCCCAGGTCATCCACACGCTTACACAAGCGCCGGCCGAGGGCTGGCCTGGCCTGACCGGAAGGATCAACGCGGAGCTGGTGCGAAAACACTGCCATGCGCATGACGAGACCATGGTGTTGATCTGCGGCCCGGAGACGCTGGAGAAGGCTGTCCACAAGGTGTTGAAGGAGCAGGGGTGGGCGGATGAGCAGATCCTATTCTTCTGATTTCGGGGGAACTCGTGAAAGGAGTGGCTGCCTGGCTACCTTCGATTGATATGTTTCCGTACACTGTGCATATGGGATGCGGTTTGCACATATCTCCGCCCTCGCTTATCGGAGGCTCTTTTTTTTTAAAAAAAAATCTCGAGTATATACATACGGCCGGCCTGCCTTCTTCCATCCCCGCGCGCGGCTTTTGACATCACCGGTGCAAGACTCTGGCGGCGTTGAAAAGCTCGCCGATATATACACGGCAGCTGTGTCTCAGTCTCAGATATTGTATAGAGCAAAACGAAGAAATGATATTACTACTGTGGGTCTGAACGGTTACTTATCCCCGAACAATGATGATGACCGGAATAAATCGTCTGACCGTTAACCGGCCGGGAGGAGGAAAAATTGAAAAACATTCGAGCGTGGCTAACGTTTTCCTTCGATTGCTTGTCTATCGTCATAAGAGGTACTGGAGAAACCATCGTCTATCCCTGCGCTTCGCGCGTCCGTCACGGCAAGAACGTACCAAGGACCTCTATGCATACCATCCATCCTGAGGTTCTCATCATTCTTCATCCGGCTGCCACTTCTGCCTCTTGGTCATTTGTCTGTTCGGCGCCCTCATCCCTTCATCTCGGCATCCGGCTCCTCGACCCCCTCGGGCTTCACCGTCTCCGGCGCGTCCCCCACATCCTTCATCTCCTGATCGCCCTCCCCATCCTTCTCCTTCTCCTTCTTCCCACCCTCCTTGGCCTTCTTCGCCTCCTCCTCCGCCTTCTTCCGCGCCTCAATCTCCGCCCGCTTCTTCGCCGCCTTCTCTTCTTCGATTTTCAGGATAGCTTGTCGTTCCTCTTCAATTTTATCTTGGTAGCGGCCAAAAATGGGACCGGCGACGAAGCGGATTTCGTCCATTTTGGCGACGTAGACGCCGCGGGTGGCGTCTTCGCCCTCGTCGTAGAGCCAGTCCTGTTGTTGGAAGTATTAGTTTCAGGGTAGCCAGGAATGCGAATGCATAGGGCAAAGACGAACCTCGCTCTGCTCCAGCTTCTCTTTTAATTTCGACTTCTCCTCATCGCTTGCATGTTCGGAGTATTGATCATCGATCTTCGATCGAAGCTCGTAGATGTAAGATTCCAGCTCGTTCTTCTTGTCTTCCGTATCGGCAACAAGCTTGTCTTCCATAAACATAGCACCTTCCTTCTCCGCGGCAGCATCTTTGGTTTGTTGATCGAGCGATGACGTGCCCGACGATAGAGGCAGTTCGCCCTTGCGGACCTGCTTCTTGATCTTCCGTGTTTTGGGCTTGGGTTCCGCGGTGCCGTTGGGAGCGTCCGTGTCCATTGCCTGATTGGTAGACTCTGTCAGCGGTGTGTCGCGAGATGGTGGTCGCTTGGAGCTGCCGAAGACACTCTTCGCGAGATTCTTGAATTTCGAACGTGGACCAAGTTCGTCCTTCAACGATTGGTCATCGGCAAAGCAAGCATTTAGAGATGAAGGAGATATGGGACTTACATCACCGTCTTTCTTCTCCTCCTTTTTGTCCGCGTCCTTCTTTTCCCCTTCCTTTTCTTCGGGTATGGGCTCTTCTATCTCGACATCTTCTACGTAGTACCCCGATTCAACGTTGAGAACGCCATGTAGGTTGAGACGTGCCTTGAGCTTGCAGATCATAAAGTCATCATCACCGCTGGCTTTCACTCCCTTGACCGAAAATTTTCCGATCCAAGGATTCATCTTGCCAGGGAGCATCTCAGGCTTGGCATACTTGGCTTCCAGGTCGAATGGCTGCTTGCGGTAGAATGTGAGGATCTTGGTCGATGGCATAACGTTGCCTTTGTTGAAGACGGTCAAGCTTGTATCTTCATCCGGTATGTCAGGCGATTGCTCCCAGTTGAATTCGATAGGGTAGTTCACGATATCATGGACCGAGAAGTCGCGAACGCGGAAGACGGGGGAAAGGATAGCACAGCTGAAAGCGCAACCACGGGCAACAGCTTCATCTTGGTTGAGGGTGAACGAAAGTCCCTTGCCGAAGAATTTGCTTATCCGTTCTTTCAGAGATGGCACACGAGTGCATCCGCCAACCATCTCAACCGTGTCAATGTCTTCCACCTTCATCTTAGCTTCGGCGAGTGCTTGCTCCAGAGGTAATGTTGCGCGCTCCAGTAATGGTTGAAGGAGCTCTTCCAGCTCTTCACGCTTCATCATCCCGTTGACATCGACGTCGTTCATCAGGGACTCAATGCTGATCGGAGCTTGTGCGTTGGCGGAGAGGATCTTCTTCATCTTTTCGGCGGCGGCGGTGACTCGAACGAGAGCTTTCGGGTTGGTATTGATATCGATCTTGTATTTCTCCTTCCATTCTCGAGCGAAGTGCTGTACCAAAGCCTTGTCGAAGTCTCGTCCACCAAAATGCCTATCGTAAGCCGTAGACTTGACGGCCAGCTCGCCTTTTTTGAACTCGACTATCGAGCATGCGTAGTCGCTGTGCCCAATATCGACGAAAGCAACACGTTTTGGCTTTTCTTCTGCAGTCGGAAGGTCGGTCCTAGGAATACCATAGCCCAGCGCCGTAGCGGTGGTATCGTTGATCAACCGCAACAGCTTCAGCCCAGCGATCTCTGATGCGTCCATTATAGCTCTCCGCTGTACATCGGTAAACCATGCTGGAACGCTGATGACGATATCGGAGACCGGCAGCTTCAGCTCCGCGGATGCCGTAGCCTTGACCTTGCTAAGGAACATCGACACAAGTTGGGTCGCCGTGAACTGCTGCTTCTCGCCCATATATGTGACCTCTGCACCGACCTCATTTCCAATCTGGACTAGTTGGGATGAGACAAATTCGCGTTCAAGTTGGACATCGGGATCTTGGAGTTGGCGGCCGGCTAGGCGCTTGAGGGAGCTGACAGTGTTCTTTAGGTTGGAGATTTCTTGAGTCTTTGCGGGTTCGCCGAGATATCTACTCTTAGGTCCGAAGCCAACGAGTGATCTGTGGGTTGTTAGCTGGAAAAGTAGTTGAGGAGTGCGTGGGGGAACGAACGGTGTAGCCCGATTGGAGACCTACGCAATTTCCGGCGTCAGCATGGCTTCTTAACGACAACAGCCAAGTTATGAGACATACCTCATTGGTAATAACATCGACACCGCGGTTCCGTGCAATGGCAATGACCGTGTTGAGCGTACCGAAATCAACACCCACGACCGACATGCTGACTAGGAAAAATGCTTGTTTGAAAGGCGGGAATTAGGTGGAGTGCAATGTATGGTCTCGATGGCGAGTAGAGGATTAGTTGTGAGATATCATGTGTGAGTTTGGGCGAATACGTGGTGCTTGAGTGGTGGTTGAGTTGCGAGGCTGAGAAACAGCCAGAAGCTTCTAGTGATGAAAATATTTACTGAAGATGCCAAGACACGCTGCAGATCTGCACAACGGTGGTGATGGTTCTTATACTTTCGGACGTTCCTCCGACTAACAGTGGCAAGATACGATAGAGTGCTCTATTGATTTTGTGATTAACAAAAAGATTAATGTCATGTAAGGATGCAGCTTTCTCAATCTAAAGACTTTGACCCTCTGCTAGTATGCTGTAAACTTCTTTTCTCTTGCCATTACAGTTACCATTGCAAACAGCTAGTAGTACAGCATACTCCATATCCAGTATCGATGCCGTCAAATACTGCATGCCGCTAATGCTAATAAGACCACTATCGACCATGTATATGCTGCTTTTTTCGTACTGGTTATGCCGAAGCCCCTTCGCTATGCTCACAGACGCCTTGACAATGCTTTCACCAGTTGAACCACCACTTTATTCATCACTTCTTCGGCCGCGCCTTCTGCAACCTCTTCCGATTGCTTTTTGTACTGGCTGTCTCGGACCTCTCGCTCCTAGTACTTGATGGACGACCGGGTGTCTCCCCCATCAACGGATCCTCCTGCCTCGGTGGCCGATAGCTCGCTGGCGGAGGCTCGTGCGTTCGCGCCGAGCGACCCATAAAGGGATTCTGCTGTCTGCCTGGCTGCTCCAGGAAAGAATCCTGAGGTCTCGCCTGCTGTTCCATTTCGATGTCATTCACATCCTCCCGTGTAGGCATTCGGACCATTGGCGCTCGACCCAGTGGACTACGATCTTTTCTAATCGGTCGTCCAGCAATGGCAGGTGGTCGCTCTGGATGATTGGGAGCAAGTCTTCCGTTATTGGTGCTCGAGCGCTGCCCATGGCTCAGAGAGAAGTCTGGCACTCCCAAATCGCCATGGCCCGGTCCTTCAAAGTCAAGCGGAACGCCGACCGGGTGTCTAGGCGCGAAAACAGGCGAATGTCGGCCATGAACATCACGAGAGTAGTGCGGAATATCTTGGTTCTGATACTCTTCAGAGTCGACAGACTCAGCTGATTCGGTCCAGGCATGCTTGGTGTCAGGGTCGTCTCCCATTTCATAAACATGGCCATGATCCTGTGCCTCCATGCTCAAGTAAGCGCCAGTGGGTGCCTGCTGTGCCTGCTGAGCGAAGTAATACTTCCTTCGGTCTTCGTCACCCATGATGCTCTCGACTCGGCGGGGCATATAGACGGAGTTGGTGGGTGATGCGCTGGTGACGAAGGAGTCGAATGAATCTCGAGGATGTAATGGGATGCGAGGTACGTTCGGATCTCTTGGGAGCATACTCGGTAGGGTGAGTCCAGAGTCATTGTTTTGCAGGTACCAACCACCAGGAAGATGCTCGGCAGGGGCAAAACGGCCTTCGACGTGGTCTGTAGGCTGTAGAGGGACGGTAGCTACAGTTTTCCCAGGGTGCTGAGCTTCGACGGCAGGCTTGAAAGTCTCCGGCACGACATTGAGATCGTCGCCAGTCGCTTTCGCATGCTCAATGGCTTGTTGAGGCGTTGTATGCGCGTCAGCCGCGCCCGCATCAGCTCTTGGCCCACCCCAAGTCCGCTGCCCAGCAGTGAAAATCCCATATACCATGTATACCCAATTGAAAAAGGGATTAATGACGAACATGACTGGATACAGCCAAGTTTTGAAGCGCCGAAGTCTGACGCCGAAATAGATCATCAGAAGCCAGTTCAAGCCAAGCGATACAGCCAAGAAGCCGATTGGGAGATTCGAGACCTTGTTTGATGTGGTTATAACGGAGAGAACCATTATGAAAAACAGCAAGGCCGTCGTCCTGATCGTGCAGTTCATGAAGCGGACAATGCAGAGAAGTGGATACCTCCTCCACAGCCGGATGTCGGTCAGCATGCATACTTCGTTAGTGATGAAACCCAGAAACCATCGTCGGCGCTGTTTCAGAAGACTCTTGTATGTCTGAACAGCTTCAGTCTTGCAGAAGGCTCCTGTACAGAGCTGGATTTGGTATCTCTCCTTTGCACCAATCATGAACAGGTGGGTCAACCATCGGTCTTCTCCCAAATGACATTTGCCGTAGTCGAAGAGATCGTCGCACTGTTCCGCCTTGTCAGCGAAATAGTACTTGGCCATCTTCCGGAATGCCGAGAATCGAAGCATGGTAAGTGCACCGGGCAGACAGGTAACGGAACCGCAGCCGGATTCGACTGAGCGCTCGAAGAGTTGCCCGTGTAGGTATTCCATGTCTTGCAAGAGCGTGATTAAAGTGTTCTTCACGGTCGTCGAAGTGATGATTCCAGTCATAGCCAGCATGTTCTGCTTGCTCCCAGGCTTGAGCTCCATTTCGTACATGAAATTCTGGATGCAGACCTTGTCGAGGATGCAGTCCGAGTCGATGAAGAGAATGAAAAGGTTGTCATTGCGCTTCAGATATTCCGTGTAGATCTTGTCAATGAGCTTGAACGTCGACTTCTGACACTGCCGCTTTCCGCCATGCGGGAATCTCGAGACCGTGACTCTCGCCATTCGATACGTGATATCAATACTTTTTGGATAGCTTTCCAGCGTCAAAGGCACCCCAAGCTTCTCAATCGTCTTCAGATATAGCTCGTCTTCTTGGTCGCCGTCGAAGGATAGGAAGACGTGGAGGCAGGATGGCGGGTAATCGCAATCCACCACTGAATCTATGGCTTTCAAGAGGACATCCGGCTCTTCTTTGTAGCATGGCATGACGATAACAGTCTTCGGCGCCGAGTCCTCATCCAATGCCGTCTTGATCCTTTTCGTGCGGCCAAGGCTGTTGACGACTAATTGGTAGACACAGAAGAGCCATGGGATGATCAGAAGGCCTGAGAAGGAGTAGAAGGCGAACCATTGCAGGAATTTGACGAGCTCAGGAGGAAATTTGGCTGTGATTTGTGGAGGCAGTGGTAGCGTGACAACCATGACTGGCAAAAAGATGCATCTGCAACGAAATCAGTAACGTTCTTGCGCTTTGGCTTTGTGTGACTGACCTCAGGGCTGTGAAGCTGATCATCATGATAACGGCAAGAAGTCGAATAGTCCAGTGCTCAGCTTTCTTGAAGACTTTGACCAGGCAATAGAGGAAGGCAGCGAGCCAGAGGAACCATTCCAGGGCGGCTGCGCTCAGGACGAAGCCCATAATCGAAACGAAAACAATCTGGTCGCCACTGTAAGCCCATGGCCTTGCACTGAGGTCTTGCCGCAACCTACATCTGATACCGGCCATTTTGCCGAAGTCGAAGGATCGCTGGCCATGGTGGCTCCTTGTCGTGGGTAAAGATCCATAGTTGTTGAAGCGGTAGCGACTGTCAGAGTAAAACAGGTTCTTGTGGTAGCACGAGATGGTACCTCGGCGGCTATGACGCGTGGTATGCGGAAGGGCGGGCTGCACGTAACACGAGTAAATCAGCCATCTCATACTGATTAGGAATGTGGACGAGCAAGGGCAAGTGTTGAGTGGTACATGAGTGCCGATGTAAGGGCGGTGGTGGGGCTGTCATGGGGGGCATGTGTAGGCCCAAGGTACATGTCTTGGCTCACCTCCAAGTTCCTCAGGAGTCAACGCTGCACGGTAGAACAAGAGTATCCATGAACTTTGCCAAAGTGACGATAGCAGGTATTTGTCTTGGCGGGGTAGCTATTTAGCGAAGACGAGCGCTATGCGACGACTAGAGACTGTTCAATTAGAAATGAAGCACGCTGAAACATGACAAGCTTTAATGACTGTGATGATGAAGAAGTAAGAAAGATGAATTAAGAGGTTCTCGGAAGTGAAGTGAAGTGAAAATTCAAGGAAGCAGTGACGGAATTTTGTAACCGCAAGCTTGACCGATCTCCACCCGCTGCAGGTCGGCCTGCAGGCTATCCGCTTGCCACCAAAATAGACCTACGTAGACGCCGCCTTCTCAAAAGAAGAGCTACCTATGACAACGAAAACCAATCACAAGGCCCATGTCAGTCACGCACGCATGGAGAATAGAAGCAAACGCAAAAGGAGACAGGCCAGATTTTAACATGCACTCGCAATCCATCGAGATGTCTTTTGCGCACGCCCAGACGACATCTCCAGTCGGGTCCGAAAGCGGCCGCCCGAGTTTCTATTACGTGAAAATAAAATCCGGGTCAAGATGGTCATCGTTTTTCATGCAAGATGTCGTTTTGGAAGTCGAGCAGGTATCAAGCGGTCCATTGGATGTCGTTTCCCAAATAGACTGCCGCAATGATCACCGCAGGCATTCTCGAGCCGCCCGGAGGGTGCGGCGTGGTGAGACCGCAAAAGTCAAAACTAGCCCAGGGGCCCAGGGGTTGGTTTGGTTTGGTTTGGAGCCTCACAATGATCTACCTACTCAAGGCTTTGCATAGTCTCGAAGACTGCCTTGTTGACTTCGAGAACAACCTCATGTTAGGTAGACGCTGTCTCGTTACACTTAGTGGTGGCTTATAGATCTTGAGATTATGCATAAGACGATACAAGGAATCGATGGACATGTGCACGTGAAACGCGTGTTACAGCATCTTGAGGAGGTACATTTCTTGTGGTTATCTATTCGATTCACAAGAGTGATGGGATGTCCACGGAGAAGGATGGATCTGTATAATTCTCACTTGCGGTTGAAAATATTACATAGAGTACCGCGAAAACCGTCGTTTGCTTTGAGGCGTCGTACCGACCCACTACAAGCAAAGAATTGTCAGCATTGATAATGTGGTCTTCAGGTACAGATCGCTGGTATTGACTCACTTCACAGTAAGCAACAGGTTCCCACTCATCCTCATATATATCGTGTGTGCTCGAACAGCTCGTCTCCTGCTCCGTCGGCAAATTGCAAAACACGGCCTCCACCTGATCGCAGCCAAATATCCCAAACGAAACACTAGTACCCTGATATTGACAATTCGTATACACACCATGACTGGTGAACGTCCCACTGTTGATGGCGTAAAACTGCACGTCGTCGGGTGCGTTGTCAGGGTATGAATAATAGTGAATATACGGTGGGTTGGAGCATATCAAGACGGTGGGGGAAGACGGCACGACGTCGTAGACGTAGCCGTCACTGGCGCAGTTGGTATCATCGCAGTTGACGTTGCGCATGATTAGGACCGCGAGGTTGGGGGTTGGCGTTGGGAGGGAGGCGATGGAGGCGGCGCTGAGGACCGAGGCGACACTTGCTGCTGAGATGGCGCTGGCGACCGAGAGGACGCTGGACTTGGACACGGAGGCTACACTTTGCGCTGAAGCGGCGCTGGCGACTGAGAGGACGCTGGACTTGGACACGGAGGCTACCCTTTGCGCTGAGGCGATGCTGTTGATCGAAGCCTGGCTCTGGATCGCAGCAATGATCTCGACAAGGGCAACACTCTGGGCTGCAGCTACGCTTTCGACGGATGCTGCGCTTTGGACTGATTCGACGCTCTGCACTGAAGCGACACTCGCGCTAGAGGCTGACATTATCGATGCCATGAGCGCAGCACTAGCAGCTACCACAGCACTGTTCGACACCCCTGACATTGGCGTAGTAGTCGCCGTTGACGACGGACCGTTCGTCGAACTTCCACCACCACTCGCAGCATTAGGTATGAAGTCGATCGATACTGCATTTCCATATCCCGTGTTGGTTGGCAGAGGCGGAAGTATCTCAGATCCACTCCCAGTATCTATCCGCCAGATGGCATAAGCGGCAGTGACAATGTCGCCAACGTATTCTGGGTCGTTGGGATTCCAGGTGGGGCTGTCGTCGAAGGTTAGGGAATCTGTGGGGATGCTGAAGAGGGGGCATGCGGTGTCGGAGGCTGTGGTTGTCGCTGTGGTCGACTTTGGGAGGGTTGATTTTGGCGCGGTGGTTGATGTTGGCACGGTGGTGGGGGTTGGGTCGGACGTTTTTCGTGTCATTCCTTCCTGCGTTTTTGGATCCGGTAGCGTTTTTTTGCCCTCGTCTTTTGGGATGCCGTCGTGTCCTCCTCCGCCGCCACCGCCAGTCCCTCCGCAAAATGGCCATATGCAGATCCCGCCGCCGCTACAGAAAGGCCAAATGCAGAAGCCTCTGGTGCCTAGAGAAGCGAGGTAGAGTCCCCAAAATATGCCATCTGTACCAATTATCACAGCACCAGTTACCCAAACTACTACTCCAGCAGAGTTGGTCGTCATCTCTGAAGTTGTCACAGTTGTCGTGCCTGTGAAGTCTTCGAAGCCAGGCATGGTTTGCCGTGTCAAGGTGATGGATTGGCCACTCATGCTCAGTGTGATCAGTGAAGGACCTGATGTTTCGAATGCGTCGAGGTCAGAGGATATGGGTGGGGTGAAATTGCCGGTTGCGGAAGCCGACGACTTTGGCCGCGGCGTGATGGTTGGAATTGATAGGAAAGACGATGCTGTCAGAGATGTAGCGGCCAAGGCGATGCGAATGCTGGTTGTCGTACTTGGAAAGCCCTCTGTCGGTGGGGCGGATGGTGCATTGGTCGCGGGCTCATGGCTACCCCGGGAAGTAGAGATGCTCCTTATTAACGACGACGAAAGGGAGTAGCTGCTGGGGTTTGATTCTAGCTGCGGACTACTGGAGTTCTGACCTAAGTTTACAAGTCTTGTCACTGAAGAGGCGCTGTAGCCCGAGCTAGCGTTGATCGAGGTGAGAGTACCGGAATCCGAGCCGAATAAGGTTGATTGAGTTGTCAATGAAGGGCCGTGAACACGTAGATGATAACTCCAGGTGAGATTGGCGGAGATGGAGGTGGCACCTGATTTAAGCGAACTTGATCCGGTGCGCAATGATGTGCTTCTGTTGCCTGAGCCAGAACTTGTGTTCTGGTAGCTTGATACGGTGCTTATTGACAAATTATTGGCGACGGAGCCCTGACTTGTGTTTGAGAGATACAGACTCGTTTGGGTGGCTGTAGGAGGGGAGTTTGAACGAGCTCCCCACAAAGACGTCGAGACACCTGAGCTAGAGTTCAGGCTGATATAAGAAGACGGAACGACCCTGCTGAAGGCGCTAGCCGTGGAACTTGCTGTGGCCTTTGTGGAGAACCGGGTTTGGCTGGCGGGGCGAGTCGAACTCGGCGGGTTGGCATCAAGCCAAGCCTTGGAGGCGAATCGAACATTGCCTGAAGGAGCGATGATTATCTCGGCTGTTGTTCCATCGACAAGGACTTTCTCAGACCATATGGGGGCATGAGCTACGTCGGCGCAAGGTACCGGTATGTAGTCGACGGTGTTGCCGATCGTGGTCGTGATTGTCGAACAGACACCGGCAACACTAGCAGCGCTGGGCAGGAAGATGCGCCCGTCTGATACTTCGACAATGGGAATGTCATCTCCGGTTGTTTGAGCGAGAATGCGGAAAGGATGGGTAAAGAGCAGCACGCATAAAGGGGTCCAGAGCATGATATTATGGAGAAAGAGAAGGAAAGGGAAAGGATGAGGAAGACAGCTGAAGATGTCAGGTCGTTGAAGGCTGCAGCTATGCTAGCGACACTGAAAAGATCATGAAGAAAACATATCACAGAGCATAGGATTTTCGTCGTTATTGACAATCTTTTGAGTGGCCACGGCTTATGGCTGGGGATCCGCTACGGACCTCGAAATCGAATTGGGTCCCATCTCAAACCCCACAGTGGCCCTCTGTTCCACACCAACACTGACATAAAGCTCAAGCGGCGGACAAGATACAATCAAGTGATACTCGTGTTCAATAAGAAATCATGATAAACAGCAATCTTGTGAATCCATCGAACGATAGAGCCAGTGCTACGCCGTCACCGGCTTGAGTCAGCCTGGCGCCAGCGTGATAAGAGAGCGGTTGTAGGTAGTGTATTTTTGGTCTGAGCTCGTTGTCGTGTGTCCTAGTGCAAACTTACTCTGGGCGTCGACCAACACAAAGCTCGGTAATGCGACGATAACGGGACAATATATAGGCGTTGAAGACAGAACAGATTCATGTAGGAGAATGAAAACTCACATCGAAGGAGGTTGTTCTGTGGGACTGTGATAGCGAGATCCCCACATGTGCTGGACGAAGCTTAGCTGGTAGGCTATTCTTTTTTGGTGTATCTGGCTCCGCGACGGTGCTTTAAGTGGTGTCCTCCTTAGATCAGATGGAGCTGTAGCAAGTCAACCTGAGCATATTACGCCGACGGTAACGGGCACAAGCTCTCAGGTACAGTATGCGCGTTGGGGCAGATAAGGAAACGATCAATGTTTCACGCCGCAATGTTGCAAATCATGTATATGACGGAATGAAGGAACTCGTATCCGTTCAGCGCCATTTGATTCTAGCGTGAAGTGGGTTAATGGGACTCTGACAATATCGACGCAATCTACTGAGTTTGGGGGTGGCAAATGGCAATAAGCTTTGCTCGCTGGCCAAATTCGCGAGATATACTTGACAATTAAAAAGAAGGTTCGCAGGCAGCTTGTTGTTGTCGTCGTCGTATTGTCTGTCACTTTTGCAAATCCTACAACTCAAAAATTATCCATCAAAGCGATGATCACAAAATCTTCAGCATATACATTAGATTGAGATTTATGATCATTGAGACTCGTAGTCTCAGTATTCAGACTCGCATTAGTGGGACCATGGCCAGCCCACACCGTTCCGCTTCGGGGGCCAATCATATCGCAAGCTCATTACGGCATACCCCCTTAGAATGAGACTCGTGGAGCCGAGATGTGTGTGAGTGAGCATTTCTTCGGATGGCGAGTTCGTGACGAGCTAATTTAAGGTCGGCAGGGGTTACAATCAACCGGGGTGTTAAAAATGTAGGCGGAAATACCCGCATGACAAGGCTAGGAAGAGCATAGTAAAATAATATCGTATTTTACAGAGATCCTAGGAGTGTTTTTAAAAATTAGAAGAATTTTCGCTCAGGATATCCCTAAATCAGGAGATCTTCTCAGTCCTACCACTAATGACTAAGCCGTATTTTACACTTTAACGTAATACTGCTTTACAGCCTACACCCCATCCCATCACACCCCGTCCCATCATATCCCACCACCCCCCACCACCCCCCGTAAGACCTCGAGAATATCACCCCTGCGAGAACTTTGGCTAAATCGCTTGAATCTAAAGTCAGAAATTAAAAAGCGTAGATGTAATTTACAGTAGCCAGATCCCGAAAACGAGGCTGGCATCGTATTTACGGAAATAATTATAGAAGACTCGCTTCCAGGAGACTCCCGGGAGGAACTAAACCACGATATCATGAGATTGAAAAAAATGATATAAAAGATTCTTCAAGAGGATTTCAGGGTAGATACGTGAATCTTGTAATAAATCTTTATTTGTAAATGATACTTATGGTATTCTGTTACCTAACTAGCCTACAGAGGTCTGCACCGAAAGTCCGCACCCGCCAGACTCTTGCGCTCAGACTTCGGATAACGCCCCACCTAAAGGGCTACCTGGACAATACGTCTGGAGTTCTTCGGAATCGCACCTAGCCCTAGCCAGGTTTCGGGGCTTAATACCCCTATCAAGCCAAAAGAAGTACCTAAAGTCCCATTCATGCGCTGTGAGAAGATATTTCTAGGCTTCCCCTCTACAGGGCCGCTTTCCGAAAGTAAGGTTAGGCTGCACTAGCGCATGTGCAGGACTTTCGGTGCAGACCCGTACATAGACCATTACGAAAACCCCCCCGACCTTAATGTAGTTATTGTGCCCTGGCGGCACGGGCTCTTCCCGTGTCGACTTTAAATCTAATCTACAAAGAAGATAGATAAGCTTAGCGTATTCAAAAACATCGAATGCTGGCACCGGAGATCTTTCACACCACACACCCAGATTCGTACTGTAGCATAGAAATCTCTCCGCAAAATTATTCAATAACACTGCTATCGCTAGTATAGGTCCCAAATGAAAAGATGAAGCTATACTGAAGTCTTGGTATGTTCCTCAGTGTTAGCAACTCAGCTAAAAAAAGCCTGGTCCCGGGGGGTGTCTGCGCTTGACAGTCAGACACCCCTATTTGGACCTAAATACTTGGCCCGTAGGGCCGTCGCAGGGCACCCGTAGGGACTGCTGCTACCACTCAGCCCCCCATTTATCTGTTTCTGAGCTTCTTAAGCAGAGGCTATTTCAGTAGTTATGGGGGGGTAGTTCTTACTGCGACGGCGGCGGTTCGGTGGCTGCTGCGTTATTGGTGCGTTTGGGAGGTATAGCTGAGGTTATATAGCTTCAAAAGTGATTAAATGCGACTATTTGCGATGTGGCTACTTGATTTGAATGATTTTGCGGAGAGATTTCTATGCTACAGTACGAATTTGGGTGTGTGGTGTGAAAGATCTCCGGTGCCAAGCATTCCAGATGTTTTTGAATACGCTAAATAAGCTTAGCGATACAATTAACGTACATACTATCTATCTATCTAGACGAATTTTGGCTCCTACACACTCGACACTCCCCACCAACAAATCCAACGGGGAAGATGGGAGGCAAGTTTCGCTTTTCATGCCGATTGCCGTTGAAAGATACTTGCTGCAGGCAGTACCAAACAGACCGACAGCCTAGGTCGGGACAAGAGTCGACAAGGCGTATCTGCAATTGCTGCCATATTGTGGTTTGGTGCGTCGACCATGGCGTCCAAGGGTCGGCTTATCTCAACATGTTGGAGCTCATTTTATCCTTCATCATACCTGACTCTGCTCTCTGCAGTATCCAGGCCTTACATAGCATTGGGCCGATCAAAGCTCTACCCTTCATGATGTACACCTCTCTTCCTTGCACCCTCGCCTTCTCAGATGGATCCTTTGTGAGCGGCTACCACTCATAAGCTGCTCTGCAATATAGCAATTCCCAGGATGAAATCTTCTCTGGCTATTCGATGCCTAGCTTCTACTTTGCTTACTTTAAGCTTGGCACCGTTCTCCTCGTCGCACTATGCGCATGCACGCGCCAGCACTCACCCGTCAGAGCACGTTCCATCGCGCCCTGCATTCGATCGGTCTCATGAGCGTCATCATCTGGGAGCTCTCAGTGAGTTTGATGAACGGGAGAACCATACTAGGCTCGAGAAAAGAGGCGCCATGACAATTGCCTATCGAAGCAATGCCGAGGACGCGGATCTGAATCACGCTTATCAAGACATGGTATACTTCGTCGGCTACATCTATAACAACTGGGCTCGAGTCGATCCTAACATCTTCGAGACCTATTTCCACCCGTTCCACGTCACCAAGGTCCAGCAAGTAGCCTACACAATTTTGCGCATGGCCCAACCGGGAGGGATTACCGATATGGCCGGGAACTTGCAGGCTTATCGACCCACGGACCTCAGCGAAATCCTTCTCTTAAGAGAACATGGCACGGCTCCGAACCTTGCCCAGTCATTCAACGTTGCTCCTAGGGCTCTGGATCCAAAGATCGCCATCTACGACTTCGGATGGCAGGTACTGAGAAATCGGAGGTTTCTCTCCGACTATCCCGCCGACTGCAGCAAGATCGGTTCGAAGGTAGACTATAGGATGCAATTCCTTGGAGGACTCCTTTTCCACGAAGTACTGTGAGTAGTCAATCAACGAAGAAACAAGGGCCTTGTACTGAAGTTGCCATACAGCCATTTCCATAACGTGGGTCAGCTAGCATGGGGCACGGTCCTGCAGGCCGGCGAGTTCATCGACGACCAAGAGGGTGACTTCTGTGGCTCTTCTAAAGCTTACGGACCGTATCAAGCCAGATTGCTTCGCGAGGGTGACTATGGTAAAGCACTCATCAACAATGAGAATCACGTTTGGTTCTTCCTCGTGAGTGACACATCCCGAAACAATCGGCGTAGGGTGAGAGCGCTCACTGTCGTTCCCTAGCACGCTTACTGGTCGCTGGTGTGCCCGAAGAGCATGCCCGTTACTACCTCCACCCTAACTAGGACAGGCCGAGCCTTTATCCTTCCCGAAAGCAATGACATTCCAAGGGTGTGCTATGAATCTTTCCAAGGCGTGTTGGGTACAATCTGGTGTTGGTTCTCTTGAGCGACGCATCCCGGCTGGGGGTTTGCCACACGTACAACCCCATTGATTCAATCTAGCCACAGCATAGAGTCTCCGATCGTCTTGGGCGTCCCGGCACCATTCTGCACGTGTCAATCCGAGCCGCAAACGGAGCGTGTATGTAGAAGATAGTAAATTGCAACGCCAAGCTCTCACAGAATCTTGTCCCAACCTCACTCCACGTAGAGACCAACAGAAGCACCATCTTAGTATCGCAAGACTTACATAATCAGCGCACGATATAATTGATGGACTGTTTCAATCGCTAGCGTAAAGCACTTCACACGATTGCCGCTACCAAAGTTCCCACACTTCCAGATTCCTGAATACCGATGCCGATACTACGTTGCTGGATAAATATAAGCTGAGGCTAATCATCCAACGCAGACCTCGCGCGAACT